TAATTATGCTCGAAAAAAAAGTTATAAATTATTTTCTAAAAATAAGGACAATTATCGAAACTAGAGTATAAAGTCTGCCTCTAATTCTCACGTACTGCCTTTGAAAGCCAGGCGATTTATTGGCAAGGCCTCTTTCTAGCCTGGCTAACAAAAATACGTTGACAACATTGACGCCTTTCACTGGCTACCGAGAAACAATGCCCCCTCATCCTCCCGAGTCAGTCAAATTAAAAACCAATCAAACCGATGTGGAAGTCAATGATACCAATGCCATACGTACATATATTTTCAACAGGAGAGGTGCGGGAATAGCAACCAAATCTGGCTATTTTTGGTAGCGACTTAGCATAAATTTGCATAAGCAGTAAAGTCCGAGACATAACTGTAAATATAATGAAACGAGCGCTTGATAAATATCATCAAAAGACCATCCAGAAGATCAAAAAATAGACAGCCGGATGAAAAGAGATTTCCATTTCATGAATTCTACTCGTAAAAGACATTTGCATGTGGACTGGGCGAGAAATGAAATATGTGCCATACCAGATCGGCAATGCGATTAAGATATCAACTTCTCCAGTCCCCCAGACCCCAGTGCCCAAACCCACTAGACCCCCCAGATCACAGATCCCCTGATCTCTTCTGTCCACCTTTCAAACCAAAGAATGCCGCCGCTCTACAAAGATAAGAGATGAACTAAAATTGGTTTAAGTTTTTGGTTTTTTTAGAGATGGTTTTTAAATAAAAATTAGGCATAAAATAAAATAGTTTGTGTTTATTTTTAATAACAAATATTATATTATACATATGTATCTATTTTATTTTATAGTTTTATCTGTAATTTAAACTAAATATTATAGTTATCTTTAATACTTCAATTAGTATAGAAGTATAGTCTTGTTAATCACGTTACCATCACTAACTCCAATGAAATGGAAACTGGCCTGGCTAACTGGCTGACCAACTGACTGACTGACTGACAGCCACACATCGTCTTTAGAAATGGCGCACAAAAGATACGCTGCTGCTGCTGTTGCTTTTCAGCATAGGAGTGTTTGGTCTTAGTCTGTTTTTATTTTCGTTTTGTTTGACGAAATTGACTTTCTCCATTCAATATAATTAATAGTAATATTCCGATGCTTTGGCTACACACACGTCTCCAGAATGGTAACAACCACTGTTGCTGCTGCTTCTTCGGCTGCGGCTGCTGTGGATTTTGGAATGTGGACAGGAAGTAATTTGTTATTGCAGGCGTGCATTAGAGCCGACAAAACGAATGGATCGAGAGGTATTGAAAAATCCATCACAGCTAGATCCGCAGCGGACTGCACGTGCACGGCATCGCCGTAGGAATTCTCTTTATTTCTCCCCCATTTGGCGGGCAATATGGAATTCGCACCGCACCACGGGGCGTATGGGTAACAAGTGAAAAGCCAGGAATGCCAGCCGCTCACTCGGCGTATGAGTGATGTGTGAGTAGAGGTGGGGGATGAGGGGCATGCCACAAAAGCGTTGAAATTTACAGCTTGTTTCTAGCTACCCAAAAAGGGTTCATATACACTGAGCAAAAGTCTCCTTACTATAAAAATTAATTAATGACAAATAGGGTTTCTGGTTAATCCAATTTGATTGGCTTTTATGATTCATTCAGGGTTTAATTTATACAAATTGGCTATATTTTATTTTTCTTGTTTTATTGTATTTCTCCAATATCTTCTTTGAAAATGCCATATATTGTTGTTTATGCAAATTGCCTTCATTCGAGGGCGCTCACATCTCACTTTCAAAAAACGAGACACAAAACATATTTAGCTAATATTTTGGGATGACTTCTTCTGCGGCTTTTACTTTTCTCCTTAGCATTCCACTGGCTGGCTGAAATTAAAAGTAGTTTACCAGTTGCTTCTGTTTTCAGTTTTAGTCTCCGTTTTTTTTTGCCCTTTTTTTGTGTGTTGGCTAGTTGTCTTCTGCCATCTGTTTACATAACGACCAAAAAACAAAAACACACAGCAGAAATATGTAGTTAACAATGCCAACTATCAAATATGGCAGTTCAGGCACGCACTTTACTTTTATCCAACATATCTACGACCGATGTGTGAATGATGTGCATGGGCAAGAGCAAGTGGCAACAAGTGGCCATTTCACGTTCATTGACATGGCTAATGGTTAGTGGTGTAGTCAGTCTGCTGGTTTTCGAGTGTTGCAGGGCAATAGCAGACTGTCACACGTCTCTAAGCCAAGACGGTTTCGCCGGCCCGGCACGCGTTTGTTTTACCTGAAAGAGGACCAAGTTAGCCACGAATATGTTATTTAATGCATTGGCATGCACAAATTAAGACTTGTTATAATTGGGGGTTATATAACCAAAGCGGCGCTTATCTAATTTCTACTCGACGGCAAAGAAAGCGTCGCAATTAGACGAGTTTTTCTAGCCAGTTTATGTCAAATAATAGGCCCAAGATCGAGAGATTTTCGTGCGTGCTGCCATATCGCCGCATTTGATGTTTTTTTTTCGGCTCTATACAAAAAAATGGAAATGCTTAACGGGTGCTGGAGCTAACGAGATAGTAAGATAAATATGTGTAGTTAATTGTTTTGAAGAAACAGTTTTGAGGAAGTCACAAAATTAACTTTGCCATAAATTTATAGATGAAATGAAGATTTGTAGTATGGGTTAAGAAAATTATAATTTTATCCAGTTTAAGGCTAGTTTATTGTATACACGGGTGGTCAACCTCTTTGGCAGAATGGCGCTTAGAGGGCCGCATCTTGATGGCCGCAGCACACTTTCGCACATTAAAAGCGGCCAACAACACCGGAGTGCAGATTTTTTTATTTGCATTTTTAAAGTCGAGCTGAAGAGCTTGGCTAACATTTCACTTTTGTAGCAAATTTTATGGATTTTCTTTTAGAGCCATGTTTTGAGCCTGACGATGCGAATTAAACGACCAATTTAAAAAGCCAGTGTTAGAAAAGATTAAAGTTGCTTAGCTTTGAATTTTAAGGTAGTTTTCGAATACTAAAAAAAGGAAACTAGTTTTTTTGTAAGCTCTTAGAACCTGTGATTGTCCAAGAGGCCATAAAACCAACAATCACACGATGAAGATTTAGAAATTCAAATTAATATTTAAACCGCTAAACGCAGACGGACAAAGACTGCCTGATTCGAAACAGCAGAAAGCTTCAAAGCTCAAAAAGTTTAAAGAAAACAGCTGGTCCGCCAAAACATGTTTTTATCTATGGAATTATCTGCCGCACACAGCCCACTGCTCGGCCCTCCCTCATCGAACCGGTAAAGCAACCGGGTATACTTATATTTTGTATAAGAGCCTGACGTTCAGCAGACTAGTGACTTCTTGGTATTTAGTGTTTTCATTCCGAAATCAAATCGGAATCGTCGCTGTGTGTGATTGGAAGTGGTTCGTGTTGTTCTTAAATTCTAAAACCGTCAATTTAAATAATTTCTAAAGGTAAGTGTAATAAAATTAAACAGTTTATTATCGCCTACGTGCCTCGCGCCCTCCCACTTTTATCTTCTCATACAAATCGAATCTTTATTGCATTTATAACGCTGACTTGCAATTTATCTGAGCGAAAAATAGGCACAAAAAAATAAAATGGTGGCTTTTTAATTAAGTTCGAATATGCAAATGGCTAAAATGGAGCCCTGTTTATGCATTTGTTCACTTGTTTGAGTTTATGCATGACCCCTGGCCCCACCTACTTGGCTCATCCACACACCCATCTATTTACCAGTCGCCGAACTTTCCCCACCGGTCTGTTTTTATATGCAATTTATCTGTCTGTCGCTGCGTTTATTTTCTCGCACCGGTTTTTGTTTTTTTCCTCTCTCTGCTTTCTTTCTCCTGGTGGAGCAGACACGTAACCCAGCTGAAAAACAATTCTCCTCCACCTGTGAACCTGGTCTCCAGGTGGTGTCCAAAGTTTAATCTCGACTTGATGTCGACAGTTTTAATTTAATACTATGTATTATATCTACAAATAGACTGTTCGAGAACATCTCCAGTTAGACAGATATTAGCTCGTATCGCATTGAAATTGTTTTATTACAGTGAAGCTTCTTTAGTTTGAAATGCTAAGCAAAAAATTCATATTTTTTAGATGCTTATAATTATTATATTAAAAAACTATATTTTTATCTTCGTTTTTTTGTATTTAAAATGGTAATTTCTTTTCATACCCAAGGTTGACCTTTGATCTTGAAACTCCTTACATAATATTCAACTTTTAATTTTTTATGTAATGAATCCTTACTGTATTTAACACCTTCTACCGGCATGTCTATTTACCATGGCCAAATCTTATCAGCCACGTTAACAAAGGGGGGAGGGGATAGTTCAGATTGTTTGTACCATGTTCGAAGTCTGTGAACGCTTGTGAAATTCGCTGGGTGAAAGCATAAATATTATTATTCTTATGTCAAGCACCGGCCCCCTTTTTGATTTTGGAGGCATGGTCTAAGCTCGTGGCGTGATGTTAGATTACGTGCCACCGTGGCAATAGTTGTCCAATCCAGAATGAATCTTTCTACAAAAGCCAGCCAAGCTTAATTTTCAGAAAATCTAAAAAAAGAATCAAGCTATTAAGACAGTTATACAATTGAGTGTCGTCTAGGGAAGATAAGGATGGTTTCAAGATTATCAGATCGAGCCTTCGTGTCACTTGGCGCCCAAGTTTCAAATTTATCTTAGCTTTGACATGTCGTCGTTGCCCATCACTGTTCATATCAGCTGACGGAAAAACACAAGAATAAAGCTATGTAGCAAATGCCACACGCCTTTTTTATAATTTATACTATCAGGCGGCCCTGAACTTTGAGTAATAGTCGTTTGCACCCGAATAAGAGGATTTTTTTTTAGCAAGCTGATTAGAAGAGCAACAGTTGGGAGCAACAGCCACCCACCCACAGGGAAGCTTTGCTGATACCGGCGATAACGATAACTATTACAAGGTGATTCCGAGTGTTTTGTTATTTGGTTACAATAGCTTTATTAATTAAAACTAGCATTTCAAATCTTTCCCTTCGCTCTGAGAGCAGCTTATCATAGTGTGCCTGCTAAATCTTATCAGTCCGGTTGTTAAGTATTCCACGATTACGCCGATTGCGCAACAATTAAATGAGCAGAAAGCCTGAAAGTGCAGCCAGCGAGTAACGGCACTAGTGTCCGGTTATCAGTTACAAATAAGACGCGGGTGCCGCCGGAGATTGTGCCTTTTCCGGAGAGATTCCTTCCACTGTTTCCAGTGCCATTTGTTTATTTTTATTTTGGTGACAAAGCTGAAATTTTGTCTCGTTTCCAGTCGGTTCATTCATAAACACAAGCAAATCAGAAACCCCAACAATGTTCGCAATCCTCCGCACCGCCGCTAAGATGACGTCGGTCCACCAGCAGCAGCCCCAACTGGTCCGGGCTATGTTCCGGGCGAATTTCGCCAGCAGCTCCGCGGTAGGTTCATCTTCTCTTCGCCTTCTTCTCTGTCGCTCCGGCTGCCTATCATTTTCGATGCCCTCATCTCGAATATGGGTGGATCGAAAGAATGGACAAAATCCATGGTTCCATGGATGCATCATTGTCTTTTTCAAACCCCCTATCACCGTTTGGAAGCCTAGCTTTTTTGAGAATCAAATCCAATTCGAGCCACCCTATTCTGTAGGGTATCGGGATCAAAGTTCACTTTGCTTTGACTTTCTATCTGTCTAGTATTGTCACTCATAATCACATCTATATCGCCTGCGTCTAGGAAATCCTTAATCATTATCAAGGAGGCGTCAATCTGAATAAGTACACCATGGACGATGAACGAAGTGCTGCTGTGAGCGAGGTGATTGCTCTAGACACGCCCTCTCTGCCACCCATTATTCATCTGCTTTTCAAAATATGTAGCTAATAAGATAATTATAATTTTTCCATAAAAACGGCTTCAAGAACTCACTACCGGTCTGTTCTCACTCACAGATGGCCCAAAAGATTCGTGCCGGACCCGTGGTAGATGTCCTCGGTGACGAAATGACGCGCATCATCTGGGACTCGATCAAGAACAAGCTGATCCTGCCCTTCCTGGACATTGAGCTGCACACCTACGATCTGGGTATTGAGTACCGTGACCAGACCGAGGATCAGGTCACCATTGACTGTGCCGAGGCCATCAAGAAGTACAATGTGGGCATCAAGTGCGCCACCATTACCCCCGATGAGAAGCGTGTTGAGGAGTTCAATCTGAAGAAGATGTGGAAGTCTCCCAACGGTACCATCCGTAACATCCTTGGAGGCACTGTCTTCCGCGAGGCCATCATCTGCAAGAACGTGCCCCGCCTGGTGTCCGGCTGGCAGAAGCCCATCGTCATCGGTCGTCACGCCCACGCCGATCAGTACAAGGCCGTTGACTACGTTGTTCCCGGACCCGGCAAGCTCACCCTCACCTGGAAGGGCAACGACGGCCAGGTCATCGAGGAGGTGATCAACGACTTCAAGGGCGCTGGTGTCGCTCTGGGCATGTTCAACACTGATGCCTCTATCGTGGACTTTGCCCACGCCTCCTTCAAATACGCCCTGGACCGCAAGCTGCCCCTGTACATGAGCACCAAGAACACCATCCTGAAGAAGTACGACGGTCGCTTCAAGGATATCTTCGAGGATCTGTACAACAAGCAGTACAAGAAGGAGTATGAGGCTGCTGGCATCTGGTACGAGCACCGTCTCATCGACGACATGGTGGCCTACGCCATGAAGTCCGAGGGTGGCTTCGTTTGGGCCTGCAAGAACTACGACGGAGATGTACAGTCTGATTCCGTGGCCCAGGGATACGGCTCCCTTGGTCTGATGACCTCCGTCCTGCTCTGCCCCGATGGCAAGACCGTCGAAGCCGAGGCTGCCCACGGAACCGTGACCCGTCACTTCCGCTTCTACCAGCAGGGCAAGGAGACCTCAACCAATCCCATTGCCTCGATCTTCGCCTGGACCCGTGGTCTCCTCCACCGTGCCAAGCTGGACAACAACGAGCCCCTGAAGCAGTTCGCCGAGACCCTCGAGCAGGTTTGCATTGACACCATCGAGGGCGGTGCCATGACCAAGGATCTGGCCATCTGCATCAAGGGCAGCATCAACGCTGTGACCCGCAAGGACTACCAGGAAACATTCGAGTTCATGGACACACTGGCCAAGAATCTGGAAGCGGCCCTGGCCAAGAACGCCGCCGCCGCCAAGTGACTATCCGATGAGCCAAAGGCCTCGCACCTCTAAGGAACCACTCAGCGAAGCCCGGTCCTCGTCGTTGTCGTTGTCAGACTTTTAATTTCCATTTTTTTAATGTAGATGTGCATGTAGATGTCCTAGGCTAACTATTTGTGTCCTCGATGCATGTTTTTCTTCCATGTCCATTGTCTCTGCGAGACGCAATCCCCTGATTTCCCCTAAGAAAATTCAAATAAATGTATTTTTGTACCGGACTGCCGAGAGGTCTTTAACCCAGTCGTCGAGGGTGGGTGGACCTGCGGGTGGGTGCCTGTGTTATGTGGCAGTGGTTGTCCACTTGTGCGGCTTCCACTGGGTCCAGCATTATTGGATTTATGGGCGATACGCCACAGTCTTGTCTCAGCTCTTGGCACTAAAACACGGATAATTTCCAACGGAAGAACAGGAAGGCACCCAGAGCGGAAAAGGATCCATGTTTGCTACGGCCGTGGGCTATGGCTATCTGCTGGTGTACTTGGTCTGCCTGATCTGCTGGCCAGGCGATGCCTATCCGGCCAGCAACAGCTATAGGGACTTGGATATCTGCAATCACTGGGATGGCAGGAGGCACTTTCTTGAGCTGGGCTCCCCGGCTGGAGAGCTTCATGCCCGCAATGTGAGCAACACCGCCTACAGGGTGAGTTATCCTCTTCAGGAAGGATTGGATCTTTAAAAACACACTCATCCTGAAGCAGAGCTCTCCGATGGGCTTCAAAAACGATGCTGTGGCGGGCGATGTGTGGTACCAGTGCAGCCTGGAGCTGGTTACCTGCGCCGAGTGCGTCATCCGGGTCACTTTCACGTATTCCAACTTTTCCAAGAGCTGCGGCAACACGGGCGGCAAGTCTAGCATGTGTCCCTGCGAGCACATCCAGTTCTCGGAACCGCCCTATGACTCCACCATCTCTGGGCAAGAGTTCTGCGGGGATGGGAAGGTCTTCCGCAGCAAAACCAGGACCCTGCAACTGAAATTCTTCTACAGAGCCACCAATTCCCATGTCTTTTCGCTGCAATACTTCTCAGAACGTGAGTTTTTTGGAGTATAATTCCTATTTTCATTAAAATCTTCCTTTGGAACAGGAAACGTGCGGATAGTTAGTGGTTCTCCAAAGCAATCCATTGTGGGTAATGGCAGCACTAAGCACCTGCCCCAGGTCATCTCTACTCCGTACTTTCCCATGCCGTATCCCCGGGACTATGGCATCGAACACATCCTTACTTGCGAAGCCGATAATTGCCAAGTACGCTTGGACTTTACGGACTTCCAATTGGGTCTCGCCTCCACTCTGGAGATATTCGATTCCAATGGTCAAATGTTGGACTCGTATACGGGAGAACACTTCCGACCACCCATCACAGTGAGCAGCGGGAAATCCTTGCTCCTCCAGTTTCGAGGAAATGCGGCCACCGGAGTGGGTTTCCGCGCGGAAGTCAGTTTTGTTTCCTCCAAGCAGCTTAAGGATGAGCGCCTGGTTCCCTATACGGGTGAGTAAGGGGATTCCAAAGTAGGTGCTAATGGGGAGACATTTTAAATCATTAATGTAAGGATAACGACACGTTGACAATTTCCGGATTAGCTGAGCACTTGAAGGTCTGCAGGCAATTGTCATATTGATTTTGGCAGGAGGAGGAGGTAGGAAGAGGATGGAAACGGTATATCAATGTCAATGCTAGGCGTTGAAGTGGAAACTGGGTGACACTTTGGCTCGGTCCGGTTTGGTAAGACAATCGATTTCTTGGATCACTGCCCAAAGGTTGCCAACGACACCGCTCATATACATACATATAAGTCGGGAGAGGGATGGACTGATTATGCATTGTTGGGGCAGGTTTAAACCGGGGAAAGACCTTGATACTTCTGGGGGTTGGTAGAATGATGAAACAACTTGGTTTAGTTTCTTTCCATTCTCCTAGATTGTGGTGGAATGGTAACTGGACCTGGTGGTGCTATAACCATGATGAATATGATCGAAAATGCCACCGATGTACGACTCTTCGACTGCATCTGGATCATCAAGCCGGGCAACAACTACATGATGATGAAGACCCACATTTCCTTGCGGGTTGAGGACTTCTACGGAATGGCTGCGCGTTCGGAGCTAACCATCCGGCAGGGCACCACCTCGGACGCCGTAGAGATCGAGAACGTAATGTGGCCGAACAATGGCCTCAGCAAGGAGAGCCACATAGCTCCCATCCTAACAGGATACTATATTCGTTTGAGAGGAGTGTTTGGAATGTCCTCCAAACTGGCCATCGTTTACAGCGTGTTCAACTACTTGAGTAAGTCTGTTCCAATGAAGGAAGTGCCTCTTATTGATGACCTTACTCCGTAGATTGCTATATTGGCTCCGAGTTCCTGTGCGGGAACAACCACTGCATCTCTATCCGGCTGCACTGTGACGGCTTTGATCATTGCGGGGATGGCAGCGACGAGCCGGACTCCTGCGAAGAGGACTGGGCTCACCTGCACCACGATCGTCGCTGGTACTCCCACAAGCCCAACTACTACTTCCCCAAGATGGACCAATATCCGGATCTTAAGACGGCCACGGGTATTTTCATCATAAGTACCTTGGGTATCTTCGGAGTGCTCTCCGGCTGGATGGTTATCCTTTACCGCATGGGTGTTCGAGCGCGACACCAGCGAGAGCTTCAGAGTCACCTGCAGACTATCAGCGAGCTGCTGGACCGACAGGATGAGGATCGTACCCCCGACGAACCACCCAGTTACGAAGCTCCGCCGGACTATGAGGAAGTGATAAAGGTGGGTATGCAGCAGGAGCTGAGGGAACCACGACGCCAACGACGTGGCCGTCGTCCGCCGCCAAGAGATCGCAGCTGTAGTCGGGCTCCCAGTAACTGCACCATGCAATCCGTATTGCCGCTTCATCGCAGCTGCAGCCTGGATAGGGATTCGGAACTGCCAAGTACGTCAGCGGCAGCGATGACCCACGCGGTGGCCTCCACCGACACCACAGAAGACGCAAAGCAGCAGAGCCAGGCGATGGCTCAGAGGATGCTCATGGCCACCGCTATTTGTGGTAGGTAACGGGTTCCCGATAACCCAGCTTCCCCCATCCCGCCCTGCAGTCGCTAACTTACCCACAGAGTCCCATTTGCAGGCGCTGCAAGCTCGTCTCTCGCGGCAGCAAAGGAGCCAGGGATCCGCCACCAATCCGTGGGGGTTTCAACGGGCCCAGCATCGGTATCCGCTAGGGGTGAACTACCCTCAGCCGCTCAGCCAGCAGCCACGACGCCCGGGAGCACGGCGGAAGAGTCCACTCAGGGAGACGATGACTCCCTCAACATTTCACTCACTATAGGCCTGCCCTCCACCACGGTGGGGAGTCCAATGACCACCACCCAGAATCAATATATGAATCTAAACCTGGAGCAGATTGGCAGCAATTGCACAGAGCACACGTACCTGAAGCGATCCTGGTTGGTGGTGCAGCAGATGCCGCCTGGAAGGTGTTACAGAGCCCAGCGACTGCGTCATACTTTCTCTTCCCCGGAGGCCTTCTCGGCCGATGAGCTTCACCTGCCCTATCCGGATTTTCTGAGTTACGGCACCAACCTTCCCCACGAACGGAGTAGTAGTAACTTTGGATCGGAGCTATCGCGGGATCCCTCCAGCTACAGTGTGGGGAAGCGTGCTCGCATGGTCACCAGCGAAGCCAGTGATTCGGATACCATAACAAAGGATTCAGAGAGCTCCAACAGAGTCGTGCAATCACACACAACAGACCTAACGACTTTGAATCACAGCGAGAGTGATAGCGAGGCAGAGCAGCAGGTATCCTGCTTTGGAGCTCAGCGACCAAAGAGACGTAGCCGTGGTCATGTGCGGAGCCGATCCTTCAGCAACGCCAGGGCCGGTGGAAGTGCCAGAAGGAGGCGGCTTATCCAACGTAGTTCATCCGCTGATCTTCTAATGAACTACGCCGCCATGGCGGTGTCCACGCCACAGAAGAGATCTGATGGAACGCAGCGTTTGTTCTTCATTTGAAGGATTCGACAGAGAGGTAGATAATGGAACGATAGTATTACAGCCAGGTGTGATTCTGGGATCTGGTCACAGTTTAAAAGAACTGTTTATTGATTAAAATTTAAATATGATTATGTAACCACCCGAATGGAAATAAACTTAAATATTTAGCATTTTATGGGATACTTTATTCATTTATAGCCATATAAGTGTAGCAATTACCAGGTCAGGTCAAATTGTGCCTTCTTAGCCTCAAATACGCTCTTAGCCTCAAATGATACCCAGATTGTTCCAATCCTTTGAATCCCGACCGGGAGGACAATTTGACCAGCCCTGGCGCCGGGTGCCTCAAAAGTGCAAAATAATAAAAATCTAATACTCGCGTATATATATATGGAAATCAAAATGCACTTGTTTGTATATATATGATAGACGATTAGTATAAATAATACCAAGGCGTAGTCAATGTAGTAGGTCTCCCTGCTAACCAGATTCACCTACCCCTACATCTGCATCCCGTGCCTACTGCTGCAGCTGCTGCTTGAGATTTTCGGCCAGCGATTTGCCCGTCTCCAGGGGCACCACTATATTCCGCAGGCTGTCGATGCTGTTGCGCAGCTTGGTGGCCTGAAACTTACTGGGCAGCTTCGGTGATCCTCCCACCGAGGCAAATGCAAAGGTCTTGTACTCCTGGGCAGCCATTACAAATGGATTGTAGAGAAGGGCATTAGGTATGATATATACATGGGTTTTATTATTGCAACAGCATAATATCAAAAGTAATAAAAATAAGGGATAAACAAGAATTAAGAAATCCAACAGATACTAAATAAAGATTCTTCGAGCGTATAGGTGTGCCGAGTGATTGCTTGTGTCGTGGTGTATGGCGTTTATAAATTAAACAAAATGATAAGAGCTTCATGTGTACTCTCTCCTGGCTAGCCCAACTCTCGGCTAAACACCAGAGATATACGCATATCTTAATTATAGAAATAATACACAATAAACTAGGTATAGAAAACTGTGGAAATTCCAGTCATGATGGTTGCTCTCGAATGATGCATTGCTTCCTAAGTTACCTGATTGCCGCTCGGCGAACTGGCCTCGCTGACTGTCGTGGGAGCCTGACCCATGTACGATTGGAACGTGGGCGTGGGTCCCCCACTCCCAGTTTCCCGGTTTCCACCTCGCGTGGTCACCTTCTCCTGCAGCGAGTTGAGGGTCTTCGAGAGCCAAGGCTGCCAGCTGTTGCGGTTGGTCTGCAGTTCGCTGAGCGTATTGTTGAGCTGATGGTTTAGGTCCTGGTTCTTGCACTCGGCCTCCACTTGAGCGAGCTTTGCCTGGGCCAGCTCCAGTTCCAGTTCGCGGATACGCTGCGCTGCGGCGTTGAGTGGATCCAAAGGTCCCAGCGGTGGCTCGTTGGCATTCCGCATGGCATCCGATTGCCGCTTACTCTGGCCGTCGCCCGATTTCGCGTTGTCATTGACGCCGTCGATCTGCTGCAGGCAGTCCTGGCATTTAGAAACCGTGTTCTGGAAGAGAACAAAGAGAGAATTATCATTTGAGATAGGGTTTCTTTATGTCTACTTACCATCACCTTACTCAGCGTCTCGCTGAGCGTGTTCATGTCCTGCTCCTGGCGTTGAATGATTTGCTTGTATTCCTGTATGATGCCTGTGTGTTTCTTCTCCTTTTCAACAGCCCTTTCCTTGGCCGCTGTGAGCTGCTGGTTTAGCGCGTCAATCTCGCTCTGTAGCTTACGCCGCTCCTCGCCAAAGCGACTCTCGTAGATCTGCGCCTCCTTCTCCAGTCGCTCCTTGTGCTGCTTTTTCAGCAGAAACTCCTCCTCGTACTGCTTCAGCTTCTTGATCTTCCGTTCGCAGGCTTGTTTCATTACCTTACGAGCCTGACTTGAGTTACGGCACTTCTTGGGCAGCGTCACTCGGAAATACTTGAGAATACCTTCAAAATCAAGCTGCCGCAGATCTGATTCGCAGATTGACAGCAGGGTCACGGCCACCTGAAAGAGGACAGGCAACCCGTCCAGCAGGAATACATCCAGAACGTGGAAAACGAAGCAGAGCGGGAAGCGAGCGGTGTACAATGTGAGAAACCACTGCGAGGCGTACATGTGCGTCTCAATACCGCAGGCCGTGAAGTGTTCGTGCAGCTTTGGCAACTGATCCTTGATCAGCCGCTCCAGCTGGTACAGACGCAAGTAGAGAACCTCAAAACCTGCCTTGTAGAGATCTCGCAGCCCATAATCATACATGAGGGCCACTAGGACACAGAAAGCATCCTCCTCGGGCATCTGAAAGGGAATTTTACAATATAATTAGTATATTATTTGTTTTAGAGCATTAAACCTCACTCACATGAAGCAACAGGCTGGCTGCAATGAAGCTGAGACCTTGACAGTAACCGACTTCGCTATCGTGGACTGCATAGGCTTTGGACACCTTGAAGAGAGCATCTTGACCAGAGCCTCCGGTCTCCTTGAAGCATTTGTGCGCCGGGAAAGTCCGATGGATGTCTCGCTGAATTACTGTCTCACATTTGGTTTCCTAAAATACATTTTTTAAATAAATTAGTAAGCCTTGTAATCTTAATCAGATTAATAAATGCTTACTTTGGTGATCAGGATCTTGTATTTATCGTTCATCTCCATCTTGCCCTCAACGTTGGCCAGCTTCTGCCAAATTTTTTCACGCAGTGCCTCCGGGACACCCAAACGTACTAGGGGAGCGAGATTTTTGGGCCTCTTCTCCCCATCCCATTCTCGTAAAATCGGATCCCACTCGTCCAAAGTATCCTGCGAGCAATCCTTTGACACTTCGCCAGTGCCACTGAGCAGGGGCTCATCCCCATCGCTGCTGTAGTCCGTGGGACAATCATCCTCAATGGAGGCTATGGACGAACTGCGTACGATACGCGACAGGCTCATGCCCATTTTTACAAGCGAGCTTTGCTGGCTGCCCTGCTGCTCTGTTATCTCCTCAGAGGGGTCGATACTGTTTACTTTCCAGTTAGACTCATCGATTCGCTTTAAATGCAAATAGAATCGCAGAGTCATCGGACGCTTGGACATGAAATGGTCCATGATACGCATCTCACTGGCCGACTGAATAGTCACTGGGGTTTCGATGACGAATCGCACAGGCTCCTGGATGCGGCGCATCACAATGTCCACGGCAACAGTGAGGTTGGTCTTAGAAGATTCCAGATTCAACTGCTCGAACGCCTTTTCCTGAGCTTTCCACTCCGCTCGAATGACATACGGAAGGTTAGAATTCTGCTGGTTGCTATCCGATTCAGTGGAACCCCCAGGAGAAACATAGCCCATGCTGTGCATATCTATGAGATGCATGTCCTTTTGAACCACCAGTTTTCCTGGAGCCACTAGAACGCCAAAACATCGTTCTATGTACAATGGTTGGAGTATGTTTGAGGGCGTCTGTTTGACCGTAATGCACACTTCCTTGTCCGTGTTTGCACGGAGCTTGAAGCAACCCCTATCCCTTGGCACGGCAGCATATGAATTCTTGGCCACCTTCTCTCGTATTTCCAACGATACTATAAACTCATAGCCAGCAGTGTTCAATGGATTTCCGCTTACATCTGAGGTCACTGAGTTGGCCATATCTACGGCGGAGTTGAGACTGCAACTCATGCTGGGCGGATACGTTTGGAATGCCTTCTGGAAGCAGGCTGGAAAAAACAGGGTTCAATGATCATTGGAGGTAACCGCAAATCACATTCCAAAATTGACTCACCGCTGACTTGATTAACCGCCTCGGGAATATGGCAACGGAATACATGGCACTGGAACAGTGCATCCCCATGCAACCACGTGAAGGCGAAGCAACCATTCTCCACTGTGTCCACGGGTCCACGATAATACAATATGATGCTGGATATTTCATATGTGGCAATAATCGTATTACTCTCGGCGTCGTGCAGTCTGTTTAAAAATAATCCCATAATTTATATGATAAATATTAAAACGTGATTAATGTATTTACTCACACGACCAGACCATCGGAGCAATTGGGAATGCTCACTGTAATTTTTAGACCAACCGATTTGGAGCCGCTATTTAGTTCGCTCATAATCCGATATACATCCGTCTCGGATTTGGGGGCATTGATATTTGCGGCACCCAGATAGGTCACTCCCGAGAAGATCGTGCATCCTTGATCGATTTCTGAAACTGTTTTATTGGTTTTATGCATATTTTATGAACATATTATTGGGTTACCCTACAAAATATATTTATTAATAAACTTAAAACAAGGTGTCAAGTGTTTTTAAGTAAGTTCTTTTGTGAGGTTATTTACCCATGTATTTTTGGCATCATTTTCTTTGTATTTCCTGATATTTTTTTTATTTCAATATTGACAACTTACCCTCTTCGTCGGTGGTGTCTCCTTTTTCTGGCTTCATTGCATCCTGCTTCTCCTCCAAGCAAGCCGGACTCGCATCTATGCAATCATAAAACACGGAATGACCCACTCTATTCGAGCTGGATGCATCGTCAATAGCTTCCTCGCTCTTGGGCGAGAACATAGTACAGGGGAAACGCATCTCTGGATCGGCAGATCTACCCCCGGCACCCGTCAGTGGCAGGGTCAGGGACTTTTGCTGGTGACTAGGCAGGCGCTGCGAACTCTTATCGCCTCCTAAAAATATTTAAATTGACAATTACGCACTGAATTGAACGGAATTCAATTTATTAGTGCTATGAGGCAGTTTGTTTGTCGATTGTTTCCATGACAGCGTAGCAATAGCACTACGGCTCTGAAAGATAAGATTGCAGCTGGCTAGCCTGGCTAGCTAGCTGGCTTAGCAAACCGATGATATGCTACGCTTCCAATTTGGAGCGAGCGTTCACGATGTGTACACAGTTGGCGGAGGGCAGCGACTGAGTAGTTATAGAGCTAACACCCTTCCCGAAGTTTCATTGCTACACTTACCTACGACGCCGCCGCCGCCGCGTTCTAGTTCCAAATCCCTCAAGGCATCCGTCATTTCGTGTTGTATGTCGCTCAGATTGCGATTGTGGGACATGTCCAGAGTGGGCGAACGGTCTCCCCCTGGCGAAGACAGAACCAGTGCGCTCAAAGAAGTGGGTGGCTTCCCAGCGCTCAGCTCATCGACATTTTTCTTATCCTGGTTTAGGGACCTCTTTGTTTGCTCCGTGGGACTCGCCACATTGCTGTCGGTGACTATTTCGTATTCCCCGCTGGTAGTAATAGAGGATTCCGAGGACTTGGTGCTCAGATTATCATCCATTCTGAACGCTCAAGATTCCAAAGTTTCTCTTTGTGCTGGATTTTTTCTTAGCTTCGACTATTTCCAGCCCTACGAATGGCGCATTGTTCGACAAATCAATTGCTGCCTCAAGGTTATTACTCGCTTTTTATAGATTTCTTTGGGGGTCTGTTTAATTTGTCCAATTTTCAGTGGAGTAGCATTGTTTGGATTTCTTTTAGTTCTCCGCCGTAAATCGATGACGAATCGGGTCTGTTTGGGTTTGGGATTGGGGGCGTTGATTGCGCCGCACACACACGCGCATGTATGTCACACAGCGCCCACTCTTAAGGGGCGGGGGCGTGGCGTGGCGGTGGGGTCGACGGGGTCAACAGTTTGCTGCGGATTCCTATGGATTTTTCGTTGGCCGCAGCTGATGTAATTGCGTAGAGGTAGCACGGTCTTTGAATTATTACGTGAAAACACTTTATTTGTCTAATTCACGCACTTTAAATGGATTATTTAATAATATAATAGGGTATTAATGCAATTTTTGTGCAATTTTTACCTCTGTTTTGTTTACATATTTTTTTTTTACAGTGTTGGTAAACTGCAGTTAGGTCATCGATAGCCATCAGCTGTTCACGTTGTGCAATACTTTTGGAACCCGAAAATCGGTCACACTGCGGTCTCTGCCTTAAATTTAACTTTACCGGAATATTCAATAAAAAAGTAAAATTTACCAACTAAAATGAGCCAGAAAGTGATCAAGTACATTGGCCGCACCACGGACTTTCGGGGCAACACTCTGTGGGAGTTGGTCTCCGAGCTGCCCAACTGGGGAGTGGGTCGCATGCTCATACGTAACATGTTCCAGCGCTACCCGGAGCCCTGCTACATGCGGATTCTGAAGGTGCAGGCCGTGGATGAACAGCCGGGAGAGGCTCGGAAAGTACGGGTCACCGTGGAGAAAACCTGGCGTGGAGTCACCCAACCTAAGCCCGTGGAGATCTACAGCACCAGCTACAAAGCCGACTACGAGCTAGTCCCACAAGACCAGGAGGCCAAGTACCTGAACAACAACAAAAAGGTGGAGGAGGTGGTACTCCCTACCTTGATTGATCTGCCACCACTGCTGAGGGAGTTCGTTACCGAGGAAACCGGCAACTCCAAACCCCAGATGAAGGTTCACTTTAAGAGAACCCACAACAAACTGGCGAGACTAGCGAAAGATGGCGAGAAACCCTCAGTAAGTTTTGGAGTCGGTCTGGGACAACCAAAACCCGTTAGCGCCAAACTTTACGAGGGACTGCTGGGATCCGAAAAGTTGTTAAAATATTAAATACATTTATTATACAATTAATCTTAAGCACAACGAATTTGTAAACTATCTGTACATGGGATAGACTGTGGAATGGAATACAATGGATGGGAATACTGGCATCATTTCGAGGCTTCCAAGGCGCGCAACTTCCGCGTGAGGTTATCTACTTCCAGGCCTAGAACGTCCAGGTTTTCCTTAAGCGTAATATTCTTCAGGAGCGTGTCCTCGAGTACTGTCTGCAGCTTCTTGTTAATCTCCAGAGATAGCTCCAGCGACATGGCTTTGTTTTCACCTCCGGCCTTTGAAGATCCTCCGTAGATGGCTGCCATAATGCCGTTTCCGTACTTGACCAGCTCGCTCTTGTTTTGGTCACTGCGGGAGGTGGTCAAGGCCCCAGCCGTCTGATCCCTGAGCATGTAATGCTGCACTACTTTAGATTTCTTTTGGACCTCGGCCACCAGGGCAGCTGTATGATTTTCGAGGAACTCAATTCGCTCTGTTTGCCGAGCAGTGGCTTGCTGCAGACGTAGAATTCGTTCTACCAGGACTTTTTTGGAAGGTACCGCTTGAAGATCCGGTTGTCCAGAGGAAATAGATGGCGGTGGTTGAACCGTTGTGGCAGTGCTGGCTACCGTCTCTGATTCGGATGATTCGCTGGCTCTCCTGCTACCGCTGTGCATGCTACCATGGCTGCTGGATCGACTGTGGCTGCGCTGATTCTGAGGGACGTGCTCTGTGGGGTAGCCATTTAGCGCCTGCTGACAATTGCTGCAGTATGCAATGGGAGACTTTGGTTCTGAAATGCCTTTTTTGTACTTGTTCAACTCTCGATGAAGCTCCTTCACCATTGTGGTATGCTTGTGCTGGGTGGCCTCAAAGTCGCCCAGTACATCTTCTAGCTTCTGCTTGGTCAGTTCATATAGTTTGGTTTTTTCTGATAAATGCTTGGCTAAAATTAAACGCTCCTCCCCCTTCTCCGCCGCCTCCGAGCTGAGTTGCTGCTCCAGTTGATTGTACTTGGTATCGTAGCTAAGCTTTTCTTGCTTCAACAATTTATTCTCAGCCTCCAACCCTTGGGCCTGAAATAGAAAAATATCCCGGTTAAAAATTGAAAGATCCTCGGAAAGTAAGATTTAGCATGCTTCTGACACGGCCGTTTTCATAGCCTCGGTGGCGCAGTTGGCAGCGCGTAAGTCTCATAATCTTAAGGTCGTGAGTTCGAGCCTCACCCGGGGCATGTACATTTTTTTTATATTTTTCTTTAATTTTTTATTTTGTTTGTCTTACCTTGGATTCCGCTAAACATATATCATTCTGAAGACGCACTATTAGTTCACTCATTTCCTTGTTGATTGTGAGGAGCTCCTGCTTTTTGACCTTCAGTTCCTGCAGATCGGTTTCGTTGTCTACCGCTAAGGCCTCTAGTTGCTCAATGCGGGTCTGCTCCTCGGCCAACTTCTCTTCATTTCTAGAAAAGAAATAATATCTCACATTTAAAAAGGTTTTCCTTCACTGATTTAAAATATTTCATACACTTACATTGTATTTTGAGTCTTCAATAGTTGAAGTTCCTCCAATTGTCCTCTAAGTTTTGCAGAATTCAACAGTTCATCGCTATAGGAAGCCTCAACAAAATTGTGTTGTTCCTGTAACCAATTCATATCCACTGTGAATTGGTTGTGCTGTAAAAATCAAGGCAAAGAATTAAAACCCTTCAGCCACTTGTTAGTTTTTAATCATACTGCAGTTGTAATCTCTTGGAGCTGTTGCTGTAGTTCCTTGTTAGTTTCGTTTAACTTTTGCTGTTCCTTGGTCATTTTTTCCAGAGCCTCAGTCTTGCTTGTGATCTCGTGCTTCAAGAGTATTGTGTTTGCTTCAAATTCCATCTTCAGCTTTTCTGTAAAATAAACACACAATTCGAGAAAAATAGAAAAATATTAATTAAAAAATATAAATTTACCATTGGCCTTTTCTTCAAGTTTGTTTGGGGCATTCCTTTCCTCTTCCAACTTTCGTTCAACGACCTAGTAAGGAATTCGGATTATTAAACTGCTTTTCTCCAAATGTGGTTAGTCTTACCGCCTTAGCTTCTGTCTCATAGTTCAGCTTGTTTATATGATATTTAAGCTTTGATTCCAAGTGACTAATTTCCGTTTTGTACTTCTCGCACTCCCTCTGATATTTCCTTACTTCGTTGCACTGATAAAAAATGAAAAGATTAGAATCAAACCACATAGGAAACCCTCACACCCACCTTTTCGTCGATGATATACGTCATACGTGACTTTTCTTCATTTACAGCCACAAATTTTGTGGATATGTTCTTAACCTCTTTTTTGGCCTCCGCCAACTGCTTTTCCACCGCCTCCTTTTCCTTCTTGGCATCGATGAGAAGCTTCTCCTTCATGGCAAATTTTATTACGGTGGACTCTTTCTCCTTGTTGGCCATGTCCATTTCCTTGCGCGCCGCCTGCTTCTCCTTATCTAGTATGGCATTTTCCCTTTGGATAAGGGTAATCATATTGTCCTTTTGGAGATTGGATGTACGTAATTGATCCAACTGTTGTTCAAAGCTGCGGCGTTGCTCCTCCAACTGAGCCAGGCAGTGAACGTGGGAGAGTATATCATTCTGCGGGGGTTTTGATTGATTGGCTTCCAGCTCCAACTCAAGTTCCACCTCCTGCTCCTTCTCTTGCGTCTGTAGGTCCTTAAATCGCACAGTCAGTTCAGCAGCCACTCCTTCCTCGATGGGCAGCTGATCCAGAACGGCAGCTTTTAGATCCTCCACCAATTTGACCTCATTATGGACTTCGGGTACATCGCTCTGGATTTCACTTTTTCCGTTGGTCTTTTCCATCTGGAGATCCAGTAAAGCCACATCCACGTCGCTCGTTTTTTCCGCTGCATCGTTGGTTTCCTGTCCTGAATCCACTTTTTTCTCCTTCTCTGGACTCACCGCCTCAGCCGGCTGAGTCGCCTGGGCTGTTTCCATTGTTATCTGCGACTAAATTGTCATTTAAATTCCTTAATAAAGAATTCGCTTTGTTTTTGCGAAAAACAAAGCAGATGTTTATTGATACCCTAAAAATACCGAAAAGGTAAGACAGATGGTATTTATCGCGACGCCAAAAAGAGAGCTATAGTTTTTTTTTTACCAAATTTTTGGATATGAAATTGCAGCAAAGTTTTCCTTTTTTAATAATAATGTAATTCTATTAATGTAAATGCATTTAATTAGTTTTCTAAACGGATATTTAAAAAAATATTTAGCAATCGCAATCATTATTGTTATGGGCAAAGATGAAGGTCACACTATCCAAACAGCTGTTCTGCAATGTGCATTTGCTGCGTTTGTTTACATTTTAATCTATTTTGATTTGAATTTTAAAATGGTCTGTGCTCTGGGAATTGAAGGCAGTGCCAATAAAATTGGCATTGGCATAATAAAGGATGGCGAGGTTTTGGCCAATGTGAGAAGAACCTACATTACACCACCAGGAGAAGGTTTTTATAAAATAATACAAACTACCGGCTACTTGATTTAATGAAATCATTAAAATCAACAGGTTTTCTGCCGAAGGAAACAGCCAAACACCATCGAGAAGCAATTTTAGGCCTAGTACAGTCCAGTTTAAAAGAAGCCAAGCTTCAACCCGCGGATTTAGATGTTATATGCTACACCAAGGGCCCTGGGATGGCGCCTCCTCTGCTAGTAGGGGCCATTGTGGCCCGCACCTTGTCCCTCCTTTGGGAGAAGCCGCTCCTGGGCGTTAATCACTGCATCGGCCACATCGAGATGGGTCGCCTTATTACCGGTGCCCAGAACCCCATTGTTCTTTACGTGAGTGGCGGCAACACCCAAGTTATAGCTTACTCCAACCAAAGATATCGCATCTTTGGAGAGACCATTGACATTGCTGTGGGCAACTGCCTGGATCGATTTGCGCGCATCATTAAGCTCTCAAACGATCCCAGTCCCGGCTACAACATAGAACAGCTAGCCAAGAAGAGCAAGAGATACATCAAGCTGCCCTACGTGGTTAAAGGAATGGATGTGAGCTTCTCTGGAATACTTTCTTATATAGAAGATCTTGCTGAGCCGGGAAAAAGGCAGAATAAAAGAAAAAGACAGCAGGAAGAGGAAGTTATAGACTATAGCCAAGCAGATTTGTGCTACTCACTACAGGAAACTATTTTCGCCATGCTGGTGGAGATTACAGAGCGAGCTATGGCCCATTGTGGCTCCAATGAGGTCGGTATATATATATTTCTGCAATCGAAACTTAGAATATAATAGTCTTTATTTATAGGTTCTTATTGTGGGCGGTGTGGGCTGCAATGAACGATTGCAGGAGATGATGCGTATTATGTGCGAGGAAAGAGGAGGAAAACTATTTGCCACCGATGAACGCTACTGCATCGACAATGGCCTAATGATTGCCCATGCTGGCGCTGAAATGTTCCGGTCTGGAACGAGGATGCCGTTAGAAGAAGCCTTTGTTACACAAAGATTTAGGACTGATGAAGTCCTGGTCAGCTGGCGGGAGGATTAATCAGTATCAGTACTCAGTGTGCTTTGATTGTTTATTAAATGACTAATTTCCAACTAGATGATTTGATATTTCACATAATAATTATAAGTGTGTAGGTTTGAGGAACATATTTCCATTTAGAGGGCCTGTTCTTTACCCGTCCACTGGGGTTTAAGGTCCAGGGGAAAGACCCGCTTGCCCTCGATAACATACACAGCTCCGTTTTTGTCCTTCTCCAGGACACTGAGAATACAGCGAGACACATCAGCGGCACTCTGCTTATTCAGCCTGTCCAGAATCCTATACGTCTCATCACTGGTCTCCGGGAAGATGATCTTTTCCGTAAAGTTGGTGAACATATCCGTCATTGTAGCTCCAGGGCAAACGGTCACAAACCTAATTCCAGAACGCTGATAATACTTTTCGTTCTGGGAACCAAAAAATAGGATAAGTATCCGAAAGATATATAAGGATTCTTTTTAATTACCGCCAGGCAGCGAGTGAAATTGATGATGCCCGCCTTTGTGGCCCCATATACCGGAATGATGAACATCGGGTCTAGTCCCACCACTGAACTCATGTTGACAATGATTCCTCCCTTGCCGCCGTGATCCTTGCCCATGTAAGGCAAGGCACTCAAGGTGGAATTGATGATTCCTCCTAGATTGACCAGCAGAGTGCGCTGGACATCCTTGTCATTGAAAATGCCAGCCACATTCACCACAATGTCGATGCTTCCGAAGGTCTTAGCTATCTCCTCGTAGGTGGCTTCCACACCCTTCTTGTTGGCCACATCCATCTTGACGATCATCACACTCTGCGTGGGATGGGCTGCCCGCAGTTTAACGAACTCCTCCAAGTTATCCTGCAGATCGATGATGGCCACCTTCTGGGGAAGAAAACCTTTTGAAAAACTATTCCCGGCAGCTACAGCAAAGAAATGACCTACCGCTGCTCCGGCGGCTAGAAGTTGCTTGGACACCTGGAGACCGATGCCTCCAGCTCCACCAGTGACTACTGCATTCTTGCCGCGAAAAGACATCCTTCTCTGGTTGATGATTGTTGCTGTTGGAGGGAGTATTCCTGGAAGCTCAGAGCTCTTCAATTGTTGCCGGTGCACTGATGATTTAAAGGCCACCGGGCGTCGTTTTTATAGCTGTTTTCCCGGGGTTATATGATATATCTTGGAGTGACTTTGGTTCGGCTGCAATCAATAGCCAGTTTTCCACCTGCTCTGGGTTAGGATTATGCAAACTCACGCCGCTATATCGATTTCCATCTGGGCCGGCATAGCCGCTCTAGCGTTCAGTCTGAAACACATCGCTCTGGTTTTTGCGATGTCAGCTTTGCATCAGTGATAATGCCATAATAAGATAAAGCCGTGATCTTCCATTGATTTTGTCTTTCAGCCCATCTAGACTTCTTGTATAATATTCCAAAAAATGATCTTTCAAATCAATAAATCTCTGTCTATAATGGAAAGTTTTGTGTTTATTTATTCAAGCGAAAATCTTATAAGAACATAACATATCCATTATGTATGTCGTATATCTTTGGTTTCTATATATGATAATTCAATATCTTTCACAAATTTCAATATTAAAAGTGTATTCATATCTTAAGACTAGCAAACATGGATCTCAATACCATGAAAGATATATAAATTTCGATTTGGATTTGCTTTTGAACTTTTGTTTTGGGCCGCTTCAGAGGATTACGTATCGAAGTAGAACTCAGAAAAATCATAAAATAAAGGAAAATCAATAGAAAATATTCAAAATACATGAATTTATTTGTAAGCACTTAAATTATCACAAACTTAGATTATATACAAAAAGTAATTACGATAAATAATTGTAGCTACCGAAATAATTGGGGAAACACAAACTAAGGAAACACAAAAGGTTCTAAAAAGGAGTGTTCTTCAAGAGGGGGTGATTGTGGGCGGTTTCAGGTGGGAGACCATTTAGTGGGCGCCATCGTAGGTGTCCTTGTGCTGGTAGCCACTCACATAGCCGGAGTCATCAACCAGGTTGCGGCGTCCGGCAATACCCTTGCCCTTACCGGTGGCATCAAAGCGCTCCTTGTGGGAACCGGTGTACTTGCTGGTGTCCGTTAACCGATCCACAGCAGCAGCTGCCTTGCCAGCCTAAAAATTATTAAAAATATTTTAATAATATTCCAATAAGATCTTTTTTTAGGCACCCACCGAAACGGAAGCCACTCCTGGAGCTCCACAGCCCGCCAACTTCTGCTTGATCTCCGCCAGCTCAACCTTTTTCGTCTTGGCCAAATCATCAAGGAATTTGTTATAGTCCGCCAGCGAGATCTTCATGGCTTTGAACTTCTTGAAATGGATTCCCGTATCCGTGGTGGTGATCTTCTTGTCGATCACTTTGGCCTGCTTCATCCACTTGTCGCTCTGGGAGAGCGTGATCAGCTTGCCATCGGACTTGGTGTCTCCGAACTTTGAGAAGGCCTTGAACTGATCCGCGAAGCTGACCTTGGGCGTCTCATCCTCAAGAGCCAGTTGGGCCAATTCTGCTGCCGGAGCCTCAGGGGCGGGCGATGGACTTCCATTTGCTGCCTCGGACATGCTGGCTCTGAAAAGGATGAAGAATGGGTGAATTTATTATTTATATCGAGACAAGCACGATTGGTTGGAAGTTTATAATTGAAAATTTCCGAGGTTATTGCACTTTTTAAGGTTACAGGGAGGCAGATTCACATACTATAAAGGGGACCTCCTTTTAAATGGACTTAAAACTATTTAATATTCATAGACGGATAGGTCAGCTTTGTGTTTTTCTTGAGGACTTTATTATCACGCAATTTTTCCCATTCCATTTAGACATATTGGAAAATTACCTACGCAGTATCTCACCTATGGGCCACAACGCTGACCAGCATTATTGCGGTGGGTCTGGCTACCTTCGGATACTAACGACCCTCTCTTCCCATACGAGTCTTTACGACCAGCTTATCTGTCTTTTATTCATTGTTAGATTCCTATCTCAATGATATCACAGTATTATTTACTGAATAACAATAATGTACCCACCCAAAGAAAACACAAAGCTCTCTCAGCTGATTGCGAATTTGGGAGAGAGGTCCAATAACGTCCAATGGCGTCATACATTAGGTCCCCCTTCCGCTAACACAGCCAATTATCATCTATATACGAGGTCCAAACAAACGAAAATAAATAGCCAACAGGTTTGGTTCCTCTGGGTTCTCAATGGGGGTCAACATATAGCGGTAGCTTCTAACCAAACTCAAGTATTGTGATTAGTTTATAACGTAAACAGTTAATGAATTTGGCCAAAATCCCTGAGGCTAGAATCTACAAAGAATATATGCAAATTAATTTTCCCAAACATTGCCAAGTATTATGTCCATTCTTCCAGTTTTAGGGTCACTTACTACCGCATACCTCACTTAATTTGTTGCCCATGGTACGTGGCATAAATTTGGATGATAATTTAGTTTTAAAATTGCTTGTAGCATAAATTGTCGTCATGTTTACAGGCTACCCAACACGAAGTCGAATACGGATGGCCGGGGAACCGAATCCTCCCATAAACAGTAAATAAAACGTGAGCATTTATTGGCGGGACCATTAATTACGCACCACTTAGGGCTCGGCGGTTGAGAGTTGGAGCCCCCAGGAGAGCTGGAAGCTGTTGGGAATCATTTAAGGCGGCGATAAGATACGATTGCAACCAGTTTTGGTGGCTCCTCTGCATGATGCGAGATATACGATGCTGTGGCTTGTGCCTGGACAGATGTTAACAAATTGCAAAAAGGATGCGATGTGTACAAACACAAACTGCAGCCGAAGGTCATGGCTGAGCCACCCAATTGCCCCGACCTTGGAGCAGGCCGTCGAGCATAGCAAATGCTAAGGCCCCCATTCCCAACCCAAATCAAATAATGGCTGACTAGTGACTAGTGCGAAGTGAATCGCGACCGGGCGCTTATGTCATCGCCTCATTACGTAGCCGGGTTTCATGTGTCGATTACGCGGCTCAGGGATCAGCTTCTAATAGCTTTCTAAGGGGTGAGGCTATTTCATAGTTCGTATATAAAGTATATTTTCTGATAATCCGCTGAATTTATCTCTTTAATCGGCATGGTTAATTGAGAGCATTGCATGCATCGTGGGTCGCCTGCCTCATTAATCATCAATCATCTTCTTGGAGCCAAGAATAGGGGGGTTATTGAACTTGAACTTCGCCGGAGCCGAAACAAATTGCCGAACCCGTCCCCAGAGCAGACTAATGGAACCAAAGGGAGTACAGAAACCTCCTCCCCGGCTTGTAATTGGAAGCCATAAATACTGAAAAACAAGAAAAGTTGACAAACTACACCACAAAAGAAGTTGGAATATGCAAGAGGCAGCTTAAGATATGAACATGTTAAGTACAACGAAGTTTAAAGTCTCTAAAAATGTATTTTTAAATATTAATTATATAGTCTAGGCCCAGCCAGGAAATACAAGCTCAAAACCTTTTGAAAACCAAATATGTATCTTCCTTGGGATAAAATGTACAATCTATTTATGGATCATTTCATTTACTTAAAAAACCTATATTTATTTTTAAAAACATTTCATGTCCTCCGTGTCCATGTTACCCATCATAAACATGACCGCAGGCCACTGAAAGCGAGCCAGTCTGATGGGGAGCGTGGATAGTCTAAATCAGAAATAATCCGCTTTGACTGTCAGGCCATAAATAATTTCTTGTATTCTTGTTTTTCATCTCTGCCTTGTGTTGTATTTTAGATCTGTGAACAAGTTTCCAGACCATCTTCACTCGAGCATTGCGAATTCATTGGCAACATTTTAATTAGTTTTCCAAACCGAAATGGTAAAAGTTAATTGGAGAATATTTATGGCATGAATTTAAATAGGTATATGAATAGGTATGAATAGTTAGCCATATATAGAAAACAATTGACTTCCCAGTGGGGAGGATGAACTTATTATTAACCCAACCTACCTCAAGTGCTCGGCCAGAGAACAAATGAAATTTAATAAAAGGGAAATTTAGGTCATCTTGTGGTTTATTTATAAATGTAACAACCAGAAGGGGAGGCATATGAAACGATGCAGTCCATGTCCAAACATTTGTTCGTGTTTTACATAAACATTCTGATATATTAGCGCCCCGAGCTGAATACATAAATTAAAATTATTTGTTTTTTTGGGGTCGTGGAACAGGAAGTAAAGGGGATTCTGATATAGCACGCAACGCAATAGAGAAATCATTGACTTAGGGGCCTATGCTCTGGACTTGTGCATACATCAGCACTAGCCCAGATGACATCACTGGGAGCTGGGAAACGCGCAAGCGCCATTTCGGAGAAGGGGTTCCTCTGGGGAGAATGGGGGGTCTCTGGCTGATGATTCAAACACACGCATATATACACACGGAAGCGGAGAAAATGCGCCTAAAACGATGCCAGAACAATGCCTCCTCCAAACGGAAATTGAAAACAAAGCTGCAGCTGAAGCCGTGAAAAAAGGGGAACGCGATTGGATGTCAGAATTAGGTCAGAATCTGCACTTGAAATCCTGCACAGCATACACTTGAAATATACAAAGCTCTGGCTGGAGGCTGGGTAAACTTTTAGGACTCGGCCGAGTTAAAAAAAAAATTAATTTAGACGTCCTTAGATAAAGTTTATCACACTTTCAAAAACTTACATTTAGTTATAAAATGTATCAAAATCGCCGAAAAAAATAATTAGTGTTTCCTTGGACTTGCTTCCAAAATATTTTTAAGGCAAACGCGCGAATGCTGGCAATGTCGAAACTCAACTGTTTGGGCAAATGCGCAGCCAGCAGCTAGCAAAGGCCCAAGCGGCGTATGAGTGATATTTTTGTTTTGAGTGAGCTTTCGTTGAGTGGAAATGACGAACCCCTCCAAGAACCTCTTCTACATAATGTTTACCAAACAAAAGGCAACAAATCAAATGGGGCCTGGGATTACAAATTTCACACTTTTCAGTTTTTGTGAATGAGATAAAACGAAAGAGATTGGATTTTGATGGGCTGTGGTCTGACCCCTTGTCGATTTTTTTTCAGGCGATGACTTCATTTCGCAAAATTTTTATAAACCGAAACTAACAACGAAAGCCCCGCGACGAAAACCATTTATCAAACGAAAAAAAAAAACAACTCAGAATAGCAAAGTAAAGTCTTATCAGCCCAACAAGTTTTCTCAAATTTGAGTTTGTTGTGAGTAAAATAGGAATGTATTAAGCTTTAAGCTTTTTTGTTAGGGAATATAGACCAGGCGGTGGGGGAGGTGTTGGGCTATAGTCTGAGCCAGTAAGATAGTCAATTTTTATGTGACTACTAGAAAGGCATAAAACTATGCGTGAAATTGTTGGCTAACAAAACACGCACAACAAGTGACAAAGAATTTTAGTTTGGGAATAGTAATGAGGCAGACTTGGAGGAACTTTGGGAATCATGGGGGCGTGTAACTATAGCTCTACTAACTATACAGCTCATGGCAGGGGTCTGCCCTCAATACTCAACTATGCAAATGACTTTAGATTTGGATTTGTTTGCCGCCTTAAATGGTAAATGGGTTCTTTGAACTTGATGTTATTTATATTGTTTTCGGAGGGGGCAGGTAATCAGGAAAAAGTAAAAGTCAAGAGGAAATCATAAGGAAATTGCTTCACACACAATAAAATGATTAAACACAAGCTCAAAAACAACACAAGTTCCTTCCCGAAACCCAAAACAAACCTTAAGCCCAAAAAAAAGGCATGACAATGATTTATGGGAGCTGACTGTCGGAATTATTTGGTTAGTTTCGTGGCTAAGTGGCCAAAATGATGAAGTCATAGGCTTGGCCCAAAGTAAAAGGCAGCGAGTCATTTTTTGGTACCCTTAGAAATTTAAAAACAGGTTCTTCACTCTTAAACTTTGATTTAAATTTCTTTATGGATATTTATATTTTGTATCAGTGCTTTTGCAAAAGATTCATAAATGATACTCAGCCTCAGACATCAAACATAGTTTACCATAATATGGCTTCATGCAATATTCTTGGAGTTGATGCACTTTAAAAGACATTTGATCTACGAATCGTTTATAGCCTTAACAGTGGACCATAAGTTGGCTCCATGCGTATTTGTAGATTTCTGAAGGGGGTCCTTCGGAAGATTTGAAAAAAGTCGAAAGAAAAATTGTGTTCTAAGATTTTGATGCAGATTTATGGAGAATAGATCTACAAATCGTTTAAGGCTATCCGCTCAAGAATCGGATAAGTATTTCCAAAGATATGGCGATATCTGTGGGCCAAATAGTGGCTCCTTGCATTTTGTGAATTTTTGCAGGGGTCCCACCAGAAAATTTGAAAAAAATCGAAAAAAATATTTCTTTCCCAGATTTTGATGCAGATTTATGGAGAATCAATCTACGAATCGTTTAAGGTATTCCTCTCAAGAATCGGATAAGTATTTCCAAAGATATAGCGAAATCTGTGGGCCAAATAGTGGCTCCATGCATTTTGTTAATTTTTTTGAAGGGGTCCACCAGAAAATTTGAAAAAGATCTAAAAAATATTTTGTTACCAGATTTTGATGCAGATTTATGGAGAATCAATCTACGAATCGTTTAAGGTATTCCTCTCAAGAATCGGATAAGTATTTCCAAAGTTATAGTGATATCTGTGGGCCAAATAGTGGCTCCTTGCATTTTGTGAATTTTTGAAGGGGTCCCACCAGAAAATTTGAAAAAGATCTAAAAAATATTTTGTTACCAGATTTTGATGCAGATTTATGGAGAATCAATCTACGAATCGTTTAAGGTATTCCTCTCAAGAATCGGATAAGTATTTCCAAAGTTATAGTGATATCTGTGGGCCAAATAGTGGCTCCATGCATTTTGTGAATTTTTGAAGGGGTCCACCAGAAAATTTGAAAAAAATCAAAAAAAATATTTTGTTACCAGATTTTGATGCAGATTTATGGAGAATCAATCTACGAATCGTTTAAGGTATTCCTCTCAAGAATCGGATAAGTATTTCCAAAGATATAGCGAAATCTGTGGGCCAAATAGTGGCTCCATGCATTTTGTTAATTTTTGAAGGGGTCCACCAGAAAATTTGAAAAAAATCAAAAAAAATATTTTGTTACCAGATTTTGATTCAAATTTATGGAGAATAGATCTACAAATTGTTTAAGGTGATCCGCTCAAGAATCGAATAGGTATTTCCAAAGATATAGCGATGTATGTGGGCCAAATAGTGGCTCCTTGCATTTTTGTGAATTTTTGCAGGGGTCCCACCAGAAAATTTGAAAAGAATCGAAAAAATATTCGCCATCCGAATATCCGTTCAAGAATCGGATTTATAGGGCTGATTTATGCTGATTTATAGAGTCCATCCAAAAATCGTTACAGGTGTTAATCTAAACCCCTCTACTTTAATTCTTATTCAAAGTAAATTACAAAAAAGCAAAGTAACATAAAAAGCAACAAGAGTCTTGACACCTGGCCAATCTGGAGTAGAACTCTAATTAGCCCCGAAGTGATGACACTACGTTGATGCTTCACAAATCAGTGACTAGCCCACGCCCAGGTCCAATCCGGACCAGATTTCCAATCCAATGCCGAGCCAGAACTAACAAGATCATTAAGGATGGCAGGAATGGTGAGAATTGGTCTTTGATTGAAACTAAGTGCCAACGAAGCCAACATTAAAATGCACTTATCAGCCGAGCTAGTGAAGGCCAGGCCGATTCTTGCAACTTGTGCCCCGTTTTCCCTTGCCCCATTGAGCGTCTTCTCCTGCTGCGGGTCCACATCCACGTTCTCCTAATCGGGAGCGAAGTTTAAGCACCGGAGATGTTCGGGAGGCGATAAAGGCCTGGCTAAAAATAAAATCCAAGCCTCGGAAGAGCACAAAATACAAATGCAACAGCTGCAGCATGCAACATGGTTGCAGACAAAGGGGTATCTAAAGAAATAAGGTCAAATGACCCCTTTCGCGGCAGCCTCTGGTCCAAATGACTCCAGTGTCCAGGTTGGGGCCAAATGTGGCCCTTGGCCTTCACTCACCTTGAGATGCCGTTGTTGTCGTTGCAGCGGCAGCAGTTGTTGCAATTGCCGCTGTCACGGCCCCGTTGCAACGTTTCGGACATAAAAGGAGGCAGCATCGCCACAATGCAACAACAATTGCATGTCAATTACACGCTGGGCCGGCTTCGTTTGGGTCTTTGGCCTTGATGGTCCCCCCAGTCAAGGCTCTTCAACAGCAATATCAGTGGATTCCGATGCAGATGCAGTTGCAGTTGCAGATGCCAGGCACCGATTGCCCGAGGTGGAGGCCGCTGCCCAGTTGCCTCCCTCATTTGAGCCCACTCCAGGCCTTGGCCACAATTAAACCAAATTGACACCGCCTTCATCAGGGGGAGAAGCAGGAGGAGCTTGAGATGCTGGAGGTGGTTGAAATGGAAGTGGGAGGTGGGGCTGAAATGTCCGTTAACGACACAAGTGGACAACGACAACGCAATCGCCTCGTTTGCATCAAAATGTATCTGATGGATACATGAAGAAAAATATAAATGACTTTGGAAGTTTCTTATTTTATTCGAAATATTAAAAGTTTGTTCTACTGGGTACCTTCTTGATAAGATTCTAAGATTTTAAATAATATTATTTTAATTATCACTGCCACACACACTTTTTTCTTGAGTGCATATTTGATCTAGAAAAAGAGTGGGAGAATTAAGAACAGGCCGCCAAGAACCCAAAACGTAATCAGAACCAGACCCAGAACCAGCCTAGGGAACCTGCTGGGTATAAAAGGATCAAGTCTTTGGCCGAGAGGCAACAGTTAGCAGTAGAGCTACCTAGAAGACTCACCTGCAGGAAACTACCAAGCTAGCCATGAAGTACCCACTCCTTTTATTGGGCAGCCTGAGTTTGGCTCACGGCTTGGCTCTCTACGCCACCACATATCCTTTCGTCTACACCGCTCAAGGATCTGCTGTATTTACGCCCACCCAGAGGCAATACTTTGCCCAAGATCAGGCCGGACAATACTCTTATGGGTATTCGGAGCCATTGTCCAGTAAACAGGAGACACGCACCCTTGACGGCACCACCATTGGCTCCTACAGATATCGGGATGCGCTGGGTAAGCTCCAGACCGTCGAGTACGTGGCCGATGGTGATGGCTTCCATGTGGCAGCCACCAACTTGCCAAAGGCTGTAGTTCCCCAGGAACAGGCCGGCATCTCTCCAAGAAGTTCCTCCACTCCAGTGGAGCAGCACTCAGATGTCAGCTCTGGCCGAAGTGTCTCCCACGGCGTTGTCCATCCTGTGGAACACCCTGTGGTGGTCTCACACCCCGTTGTTGCCCATCCAGTTGTCCAGCATCCGGTAGATGTGTCCCATCACTCGACTGTGGTTAAGGGGGGCAGGAGTGCCCAGCCCGAGGAGCACCATCAGGCGGAGAATCACAAAAACATTGTTCCCGGTTCCGTTGAAGAAGCTTTGATCCACAAAGCTGAATACGTAGAGAAGAAGTACCAGCAAGGATTGGAGGGAAGTACTGTAGCTCGCAGCCACCACGTAGTCGTTCCAGCCCATGTCTATGGCTACCCCGTTCCACGCTACTACGCCCCAGGAGTCTATTTCTGAAGGGATTTCTGTGGGAGATTTAAATGCCATTCCCAGTTTAAAGGAATCACATCTGATTTACGAATTTAAATAAAGTCAATTGTCAATCGTAAGATAGTCTTTCTGTATCGTGGTGTCTTAATGGGAGGGGACTACACTACATACATACATGTACATATACTGAGTATATTTACCGGGGTCTAGTGACTTGGATCCTGTCCTATCCCAACCTTTGCAACCCATCACATACCACAGCATAACGACCTCTCATAAATGTAAGGCGAATTTTGATTTCAATTAAATTTAATAGCAGTATAAACAACCGTAGAGGCAGCCATCGAAATAACTGAGACTGGAAAAGGTAGCCGGCATGTCTTATAGCCGAAGCCCGGTTCCTTGACCCCTTGTAGTTAATACCGAAATATCACTGAAAGAAACAAGTAAGCTATGTTGGGGGGTAATGATCCATAACCTTAAAACCGAATCTTACTTCCGGAAATCAGTTTAAAAATAAAAATTTTCTTGCAAATCGAAGAATTTCAAAACTCAGTTGGAAATTAAAAGAAAATCTTTATTTTGTTGACTGTTTCAAGCCAAAGACGAAATGTGGTCCACGCTGATTAAGTTCTTGCTTGGTGGAATTGCGGAACGCTGTTGGTTGTCTCCAGCCATGTCCACATAAGATGCCATACGATACAGGGATCTGCGGCTCCCTGCTCCTCACGCAGATGAAAACAAATTGCGGCTTTTGTGCACAAATTTATGCTGAACTTGTTGAAATCGAAATCGACAAAATATTTATGTACAAAAAAAACCAACTGATTTTCGAAATAAAATGAGAGGAAGCCAAACGAGGAAGAGGAAGGGGAAAAGGAACAAGAAGAGGAAGGGCAAAAGGAAGAGGAAAAGGAAAAGGAAGAGGAAAAAGGAACAATAATCCCAACTGCTGGTGTACTCGAATATGAAAGTAAACTCAACCGGACGACCTTCCTGAGAACGCACGAAATTGCGAATTTTTCGGCAGGAGGCGCCGCTTATAAAAAGCAGAATCCCACATCGATCCCATCACAGAGTTCTCTAGAGCGAGTACTAGTCCACGACACTAGCAGCGCCTTACGAAATTTCCACAAAAACACCGAAACGCAACCGAAGTGATCTTAAGATGCACCTCAATCTTGGCCTGATTTTAACCAGCATCGTCTTGGCTGCCGGATCACCGATTTTGGAGTACGGAGCACCACCGAGCGGGGATACCATCGGCCAGTACCACACCCAGGATGAGCACGGCCAGTACGCCTACGGGTATATGGCTCCGTTGTACTCCAAGCACGAGACCCGCACTCTGGATGGTGTCGTCCATGGTACCTTCTCCTATTTGGATGCCCATGGTGACACGCAGACTGTGGACTATGTGGCCGATGCCAATGGTTTCCGTGTAACCTCCAAGCTGCCCAACCAGGAGGCCAACAAGGAAACTCCGGAGGTAGCTGCCCTCAGGGCCGAACATCTGGAGGCCCACAAGCAGGCCAAGTTGAGGTTGGCCGGTGGCTCGTCCTTCGCTCCAGAACCAGTCCAGGACACACCCGAAGTAGCTGCCGCCAAGGTTGCATTCTTCAAGCGCTTCGAAGCCGAGAAGCTGCGAAATCAATTACTTGGGGAGAAGATCCAGGTGATCGCAGCTCCTCCAGCTCCATCACCACTTGCCGTTCGCTCCCAACCGATTTACGTTTATCAACCAGCCAGTGGATATGTCTACAACATCCATTCCAAGAGTCCTGCTCAGGCTCCTTCAAGGAACTATCTGCCAGTCGTTTAAATCTTTTTAATATTTTTCATGAAAATAATGTTAGTTGTTGAGCAATAAATGATAAACTTTGGTTTAATTTAAAAGTTAAAGTTGTTTTAGTTTTGGGTTCTTATTTTCTAGGTCTTTAAGATGACGAAGACATCATTGAAGACATTAGCTCTTACCTCTTCCCAGTTTAATCCTGTTTAAAATTTAAATTTTTAAATAAAAACAGTAAAATGTTTGGCACAATGGTGCTCTGCCTTGCATTTATTCTTAGGAAACAAATCATTATAGTTAGACCTTATTTCGTTCAGCGATCATTAGCCGGTACCATTAGCTGTGATGCATCTTTCCCAATCGAAAGTTCCCTTCAGTTGCGTTTGTTGACCAACAAACTGCGACTGAGAGCCACCGGACGAAGGGTTCTCAGCTCCGTGGGTGTGGTAACACTGTACTTGGTGTTGGGCGAGAGCAGAGTATAGTAGGCACTGATGGGCACACGGAGATCACTGTTGTCCAAACGATCTTCCAGCAACTTCTCGGCACTGGTCAGGTCACCTAGTTTCAGGTAGCTGCTGGAGCTGAGATCAGCCAGGGAGTAGATGGTGCGCAGGCGCAGATCCTCGTCGGTGCGATCAGAGGTAAGGGAGGATTGGGAAAGCTGGCGATCGTTCTGGCGAGCCTCCTCCCGGTTAAGGGCCAATTCATCCCGGGCTTCTTGGTTTCGGGATTGGTCAAGTCGCTGGCTTTGGCGCTCATTTTGACGGTTGTTTTGCCTCAGACCCTGTGGCCGATCTTCCCGCTGATCCTGTCGACGATCTTCTCGCTGATCCTGTCTTCGATCTTCTCGCTGATCCTGTCGCCTATCTTCTCGCTGATCCTGACGTCGATCATCGCGCTGATCCTGTCGCCGATCTTCCCGCTGATCCTGTCGTCGATCTTCTCGCTGATCCTCCCTCAGATTCAGTCGCTGTTCCTGTCGCCGATCTTCTCGCTGATCCTCCCTCAGATTCAGTCGCTGTTCCTGTCGCCGATCTTCTCGCTGCTCCTGTCTCAGATTCTGTCTCTCATCCTGTCGCTGGTCTTGTCTCTGGTCCTGCCTTAGACTCTGCCTTTGATCCTGCCTCTGTTCCTGTCTCTGCTCCTGCCTCTGCTCCTGTCGCTGCTCCTGTCTGGTAGCCTGATCCTGGCGCTCGTCCTGTTCATCCCTGTTCCTGGAGAGATCTCCCAATCGCTGACGTTCCGCCAACATGGCTGTAAGTTCAGCCCGAACTCGCTCTAGAATGGCAGCATCTTCATCGTTTAAATTCTGCTCGCCCGATTGCTGATCCTGGTTGTTGTTCCTATTTTGATCCTGCTGCCTCCGGTCAGACTCCTCGCGCAAGCTGGCGGCTAGGGCCTCCTCCCTCGCATCTCGCAGAGCGTTCAGATGAGCCAGACGTGCCTGCTGCACTTCCTCTGTATCGGTCACTGGCAGAGGTGCCTTTCCCTCGTCCACTGGAGCCTGGGGCTGGTTGCTGGCCTCCGCCTTGAAGCCCTGAGCTCCATTTGCCTCGTAGCGCACGGTCTGCAGCTTTCCATTCGCATCCACGTAGGAGTAGAAGCCCCTAGAGGTGCCATCTCGGGAGGAGTACTCCGCCCTGGCTGCGTTGTCGTCGCTGTAGCCGTAGGAGTAGAAGGCCCTTGCCGTGTCCTGCTCTTGGTATCCGTTGCTCTGTCTCTGGATACCCAATCCAACTGCCAAGCTGCTGAGGGCCAAGAGCCCGGCCAGAATTGTCCAAGTGTAGCTGTGCATCCTATTCTCTAGATCGCAATGGCTGAACTGATGCTGCTCTGCCGTCAAGTTGGGTGTTTTATACCACCTGCCCGTAATTTGAGGCACCACCACCTATTACAGCCCATCACCACCCACCGCTCGGTCTGCACAATGACCTCGAAATCCGCAAGTCGATCCGATTGGTGTCGATTGCCTTTTGGGCCTCCGATTCGCTACCGCACGGATGTTGCAATAAATGAACTTAATATTGAGACATGGATCTATCGGTTGCGCAATTGGGTGGCGGCACTTCCATCGCTAAACTGATCTGGTGGCGCCTCCTTCACTGCGGATGTGGCAAACGGAGTAACCTGGATCCGGGGCGGAACACAAAAATCAAAGTGGGGAAAGTCGATTTGTTCGCATTAATCGGGTAAACATTGTATCTGATTACCCAGCCCGGTTTCAGTAACACACTCAGCTCGAAAAGTGTCACAAATAAGTCCATAAATGAACTCAAGTAGATCACAAAAACAAATGGACTTTGTAAGGGAAATATTTTGTCAGCTAAATACATAATTTGGACCAGTTTTTGGACCATTGACCCTTGTGTTTATCACTTATTCTGTATCTCAACATAATTGAGATTTTATTTTTGTTCTAAAAATTAAAATTAATTAATTAGCTAAAAATTAAACAAAATATTATTTTTCTTAAAATTTGAAATCTTAAAATACATTTTTATTAAAATAAGATTGATAATTGTATAAAAAAAACCGCCAAAATGTCAGAACTGCGATAACACCGACACCCTGAGAGAGCAAAAGCTCCGGAGAATAAGACAGAGTGGTTCTATGTAGCCCCAACCAAGGGGTCGATCTCCGGCAATCAAACACTTCAATAGTTTAGTCCACCAAGTGCAGTCGACTACGCGGATTTGGCAAGTATTTATTAGCAACATGGATTTGGCCGGCAAAAATGTAGTTTACCTTGGCGGATTCGGTGGTATAGGCCAAAAATGTGTACAAGAGCTGCTCCAACGAAAACTTAAGGTGGGCTCTCAAATAGAAAAAAAAGTAAAAACAAACTTTTAATAAAGTAAACTGTAAATATTAGACTTTGGCCATTTTCGACTTGACGGAAAATGTCGACATCTTGGCCAACTGGAAAGCGGAAAATCCCGAGACAGATATATTTTATCAAAAAGTAGATATCACCCAAAAGTCAGATATTGAAGCGGCCTACAAGGCAACCGCCGACAGATGCGGTCATCTCGATGTTGTGGTCAATGGCAGTGGACTTATGAACGATCGCCTGGTGGAGCTGACCATACAAATAAACCTGGTAAGAAGCCCTCAAAGGCTGTAAATCAATCAAGGAACTTAATTGAGTCTTTGTGGAACCCAGCTGGGTGTAATCAACAGCACATTGACTGCCCTGGAGTACATGGATAAATCGAAAGGCGGAAAGGGTGGACTCATTGTGAACATATCCTCGGTGGCTGGTCTCCAGCCAACGCCTTTAATGGCCATTTATTCGGCGGCCAAGACAGGTGTTACCACTTTTACCAGGGGCATGGCTGTAAGTATAATTCGGGAACTTTAATCTTATACACTTATAATAAAAACATAAAAAATCAAGCCAGAGGAAAACTGAGATAACAATGAAGCTTTTTTCACCCTAGAACCCCATTTACTATGCCCATACTGGCGTTGGCTTTGTTACCATCTGTCCTGGATTCACGGATACTGGCCTCCTGGAGGATATTGATAATAAAACAACCTTCACTTACCATACTCCCATGCTGGAGATGTTCAAGAAGGTGAAGCGTCAGACGGCTGAGGTATGTGCCCAAAATTTGGTCAAGGCCATAGAGCAGGCCAAAAATGGAGCGGTTCTTATGCTGGAGCTGGGAGAAACCCAGGAAATAGATATACCCCCACACTGGACCCCCAAATTGGACATTTAATTATTGATTTCTACTACTTACTCTGTTTTGTATATACGTTCTAATCTCTTTGAACTGGTTGAAGATTAATAAATACATTTTAGTGATTATTTAATCAATATTTCTTATAAGTAGTCGATAAGAGAGATTCACAGAAACCACTGGCTAACCGCAAGAACAGATCAAATGGCTTGAAGATTGAATTACCACCAAGACAAGTCGAGAAGGATTCAGAATTCGATTAAGTTTCTTTTTATTTAAATTTCAGGCATACACACACAAAATTTAGATTGGTTTTTGTTTTAATTTAGTTTTGGTTTTCCATATCTAACATTTACATAAAATTTTGAAGATAAATATATATACATGATGTATATATATTCAGCAAATCCAAAAACATATATAACTAACATTTTCGGTTTCAACCGAATCATATGGATAGCCTAGAAGGGAAACTTCTTTAAGTTTTCAAATAATATGAAAGTAAATTAATAAATTTCTAGAAGAGAAAACTCATTTCTGTTTAAATACTTTATTACATTTATAACATCCAAGTTTAATAATTTCCTTTCTAGGTTATCGTGGACATAGATCCTCTATTTTCTTAGGGGGGGATCGGTTGGAGTAGAAGCACGTCTCCCGCTTGGTGGGGAGGGTTTCGAATTTCTATAGAATGCATGTAAAATACAATCTTAATCTTTGCTTAAGTAATTCTATGATACAATATACTTATTTATCTGTCAGATTCTGTCAGTTTGTGTGCTTCATTTTTCTTGTAGTTGTTGGCGTGTTTGTGTTTTTTGTGTGTATTCAGATACATTATTATACTCGTATATAGTTTAGTTTCATTTAGCATTTAATATAAAGACATTTGTTCGTTCCCATTTAACTGGGATTAGTTTCGCATGTTAACTGTAAATTTCACATCATCACAATTCAAGGATCTTCAACTTATAAATTACACCAAAAACAGCAACAATTCATTCGCAAAGTCGGGACCTTTGAGCTACGTTATTGGGGATCTGTTAAGATTGTTAGCTTGGTTTTTTTCTTTTTTTCAAAATTGAGAGAGTATTGTATTGTCCTCACCATAGCACATTTGATGGCGCTGGAAGAGATCGATCCATACAAAGTGGAGAATGGATCCGTGGGTGGTTCTAGAAGCGATCTCCTGGCAGGTTTTTAATAGACTTGTTAAATCTTCTGAGCAGCTACTGCTAAACCGTCTGCACCTCTAAGACATTTATCGTTAAACATCACTAACCCTAAGTCGAGGAACAGAAGCGCCAATTATCATACCATATTTTAACTTTTACTATTACTTTTATATTTATATTCTTATCAAGAGCATACATTTATATGGATTGTCTGTAACTAGATAGTTCAGTTAACTATAGGTTTTAATATTGTTGTCTATTCAATTTCCTATCTGGTGGTTGATGGTGGTGTTGCTAGTTCCCTATACTGATTGCTGGTGGTTATATTCTGTAAGTTATTTGATGCCTTCGTCACTTTCTTTGCTTTCTACGCTTTGATATGTTTTGCGCAATATCCTTCACATCAAATCACGAGATTAAATTAAAAACAAAATAAAACACAAACTGAAATAACTTAAGGTTTTTTCAAAATTTATTGGTAAATAAAATAAATAATTTTTTTGTTTGTTTTTTAGGTTTTTTTCCACGTTAATTAACAGAACTCGAAATTTGCTTAGGGTAGAAACATTGAGTGATAATACCAAAAATACATTTAATTAACATATATATGTATAAATATATATAAATGTGTGTGTGTGTGTAAAATAGAAAATGTGTGTTTTTTTTTTTTGTGTTTAAGTGTGAATTGCTCGGCACGATCTGTATAAAAAGAGCCTCGGTCAGTTTTTAGGGATTTTGGCGGGTTTGCTGGACTGGTTGTAAATTATAAAGTTACAAAACTCAACTCAACAAATACAAATATTATTATTATTGAACTGAACCCATTGGGTTTAAGCTAGAAAAAAAAACTTCACCACAGCCAAAGGCCAGAAGGTGGCACTTTGAAACAATGCCATCGATCCGCGTCCACCAAATCCCGTGGGAATCGTTTAAGTACGCATCGCAGATCGCCTGGAACATCGTCTCAGATCCACCAGCCAGCCTTGTTCTATATTTTCACATTTCACAGGACACAATTAACATCGAAGAAATCTCAATTAGTTACCTCGATCCGCTTCTATACACTGAATGCTTTAGTTTCTGAGTAATAGGAAAAATACATTTAAATGTATATTGATTTTAAAAATTGCTTCGATTAATTTTAACTAGCTCACAACTGAACACATATCCCCCAGAAATCCGGGGAATATACTTTTTACATGGATTCTACTACACACACGGCATCGAAACTCGTTAACAATAAATATATATATGTAAAGATATATGATATATATTCTTCTATGATCAAGCGCAGTTATATATATATAGGTTCCTGATTTCATCGCTTAACAAATACAAGTTACAAAATTTCTCATTTTTGTTTAGTTCATTCTTTATGTTTTTGTTTTTGTTTTTTTGTTGTTTGCATACAAAATCAAAATGATGTACAAAGTCTTGAAAGCATAACGCGGGCTCAACTGACATTAATATATAATATTAATAATAGAGCGCACAAATTGGTTAGATTCTATATATAAATATAAATTTATATATGCGTAGAGTAGGTATATATATGTGTAAATGTTCTCAAAGACCTGACTGACATTTAACTTTCTCCCTTCCTAATCCGCACTTTTCGCCACTTTCTTTCTTTCTTTCTAGTTTCTTTCGTCTCTTTACTTTACATGTCTCACAGTTTTACAAAAATGGGGAAAAGGGACGTGATTTTAATTTATTTTCAATAAATTTAATAATATATAGTACAATAGTTAACAACATCGCACAATAGCGTTATTAAAATTTCTTTAAGAAATATAAACATTCATTTCACACACATACAAATTGTCGTTCATGTCTGTGGCTCAGTGTGTATGTATGTTGTGTGTGTGTGTGTGTGTTTGAGAGCGAAAGGATTCGAATGTCCTTGATGCTCTGCTGCTTATTTGTGTGTATATATAAAAATAGCGTTTTCAAATAGTTAATAATTAAAAAAAATATTTGTATGTATATATAATAATATATCTATGTATACAGCGTTAGAAAATGAACCAAAATTTGATCACAAATAATCGGGGGAGAGATGACAAATACACAATAATTTAAATTACAATTTGAGTTTAAAGTCTTGTGATCAAGATTCAAATAATTAGAGTACAGTTTCTTAACTCTTGCTTTAAAAATTCTTCACTTCTATACAATTTTGAACAACTCCAGATATCGAAAGTGCTGCGCTTCCTCATCATCCTCCTTGTGTTTGGCTATGGGATGGGGGGTGGAAACTTTTATGATTAAAGCAGTTCTGTAAGTCTGAGCTGAAAATTCTAGGCTAGACATTTAGTTTTACATTCTAAGCTGAGTTTGTTTTTGTTTGCTTTTGCTTATCATTGTTATCTTTTAGGTTTTTCATTTGCTAGACACAATCCCCGAATCGGAAACATAACACGAACATGAATTAAACACATTTCCACAAAATTTGAACAATGAACTAATTAGACAATTATTTAATAGATTCTAATAGACGGTACCCAACCCAATTAATTCTTTTTTTTTATGTTTGGCTCCAATCCAATAACGGATCAGTCGGATCAGTTTAACTACAATTACGTTTGAAATTCTACCAAAGTTTGAACTGTGCGGTACAAACCTCTAACGATGTGTAAAATGATTGCATTATACATATACTTTCTTTTTTCTCTCTATTTCTTTCTATATAATCCCATATATAGACCTAGTCCACCTTGATTCCACTGTCATCGGGATCAACGATGTCCACCAGGTTCTTCTCCAACTGCAGCATCATTCCACTGTCGATGCCACCCTCGAAGCTGTCCTCCGACATTAGCTGCGGCTTCCGGCCCCATATTGGCTGCTGCAGCTGCGATAAGAGGGTGTTAATGGGTCCAAAATCGAATTAAACTAAAAACACCTACCTTGTTGGCATTGTAATTATCATTCCTATCGCTTTTGAAGCCCCCATAACCCAAATCGCTGTTTTTGTCGCTTAGCAACTCGGCATTGCTCTTCATATCGTTTCCCAGAAACCAGTTGTTCCAGCTGTTTGTCGTGCTGCTCTTGGGGCAAATGGGACCATAGGGACTGTGCATAGAGGAGCCGGTGGGCATGTCGAAGGTGGTGGCGTCGTCATCCAATATGGAATCGGAGCGCACAAAGTTGGCAGACTCCTTACTCGAATTATTCCAAAACAGCAGTGAAGAGCCGTGACTATTATTATTGTTGTTGTTGTGGGAACTACTATTGTTGTTATTGTTACTGCTGTTATTAATGTTGGATCGCCGGTACCGGGACAGGGGATCAACATCAGTCACATCCGCGTCCACATCCAAGTTAACACTATTCGGCGGTTTCTTTTCAAAAAATGAGGTATCAGCTGTTGCGGCTAAAATCGACAACGGTCGGCTGGGATTCGGATTCGGCTTGCTGGACGGTAGCTGCGGCGGCTGCTGCTGCTGCTGTGGAGGATGCTGCTGGTGGGGATGGGGATAGCCATGCTCCCAGGGATGGGTGGCGCCCAAATGGAACAAAGATTCTCCGCCGGGCAGCATATAGCCCTTATGCAAGCTGCTGTTCACACTGTAGTTCGGTGGGTTGGCATTGCGTTGTGGTGGTGGTGGTGGAGCTCCGGGATTATTCTGGTATTCCCTGGGCGAAGGATTTCTCTGTTGACCCACTCCGTAGCCGGCGAAGCGCGGATCATAGCGTCCGGGAACCATAAGTCGGTTTATGGGAGTATGGTGCGATGGATGAAGCAGCGGAGGATGACCGGGCTGTGGTGGAATACCGCCTCCTGGTGAAAGTCCAAGGCTCGGTTCGATGTAGCCTCTTGGTGACGTCATATAATGCATGGGCGACATCGGCAACATGGGAGGAGGAACTCCCAAGCCCGCCTGTCCTTCTTGTTCTGCTCCCAGGGTTTTTTTCATCGCTCCACCAACCATGGCGGGTGGTCCTTGTAGTACCAAAGGTGTCTTCATGTGCTTACCACGATTTCTTGCCCGATAACGCTCTACTTCCTCCTGGGAATGAGCAAAGGTGCAGCTGGCTCCTCTGGGGCAGACCCGTCTCACATTTAAGTCTCTACACAGACTTATCTTGTACTTAGGATTGCTGTTGGCTGCTCCTCCATTTCCGCCACCTCCGATTCCGTCCTGTGACTTTCGTACGCCGTGGTGTTGAAGGAAGTTCACCAGCCCAACCACCGAATGGCGTACTGCGTCCAGGGCTTCGGCTAAATCTGGCCACGGAGCCACCTCCGCACAGGGGTCGATGTTGGCCAGGTACTTGAGGTGATGATGCAGGCTAGCCAGCTTTGCTGGATCACTAGTGCGCTGCAGCGCGATCACTAGCTCCTGGACCGATTGTGCAAAGGAACTGGGCGTCTGCAGCTTGTCAATTATGCTCTGCATGTGGCTCTTGTGCATTACGTCGCCGTACAGCAAGGAAGACCATTGTTCTGGAGCAATTCTTAGACCCGCCTCGGTGGCTATTTGAACGATCTGGGCATCGTGTTCCCGGCGCAAAGCATCGTACGTGCGAAACTCCTCCTTGAGCTGCATCAGCGACGAGTCCGCTTCTCTTTTCGAGACCTTGAAGCAACTGGCACGGTACAGCAATTGCACCACATGCCCTATGCTGGTCTTCGAGGCCTGTGGAAACTGCGGCTCCAGTCGCTGCACGACAAACATCACCAGAACTTTCCGCGACAGTGCTGAGCCTTCCTCCAAAGCCAGTAGAACCAACTTGAGCACCTCCTCCTGCATGGCGGGCCCCAAAAATTGACATCCTCTTGTTCGCACAGCGGCCCACAGATTAGAGCTAAGCTGCTGGGGATTTTGGTGTTGAAGAATCAGTTCAGTCACCGTTCTTTCGCCCAGGGACCGAGCTGCTCGGAGTGCTCGAACTCTTCCCTCCTCCTCCATCAACTGGCAGTTGACCAAGGTCACTAGCTTTCGTTGCATGGGACGTGTCAGCAGATTCCCGTTTCCATTCAAGCTCTGAAAAGACTTGAGGTGCAGAGCCAGCTCCTCTATGCACCTCTGGCCCAACTGGTAGCACTTGAGCTGCTCAATGTCCAAGTTTTGGACACTGGGCGGCGGAGGCCCCACCTCCACCAGTTCCGAATCCTTGACCAACTGTAGTAGGGCATGGTTAACGGGCAGATTGTCGATGTCGCTGACAATCTCGGTCTGTGGGGAAGATAAGAAAATTATATAGAAAGGAAAGGAATATATAGTTTAATGACTTACCTGATCGTAAGGACACTGCCGGTTGTAGAGGGTTCTCAGACAGAGCTTGCATATGGTATGCCCGCAGCCGAGGCTGACGGGGCAGCGCTGGCTGGCTGCAAATTCATTGCAGCAGATGGGACAGTTCAGAAAATCTGTCCATGAGGGAGCCTGAATCGGCATGCTGTGAAAAGGAACCATTAAAACATCAATCAACATTGTCAAATGTAAATGGTCGAGGACTGTTCCAAAGTCCATTCTAAAATTGAGTGTTTTCATCAATATCCCTAGTATTATGCCAACACCGAGTAAGCCGAAAGTTGGATGACTTATTTCGTGCTGAATTGCCATTATCCAAGTTTCAGGCCATTAAGAAAAGAAGGTTACAAGTAGCTCTTTACAGTAGCCACGATAATGACAACCGTTTTGGACCGTTTTTGGCCGGAGGGTCTAAAAATAGTTATGCGTCAAGACTTGGGCCAACGACAAGAGTAACACCCCGTTTACGGCGATCTTACCTGCACCACAAAAAGTGGCACAGAAAAAAGTTTCGCTTTCGTCTCGCCATCTCAATTTTTTTTTTTTTTTTTTTTTTTGTTGCAATACCCCCAACGTCAGCTGTCGCTCTCATACACACGCACACCCGCTCACCCACACACCCACAGGTACACGTAGGCTTGTATTTGTTGCTTTTTGTACACGCATGCAATGTACATCTGTGTGGGTTTGGAGCACAAATTAGCTGAAATGCACTTCCTGGAGAATCTGGACAAGTTGTGGAGACCAGAAGGGATCGGGTTGCTGCGATTTTAGCCACCGAAAGAGTAACCCACACCACATACACACTTGCACACACACACACACACTGCCAGGTAATTGGGGGACATAAACGTAACTCGCTTTCAACGTCATCAGCTTTCTTTTGGGACGCGAACAAAGGAACTTCCGGATACAGCCACTGCGATTTGAAAATTATCCTCCCCAGCACCCCTTACTGGCATCTCTTGGATCCTGTGGTTAGTCCTTGAGCAGCAAAAGCCCCCCAGGAAAAACATTCGTAGCCCCCAGAAACTCTCTCTTGAAGTTTTTTTGTCGTTACGTTTCACTTTCTCGATTTTTTATTGCACTCTTCACTGCGCCTCCAGCTAAGTGCTGGCCAACAGAACACCACCGACTCACCTTCAAAATGCACATATTATTGCATTAAAGGTACGAAAAGATATTTTTTAATTTTCATTGGAACGTTTTGTAAAAAAAAATTGGAAGTTACAATCAGTATAACCGCAGGCGGCGAGCTGCGGAATACTGAATTCGGCCGTCTGCAGCGGGTCTGGTATATTTTTTTGGTAGAATCGATAACAATTCAAGCTGACTATTTATGATTCCTTTTTTGACTATTAATCTGTCTAAATAACTATAAATAAACCATAACTATGTTGTAAGAAAAAAGAAGCTTTAAAATATCTGTTTTAAATAACACTTAAGTCTTAAAATCATAATACTAAAAGTAATCTAGCTATTTCAAGCTAATTGTACCTTTTGCCACCACTAAGCCCCATACCAACAGTTGGCAACTCTGGTAAAGTGTCTTCACTGGCTCAAATTATGCTTAAACTTTTCCAGCAGTCTTCCCAAAACTAATTTTCGCTGTTTTTTGCAGCCGATTTAAGTGTTTGTTATTGTTTTATTTATTAAAGAAACTCGGTAAAAGAACGCCCAATAGTTAGTAGTGAATGTTATATGTGATTGTGGGAATGTGTCTTGAAAATGTCCCGTCCTTGGCTTAAATGGGAGGCTGCGGTACCTTTGGGAAAATAAAAGGCAACGGCAGCGCAATTTGGAAAAGCCGCAGAGGAAAAGTAACTGCCCCACTGCGACAGGTGCAACCTCGCACACACTCACATAAGCAAGCGCACCTTTGTGTTCTAGCCATCCGAAAACAAAACAACAACAACAATGGCTGGCACGGCAACCGCGACGCCAATGGAAATTGATGAATTCATAAATGGAGCACTCGTTTCTTGGGTGAGTAATGGTGTACCACGGATGAACATGCTCGATATTTGCATCGCAAGTGGGCCTATGTGCTTGGCATAAATAATTCAAGTGTTCGATTCCCATGCGAACGTATGGAAACGGAAAAAACAACAAACACAGCAACAACCTGCTCGCGTAGTCATACATGTTTACAGTTTGGGGAAAACAATTAGTAAACTATAACATAAAGTTTAAATTAAAAAACTTAAATATGTGATATTTTAAGAAATTAGAATAAGAGCTATTGTTGAAACAGAAAGAATTATTTTCATTTGAAATAATAAACAAAAGAAAACGACTATTAGCATAGCTCTATAACTATGACCATTATTGTGCCTAGGTAGTTATGTGGCTCTCCACAGAACCAAGGTCATTGTAACTTGCTCAAGACAGCTTACGGTACCAATGAACGGAGGAGTGTAATGGCTTTTTGTCCATTGGACATTGTCCAGTTCTATTCTTTGTTGAATTTCGCCACTCAATCCGGTCTTTGGCTGTTTTTTTTCCATTACAGCTGGAATCATGCCTGCCACGTGCCGAGCTCCTGGCCGGCTACACCTCCTTGCTGGATGGCCACATTATCCACAGTGTTTGGCTGCAGATCGATCCCGAGCCCCAGAACAATCCCAGCGAACTGAACGACTTGAATGGCAAATCCTTGAACATCGCTCGTGCCAAGAACTTTGAGTGCATTGTTAGGAATCTCAAGTCCCTATTCGAGGAGGAATTGGGACAGACGATACTGGTGCTTCCAGATGTCTTCATTTTGGGCCACCATCCGGAAAGCAAGTCCGGGCTGGAGCAAATGAAGACCCTACTGACTTTACTGCTTGGAGCTGCGGTGCAATGTCCCAATAAGGAATTGTTCATAGCACGGATTAAGGAGCTCGACTTGGAGACCCAGCACGCCATTGTGGCGCTGATCAAGCAGGTCACGGATAGCCACAGTCTGGTGCTCACCGAGGACTCCCTGGAAAGACTAACACCGCAGAGCATGTTTACGCACATTATTCGCTTGACGAAGGAGCGGGATCACATGTACCTTAAGTGGATCGACTTGGCCTGCGTGGAGCCCGAAATTGCGGTCAACGACAACCTGGTGGAGTGCGGCCAAGGAGTAAGCATGCCCCGCTCCCCGTCCAATGGAACTGCCACATCCACACCCTCATCCTCGTCGAATTCGGAGAGCAATCACTTGGCAGTAGAATGCGCAGACCTCAGGTCCAAGAATCGCAAGCTGCGACAGGAGCTGTAAGTGTTTAATACCAGTTATATTACAAACCTAAAAAATATTAATTTATTTCGTTACAGCGAAGAAAAGTCGGAAAACCTCTTGGAGCTGCGAGAGGAGTTGGATGACAAAAAGGCGCGTTTCGACAAACTTCGCCAGGAGAGCCAGGAATGGTTTACGGAGGCCAAGCGGGCCGCTGCCTACCGCGATGAGGTGGACATCCTGCGCGAAAGGGCGGAGCGTGCCGATCGCTTGGAAATCGAAGTTCAAAAATATCGCGAAAAGCTTGGTGACTCTGACTTTTACAAGTCTCGCGTTGAAGAACTAAGGGAGGATAATCGAGTCCTGTTGGAATCGAAGTATGAATAGTAATCCTATTAGACTCATAATATAAATATTAATTTAATCTTTTTTCTGCAGAGAAATGCTTGAGGAACAATTGCAACGCTATCGCAAGCGATCGGAACATGCTATTTCCCTGGAGTCCGAAATCATCAAATACAAGCAAAAACTCAATGACATGGCTCTGGAACGGGACGTGGATCGTTCCAAGCTAGAGGAGCTGTTGGAAGAGAACGCACAGTTGCAGCTGGTGGCGAAGAACCTGAATACCACACAGGAGCTGGATAAATCATTTTCCGAAAACGAAGACGACTGCAACTCTGGGGATAACAGCCTTTCAGAGCAGCTAACTAACAATGCTCAGACGAGAGCTCTTAAACTGGAGCTCGAGAACCGACGTTTAACGGCAGCTTTAGAGCAGCTAAAGGAAAGCAGTTTCCACGAATCCACCAGCAAGATGCTAGAGTTGGAGAAGGAGAAGAAAAAGCTTTCACTGAAGATCGAGCAGATGCAGGAAAACATTCAGAGATTGACCCAGCAGAATACGGAGCTGGAGGGGGTGTTCAAAAATGCCTTGGAGGAGAACAAGAAACTTCAAGATGCCGTCGACAGTCGCCAAAAGAGCTATGACCGCCAGAGTTTGGAGCGCGATGCCGATCGCCAGAAATTGGCCGACGCGGAAGAACACGTTGAGACTCTCAATAAAGAGAAGCAGCGGATCCAAACGCTCAACGAAAGCATTCAGAGGCGGGCTGATGATTTGGAGCGGCTTGCCGAGAGCAAAACCAGAGAACTGGAGCAGTACTCCGAGAAATGCAAGCACTACGAACAGACCAAGCAAAAGCTCTACGAAATCGAGACTAAGGTGTCCGCCTACGAGCGCGAAAACGCCAGCTTGCTAAAGGAGGTTTCCAAGCTCAAGGAGGGCAGTGAGGAAAAATCTGTGCAGCTAGACGAAAGTGTCAACAAACTGGATATTCAAACGAAAGAACTCTTACGCCTTGGAAAAGCGCTTGAAGAAGCGGATCAGGTGCAGCAGAAGCTAGTGGAGCTCGAGAAGCTAAACCAGGAACTGACTTCCCAGCGGAACATTGACCAGGAGATGATCAGCACACTGCGCAATGACCTGGTAACCGGAACACTGGTCACAAAGAAGGTTCGCCACAACCTGGAGAAACTGGGGCTTGCCGACGGTGAGTCCGGCGAGCTGAATGTGGAGCATGTGGTGGAGAAGCTAGTGCGCAACCCGGAAACCTTCAAAACAGTCCGGGATATAATGCTAAACGTTTCTCGGGAACAGCGCGAAGAGGACGAACATGAAGGAGACGTCAAATCTGACATGTGTGTTCTTTGCCACCGCCAGGAGATCTTCACGGTGGAAAAGAACATCGAATTGGCGGCGTCAACTACGCAACCATCTTCGCAGGAACTGCGTTTTGAACACAAACTGCGCCTGAGTCCCGCAAGGGATTCCGCAGAGCTAAGTCGTCTGAAGGACTCCAATTCCCAACTTCAAACGGAAAATGCCCGTCTCAGTGTGGATGTGGCGGCGTTGGGATCACAGATTACGTCGCTGAATACCCAGCATGTAGCCTTGCAGTTGGCCAACTCACAATTAGCCGCCGAGAAGGACAGTCTGTTGAAGGAAATCGACTCGCTGCAGCAGGAACACAAGCATGCACTTCAGGATCAGGTTACGCTGCAATGCCTACACGATCAGCTAAACGCGGAGTATGAATCTCTGAACAAGGACAAAGAACAACTGAAGGCTGCCGTCAGGGACTTGCGGCAGGAACTGCGGGACACCCGCGAACAGCAGACTGCACTGGAACAGCGCATCGAAGAGCTGACCACTCAGAACACAAATATGAAGACCTGCAGCGAGGACTTGTCCATCCTGCGTACCGAGCACTCAAAGCTAACCGATGACTTCCGCAACCTCTTTGCCACTAGCGATCGTTTCAAGAACGAGTACAAGAACATCCAGGAACAGTACAAAATGATACGAATGGAGCACTCCAGCCTCAAGCTGCAAAACACTGAGCTATCCGGCGAGCTGAACACCAAGAGCGATCAAGTGCGTCACCTGCAAATGGAGTACACCAAGGTCCAACAGCGCTGTGAGGTGGGTTGATAAATTAAATGGTAAACTATAGATTATAATAATAAAATCTTTACTTTAAGATGTTGATTCAAAACAATGCTGACCTGGATTCTGAGCGCAAAGCCCTAATGGACAATGTGTCGCAACTCCTATCTCAGTATCAGGAGCTCTTGGCCATTTCCCTGGAGGACAAAAAGCACTTCCACGAAGAGGAGAAGAACTACACCGAGAGGGTCCACAGCCTGAAGCGGCAGAAAGAAAAACTGGAAGAGAAGATCATGGAGCACTATAAAAAATCTGAAACTACAGTGCATAAGAAGTAAAAAATCTGGACTGATATAGATGAAGTTATTTTACCAAGATCGTAATTTTCCTTTTCAGAAAACCCTTCGCCAGCAGTCTGGTGCGTCGTGTCAAGAAGGCCAGTTCCGATTTGATGAACAAAGTTCCCAGCCGCGTAGGTTTCCTAATCAACTAATAAATATCAAAATTTTAACATTCTTTTGCTATTTTTTCCAGAATCGACGCTCTTGGGTAGATGATGCCCGTACGAATTCCCAGTTTGTGATTGGGTCTGAATCGGGGGGCAATGAATCGGACAACAGCAACGAGGAGCCCCTCTCCATCGCCTCCGACACTCACCTTTTACAACGAAATGTTCCTCTACGACAGAGTCTGCAACGGTAAGCCCCTAGCCTTCCGATTTTTTGGTTTAATGGTTGACTTGTTATTGAGGTTCATGGTTATTTGTTCTCTATTTACATGTATAATACACACGACACCCAACATGCACAAAATAAACACTATTGTACTTCTTGTCCGCATAGGGATGTGCTCGATAACTCGATCCAACGCGGTGGCCCAGTCCGCAGCAGCCTGCAGGCGCTGAAACGTACTGATTTGAATAATTCACGTAGAAATAGCGTGCACGGGTATGCGCTTTAAATGTATAACAATTATTTCACCCAATTAAAACTATCCTTTCCGCCCTGATCTCTGCTCCTGAATTCCTCTCCTCTCTGCACATTGTCTTGTATCACTTTGTTGTTTATGAAATCTTGCTCAACTTTTTACAATTCCACACCATATACTGAATTTTATGATGTCTTCTAGCAGTCTGGAAGCGCCAGACGTGACGGGCAGCAGCCTGACGCTCGGCACTGCCGGTTCCCGACGCACTGTTTATCTTATCGACGAACACCAAAAACTGCCCGACGGCTCCAGTCCCGGTTCCAGTGCCGCCCAGCCGCAGTCTGGGGGTTCTAGCAATGCGGCAACCACCACACCCGCCGAACCCCAAACACCGCAGAAGAATGCCGATAATAGCGGGGGTCCTGCCACGTTTCTTATGTACAATCGGATCAACACAACGATCGGAGGAGCGTCAACCACCAGTGACCAGAGCCCACTGCTGCAGGCCAGCGGCAGCGTCTCTGGAACACCGGTGCCGGATGATAAAGCTGCGAGAAAACGGACCGAGGACAAGAGCAATAGCATCTGGTATGAATACGGCTGCGTCTAAACATGAAATCCAACAGTATACGTCCACAACATAAACTTGAATTTAATGCATTTGCTGACGAAGTATTATTTCGTTTTAGAAATTAACGAATTTATTTTTAAACGCATTAGAACATCGATGTTGCCTTAAGATAGTAATATCCATAAGTGTAAAGTGCTGCTTAAACTGCTATGATTTGCCTTAAGACATGTTTTACAATTAGACTGTAGTTATAACCTATTTATGCGATCGTATCGAATCCAGAAGACTACGCGACTACTAAGCGAACTACTCTCATAACTATCCAGTATACACCCACTATATACACAACAAATGTACTATTTATACCGATGCCTCAATGTTGCGTCCAAAGCGTTAGGCTTTCCTTTTTTTATTAGTTATAATGAAGAATATTGTTTAGGTACTGCAAACTGGACTCGAATCTATGAATTCCTATATACCACACTCGTACTCTGCTAGCAGCTAACACATGCGCCTTCAATTTGTGAATATATTTTTAAAAATTACCTGTAGCCTTGTACTATTTATTGACGCCACGCCTAATACCGCAATAAACGTAAGCAAACATACGAAACTACCTCTTGGTGTTTTTTCTTCGGTGCCCAGTCTCTAAAGATAACCACATATAAGGTGACTCGTTTCTCTTCAGTATTTTAGAATGAAATGCGAGTGGAAAGAAAAAGCATGTGGCTATGGAAGGCACTTATGACATTGGTAAATACCTGCCAGGAGTCATCATAAAAAATCTCTATAATTTAATATTAATAAATTGAAGCTCTTGGTCCAAAGGGCGACGGCCGTTTGCAATGTTTGCCAAAGTGAAAGCAACATTGCGTGTCACAGCGAAACTACATTTTCCATCTGCTATGATGGTGAGTAAGAGTTCAAGGATATTTTGGTGATTCTTCACAATTATGGTATAAATTCCAGGAGAGCCATCTTATAATCTACTGAACTGTCCCTCGGGCTTTTATTGCACGGATGATTTCTACACTTGTTATGAGAATGCAACTCCAGTTTGCACATCCGAGGAGGATACAACAACCACCACTGCAGCTCCCTGGAGTGCCGATGACCAGTGCCAGCAGCAGAGTAAGACCACCTTTGTGGAAAATAAAGATGATCCCACTTGCACAACGTAGGTACAAGTACTCCTAAAAGGTTTCTCTGACTAAATACTCCTTCAGTTATATAGTGTGCCTTGTGGAAGATGGAACCTATTCTACCAACGTGGTTTCGTGCAAAGCTGACACGTATTTTAATTCAAACTTAAAAGCATGCACCTCCACTCTGCCAGATGGTTGTGTAGAAGCAGCCACGACAACCACCGTCTCAACCACCATCCCCACAACGACCACCACCGCCATAACCACCACGACGACAGCAAAGCCGTGGAGTGCTGAAGAAACGTGCCTCACAGTCTCCAAGAGCACTTCATTTGCCAACGAAGATGATCCCACATGCACCACGTAAGTATCTCAGTTTTATATATCATTCTTCCATATTATTTGTACTACTTTCTTTTTTCAGTTTCCTCTTCTGTTATGTTCAAAATGGAGCTACTACAGCTCTAATTAAAAATTGTCCAACAGGCCAATATTTTAACAAAACAGGCTGCTCAGCAACGAAACCAGATTCCTGTACATAATATAGTTTTGAATTTTTTACTTTTTATAAAATTAAAGCAAATTAATAAAACTATGAAAAGCAAATATCATAAATAAATGTTTATGGCCATGCGGATGAGTGTGGAGATTTAAAGAGCCTAGCTAGTTTATGGTTTTAACACTAACCGTTTATGAAAAATGATATAGAGATTCTTTCTTTTATGGCTGGGGCTTATCCAAAGAACGGGCTTGCCTAATTTCCCTCGAAATCTGCACATATCTTTTTTAGCGATAAAACTGAATATATATGTAAAAATAGATGAATCTCACAAAAACATTTCCCAACGTAGCCGTAAACATTAATAAAATAAGTAAAGAATACAAGATAAAGCGATGCTGTAGATTAAATCCTCTGGGTATTTAAAGAACGTTCATCAGATTCAAGGTTTCAGTACGTAAAGTGAAGTGACGACTTAACCGAAAATGTGGTCTAGAATTGTAGTAACACTGGTAAAGAGATCAAGGATATTTCCAAAGATATATAATTAAAAAAAAGTTAATAGGTTCTGATTCATTGTCTGGCCGCATTGCCGGCTCCAGAGCAGGACACTACAGGATCATGGAGCGCGGATGAAGCTTGTCAGGCCCAAACCAAATCGTCGTTTTTAGAAAACCAAAACGATCCCACCTGCAAAACGTAATATAATTTAAGAAATATATATATGTAGAGCTAAAAATAACGAAAGATTCCTTTCAGATTTATTTATTGCTACATCACTAATTCATCAAATCAAGCTTTGGTTAAAAGTTGTAAAAGCGGAATGTACTTCGACACAACATTAAAAGTTTGCTCCATAAATAAGCCCCAAAATTGTGCATAACATCCTAAACTTTAAAAGGAATATATTATATTATACCCCAATTTGTACCATATTTTAGACTGATGCCTAAACTGGCAATAGGATTTCTCCTATTTACAATTTACATTTAATAGTTAATTAAATAAATAATTGTAAAATGTCCAATTAAAATACAAAATATTACAAAGTTAAAGCAGAATGTTTTTATTTTATAAACATCAACAATTGGAAGGTCGTTCTGATTGGCATGATCCTGTTTCCGAATTGTAATATTGACCGGTATTGCAATAGTAGAGCCATCCTAGATAGTCTTGACCCAGCTTATAGCAGTAAACGTACCTACAAGTTAAATTGGGTTATAAAACATTTTTTTAAAATTAAGTACCTTCTTACTCTTTGCATGTTGTGTCAGTTTCAACTCGAAAGTATCCTTTTCGTCGTAGATTTGAGCAGTATTCTTCAGGGTCCGTTTCGGTAGAATCGGTAGTTGCGGTACTAACGGGGCTGGTAGTGTTTGGACTTGCCGTTGAAGTACTGGATTCTGTGCTACTTTCGGTAGAAGATTCTGTTGTGGGAGAATCGGTTGAAGATTCTGTTGTGGACGAATCAGTTGAAGAATCTGGTAATGCCGTAGAAGGTACAGTAGACTCGGTGGTCGAGTCTGTAGATGAAGAATCTGGTAGTACCGTTGAGGGGACAGTTGTTGAATCGGGTGTAGATACTGTGATTATTTCTGTCGTAGATTCTGTTTTTCAATTTTAAATATATTAAATATAACAAATAAATTTCAACATTACATACCTATAGTAGTTGTAGAAGAATCGGTCGAAGATTCCTCGGTAGTAGAAACTGTTGAAGAATCTGTGGTGGTAGACTCTGTCGGAGAATCTGTGGTTGTTGATTCCGACGACGATTCTGTGGTAGTAGAAACTGTCGAAGAATCAGTCTCGGTGGTAGAAGATTCGGTCGAAGATTCGGTGGTAGTAGATTCTGTTGTGGTAGTATCTTTAAATATTAAAATCGTGAATAGTCTAATACTATCTGATAAATCAAATTTCAAATTTTTTAAATACCTATTGTAGTGGTTGAAGATTCCGTTGATGAATCCGTGACGGTGGAATCTTCTGTAGTTGTCGTTGTTGGAGGCAAAGTTGAAGAATCTGCCGATGTGGGAAAAACATTAAGACATTAATAACATATGTTTTGGGAAGGGTCTTGCAAATACAATAATTGGACCGGAAGTTATAACTTTGTGGCCCAAAAAACTTTCATAGTAACTTTTTCAAACCTGTGACTAAGTCCGTTGTTAAAGTGGTGGATTCTTTTCGCATAACATAAAATAAAGAGAAAAGTATTGTTTTAAAGAATAACTATTATTTGGGTGTCATATTTACGAACCTGTTGTTAAATCGGTGGTGGTAGTTGAATCATCAGGGACACAAGAGGGCTGTAAGAAAAAAAACTGGAAGATTTCAACAAAAAAATAGAATATTCTGATATCCTTTACCTCAGCTGAATCCATTAATGCACAGAATCCTTGGATAACGCAATAGTACCCATCTCGACAATTTTGGACAGTATTTTCATCAACGCTTCCCAGATTGAAGCACATTCCATATGCCGTCTCGTTAATACAAGCATACTGTCCATTGGTGGAATCGCAGTTGGAACAATCACCGGTGATACCCAGTGTTACGCCGGAGTTCCAGAGAATCACCAAAATCTAAAATACAAGGCTTTCTTATGCCGGGCTTACTATTTTTTTTACTTTTGTAGCTTACCGTCACAATTGTGATGGGCTGCATGGTTAGGTGTCTTTAAGGAACGACTAACTTGTGATGGCTGGCATATGCCTAGTGCCAATTCTCTTTATAGATGGCTTAGCCTGTCCACACCCTGCGCTGGCGTCCGTCTAACGGCCATAAAGATAAACCACCTAAGTCATTTCAGAAAGCTCCAAAAATGTTTACGATGTGATAGAACTAAATTCGACACCTCCAAAAAAAGAGTACAAAATCTGATTTATGCCAACATGCCACATCATTCGCAGAATAACTACAGAACGATAAAGATGTACAAATCCATAGCTATCGCCGCGGTGAGTCTCAAGGATTATCTGACGATTATCAGTTTAAGATTACCATTCCTGTTACCCCATTTAGTTCCTTCTTCTGACCTTGCAAATCGGTTGGATTCAGGCCTCCTGCGATGTGTGCCAGTCAAATGGAGCTGCTTGCATCAACCAGACCGCCTATCATTTGTGTTTCGGAGGCACCCAGCCCGACACCAATCAGACCTTCGTCTGCACAGATGGATTGGTGTGCACGGATCAGCCAGTGATATGTTTCCAACGCAGCGAGACTCCGGCCAGCTGCGGCGACACCGATAGCTGTGGACAATGTGCTCCAAACTATACATTTGCCTGCACCTCGCGCACAACTTTCGCCTTCTGCTTTGGGGCTCTAACGCCAACCAATGTCACCGGAACCTGTCCCACCGGATACTTTTGTGACGCCTCCACACAGGAAATTTGTGTCACAAAAACCACAGATGATTCGATAGTATGCCATTTGGGTTAAATATTCAAAGGATTTTTAGCGAATTTCGCGATCCAATGGTTTTTGAATTCTAAAGTAAACATTTAAATAAATTTAATTTTTGTAAAATTGTAATAAAGAAACCATCTTAAAATATTTTTATTGAATCCCTAATAAGTAAATTGGACAAATTTTGGACCTGATTTTTTCCCTTGCAGGAGACCCTATTATGCCTCCTTACATTCCAGTTGTTGAAGAAGCTTTTAAAGAAATCTATCTAACAATCAATGAGGATATGCCTCTCAAGAATCGGATGAAAATCGCCAAAGATATAGCCATCACAGTGGACCATTAAGTGGCTCCATGCGTTTTTGTAGATTTTTGAAGGGGACCACCCAGAAAATTTGAGAAAAAATCTAAAAAATATTTTGTTCTCAGATTTTGATGCAGATTCAAGGAGAATCAATCCAGAAATCATTTGGTGTATTCCGCTCAAGAATCGGATGATAATCGCCGAAGATATAGCCATCACTATGGACCACAAAGTGGGTCCATGCGTTTTTGTAGATTTTTGAAGGGGGCCACCCAGAAAATTTAAGAAAAAATCTAAAAAATATTTTGTTCTCAGATTTTGATGCAGATTCAAGGAGAATCAATCCAGAAATCATTTGGTGTATTCCGCTCATGAATCGGATGATAATCGCCGAAGATATAGCCATCACTATGGACCACAAAGTGGGTCCATGCGTTTTTGTAGATTTTTGAAGGGGGCCACCCAGAAAATTTGAGAAAAAATCTAAAAAATATTTTGTTCTCAGATTTTGATGCAGATTCAAGGAGAATCAATCCAGAAATCATTTCGTGTATTCCGCTCAAGAATCGGATGAAAATCACCAAAGATATACCCATCACAGTGGACCACAAAGTGGGTCCATGCGTTTTTGTACATTTTTGAAGGGGGCCACCAAGAAATTTTGAGAAAAAATCTAAAAAATATTTTCTTCTCAGATTTTGATGCAGATTCAAGGAGAATCAATCCAGAAATCATTTGGTGTATTCCGCTCAAGAATCGGATGATAATCGCCGAAGATATAGCCTTCACCGTGGAGTATAAAGTATAAACTGATGCAAAGTATTTAATATAAAAAAAAGGTTCACAATTTTATATGAAAATAATTTAATTTTTGTTATAATTCTTAACGTTAAAGCTTCTTAATTTAGCTACAAATAAAGCTAACTTAATAGAAGTCAATAAATATAGTTTATGAGGTCATGATTTATTGGATTAGAAAATTTGAACATGATGAACATTGGAGGGTGTATCGAATAATTAGTGTTATAAATCTAGCGTCTCGTCGTCTTTTGACGTTTGATTCTCTGTTTCTAACCAGGTCCGAGCCAGTCGTAGAGGAGGTAGTCGGAATCGCCATTCATCGCAACAGTACTTATAAACCTCCTCACCTAGTTGTAGGAGCTCCACCGCAAATTCCTGTTCGTCTTCCTTCCAGGATCTATCTTCAGATCCTCCAAATAATTCTATGCGCAACAAAGCCGCCATCGTGGGCCCCAGATACTTCTTTATGGCCATGTATAGCTGCGGCTTGGTCAAAGAGTTGGCTGCCGATTTGTTAGAGGTTGGTATTTTGGGCTGTTCTGAATGCGCAAGCTTTAGTTGAGAATTTTCCTTTATAATCTTCTCATAATCAGATTTTAATTGACTATACTGTAACAAAAGCTGGTCCCGAGTCGGCTCCTCCTCCAAGGTTTGAGTTTCTGCCTCGAATCGCGCTAGTTTCTCTTGATCGTCAGGTAAAGTTTGAGTTTCTGCTTCTATTCGGGGTGGTATTCCTTGATCATCTGGTAATGTTTGAGATTCTGCGTCAATTTGCGCCTGTATCTCGTGATCCTCTGGTAAAGTCTGAGTTGATGCCTCTATTCCCGAAAGTTCCTTGTGATCTTCATTTGAAGATTTAATACTCTCATATGGGTCCAAATTATTTTGGTCTGTTTCCATATCCTCGTATGTCTCGAGAATAATTTGTTCGTATTTTGAGCAATTGGTCTCTGGTGCGGCTGATTCCTTTCCAGTTTTTACACACTTTGTACTTTTATACGGCTCCAGGTACTGCGGTTTAAGTTGCTTCAATTGATTGCAAGAAGTAAGTTTTTGTACTTTTAGTTCCTTGTTTCGTCCCACTAGCTTTACTAAAATGGGGCTAAGGATTTCCTTGGATTTCGAAACGTTGGGTTGCGAAATGGAGTCATCCTGCAGATGATTTTCATCCTAAAATAAATAAATATGCTACATTTTATCAAAAAAAATCTTTCAATAACTCACTTCTTCTAAATCAATTATTTCTAAGCTTTGCGACTCTTGTGCCTGTTTTATTTTTTTGGATACTTCATGAGAGTGTAAATCATCTGGTAAATGTCGTTTAATAGCTTTTCCAGTCTCTGACGGAGTTCCATACTTTCTGGTAAACTAAAATAAAAGAAATTAGTAAGATTGGCTATGATAAAGTAGAATTGTCCACTTTTACAACCTTTGCCGTTTGTGGCTGATCATCATCCTGCGCCAGCCTATCTTCACAGCTTAAAAGGGCCTCATCACATCGGCTGCTGTCAGATGCTTCTTGATTTTTAGCTGTTTGGTCCTTTTGTGGCGCCATTGGGTTCCATATTTCCTGGCCACAATCGCTAGTATCGTTCAACCCCAACGGACAGTCGAAATCATTAGGAGCTATTAGATGTGGTTGCTGTGGAGTCTCCAGTTTGACAAGCACTGCATCGCCGTTTTCATCCAAATTGTCCAAGTCGATAGCTAAACTTTTGTTTATCCGGATGAGCGTAGGAGTAACCTGAGGTAGCAACCTGTTCATTTTGTAGTTCATAAAGCATTCTATGCGGAAATGACGTGCACAAACAGTCCTGCAATCCAATTTCTTATTTGGATCATTCAAAATATGCTCCTTGCCACCATTCTTTAGCCATGCGCCAAGTCGCTTGGAATCACGAAGCGGTAATTTGAAGAAGTGCATCTTTGGGTGGCGTTTTGAAGTAACAGTGCAGTCGCGGAAAATGCATCGCGTTCCACCCATTGCCGCTGTCAATTTTAAAATAATCTCAATTATTAAAGATTTTTTATAATTTTTGAGCAGTGCTGTCAAATGTCAATATATTAGCGTTGGGAAAAATGAAGATATTTGGTATATTTTTATATACGAACGCGGTCACATTGTAATTGGGACTTCCCTTCAGTGGTTTTATTTTCCATTATTTCGCGGTTAGAAAATTACACAAAAACAGACAATTTCCATTCTTAGGGAACTCTCTGAAATAAAAGTATATTTTATTTTACAATCAACGATTTTACAAAAAAAATTCCTCTATACAAAATGATTTTTTAACTTTGGGACATATTGGGACAACAACTTTTTAAACTGAGTTGGCTTTGAATAATATTTAAAACATTAACAAGCCCAAAGGTCTGGATTCAATTCAGTCTCATTTTTTAACTCGCCCTGTTCGCATCGTTGAGAAAAAAAGTGTAATTTAAAAAGTGTTCAAAGAAATTTTTTTCGCAAATAATAAAAAAGTATATTGAAAAATTATTTATCTCAAAACCATTGGCAAGTAAAAAAAAAATATTCATCTCATTAATTAAAAATAAATAAATAATATATAAATATATAAATAAATATTCACGAAGATTTATCGCAGCCCTTTCAGTTCGCAATTTTTAAATTTTTCATTTTTCCCGCTCAGTTTTCGTGATTACCAACACAGTTTTGCCCGGAAGTGTGGTCCCTGGCGCGTAGAAAGATCTGGAACCATCTAGAAGTTTCGGTGTATGTATGTGTGCGGCCTGTCAGCGGCTGTATAAAACCAGGGGTTGCGTCGCCGACCGTCTTGAGTCTTGAAAAAATTTTCGTTGAATCCGCCACTCTTGCGGCAAAAGTTGTGCAGAAGCAAAGGCAATTGTAAACCAAAGTGAAAATTTAAATATTTTTATCTTTCTGTGAATAGAAGAACAAAAAACACAAGGTGAGTAAAAGCGTCCATCTATTATTTTATTTTTTCAGCGTTTATTTTATTCATAAAAGTGGCAAAAAAAAAGTGCATCGCGTCGAAATCGAAATCGCGTCTAGAACATTCTTGACCTCAATTGCAGTGAACTCATATAACAGTTGTGCATACATTGTATATTCCTTAAAAGCCTTGAGAAGCTAAATTTGTGTTTTAAAATTTTAAATAAATGGTAAATTTTGTTGAAACGAATTTTTTTTCGCCGGCAAACGTGACTCGCACACATGCACAAAAAATGCCGGCAATCCAGCGTCTTCGAATGTTCTAGAAGCTTTTTTTTATTGAAATCTTGAATCGGTTATGAATAATAGGCGCATTTCCTGTGAAGTCATAAACCTTTTATTTAAGAACACGCGTTTTCTGTGCAAATTAAGTTTTTCATTTTTTTCTTTTGTGACTCACACATACATACATACATGCACGCGTAAAACTTGCACATGCTGCACGCATACTTACGCAAAAGGGGTTGAAATTCAGTGAAATTGTTAAATATTGTTCATAAAACAAACCTAGATAAAGTGCGTTAGTGGTCTCTAAGGTGATGCATAGTTTTCTGTGGATTTCTGGAACATAATTCTAGAAGATTCCAAATGTACGGTTATGTACGAATTTTCATTGTGCATGCATGCTTTCAATACATACATACGTTTACATGCACACACATACACACTAGCACATTTTACGAAAACTTTCGGTCTCCATGATGGAAATTCTAGAAGTTTCCTGTCAGGACATGAGCGTCATACACCATTTTTTTTTTCTTTTCAAGAATTTTAATTTTATATTTCAAAGAAAGCAAGCACTGACGCAACTATTTAAATAAAATAAAAATAAAAATGTAAAGAATAAATAGAACAATACATATGCAGATGTTTCAAATGCATCTGCCTTGCCTTTTGTACGAACTTTACTAATCATTATCCACCCTTAATCCGTAATCCTTGCAGATGCCAGAAGAAGCAGAAACTTTCGCATTCCAGGCTGAGATTGCTCAGCTGATGTCACTGATCATCAACACCTTCTACTCGAACAAGGAGATTTTCCTGCGTGAGTTGATCTCGAACGCATCTGATGCCCTCGACAAGATCCGCTACGAGTCGTTGACCGATCCCAGCAAGCTGGACTCTGGCAAGGAGCTGTACATCAAGCTCATCCCCAACAAGACCGCTGGTACTTTGACCATCATTGATACCGGTATCGGCATGACCAAGTCCGATCTGGTCAACAACTTGGGAACCATTGCCAAGTCTGGCACCAAGGCTTTCATGGAGGCACTGCAGGCCGGCGCTGACATTTCCATGATTGGTCAGTTCGGTGTGGGTTTCTACTCCGCCTACCTTGTCGCCGACAAGGTAACAGTCACTTCCAAGAACAATGATGACGAGCAGTACATCTGGGAGTCTTCTGCTGGAGGTTCCTTCACCGTCCGCGCTGACAACTCTGAGCCTCTGGGCCGTGGTACCAAGATTGTGCTGTACATCAAGGAGGACCAGACCGATTACCTTGAAGAGAGCAAAATCAAGGAGATTGTGAACAAGCACTCCCAGTTCATCGGTTACCCCATTAAGCTGCTCGTTGAGAAGGAGCGCGAGAAGGAGGTTAGCGATGACGAGGCTGATGATGAGAAGAAAGAGGACGAAAAGAAGGAGATGGACACTGATGAGCCAAAGATTGAGGATGTTGGCGAGGATGAGGATGCCGACAAGAAGGATAAGGACGCTAAGAAGAAGAAGACCATCAAGGAGAAGTACACCGAGGATGAGGAGCTGAACAAGACCAAGCCCATCTGGACTCGCAACCCCGATGATATCTCCCAGGAGGAGTACGGCGAGTTCTACAAGTCCCTGACCAACGACTGGGAGGACCATTTGGCCGTCAAGCACTTCTCCGTGGAAGGTCAGCTGGAGTTCCGTGCTCTGCTCTTCATTCCCCGTCGCACTCCTTTCGATCTCTTCGAGAACCAGAAGAAGCGCAACAACATCAAGCTCTACGTGCGCCGTGTCTTCATTATGGACAACTGCGAGGACCTCATTCCCGAGTATTTGAACTTCATCAAGGGTGTGGTCGACTCTGAGGATCTGCCTCTGAACATTTCCCGTGAGATGCTCCAGCAGAACAAGGTGCTGAAGGTGATCCGCAAGAACCTCGTGAAGAAGACCATGGAGCTGATTGAGGAGCTCACCGAGGACAAGGAGAACTACAAGAAGTTCTACGATCAGTTCAGCAAGAACCTGAAGTTGGGAGTCCATGAGGACAGCAACAACCGCGCCAAGCTGGCTGACTTCTTGCGCTTCCACACCTCCGCCTCTGGCGATGACTTCTGCTCTCTGTCCGACTACGTGTCGCGCATGAAGGAGAACCAGAAGCACGTGTACTTCATCACTGGCGAGTCCAAGGACCAGGTCAGCAACTCTGCTTTCGTGGAGCGTGTTAAGGCCCGTGGCTTCGAGGTCGTCTACATGACTGAGCCCATCGATGAGTACGTCATCCAGCACCTGAAGGAATACAAGGGCAAGCAGCTGGTGTCCGTCACCAAGGAGGGTCTGGAGCTGCCTGAGGATGAGGCCGAGAAGAAGAAGCGCGAGGAGGATAAGGCCAAGTTCGAGAGCCTGTGCAAGCTGATGAAGTCCATCCTGGACAACAAGGTTGAGAAGGTCGTCGTGTCGAACCGTCTGGTTGACTCGCCCTGCTGCATCGTCACCTCGCAGTTCGGTTGGTCCGCCAACATGGAGCGCATCATGAAGGCCCAGGCTCTTCGTGACACCGCCACCATGGGCTACATGGCTGGCAAGAAGCAGCTTGAGATCAACCCCGATCACCCGATCGTGGAGACTCTGCGCCAGAAGGCCGATGCCGACAAGAACGACAAGGCAGTTAAGGATCTGGTCATCCTTCTGTTCGAGACCTCTCTGCTCTCGTCTGGATTCTCGCTGGACAGCCCCCAGGTGCACGCCAGCCGCATCTACCGCATGATCAAGCTGGGCTTGGGCATCGATGAGGATGAGCCAATGACCACCGAGGACAACCAGAGCGCCGGCGACGCCCCGTCTCTTGTTGAGGACACCGAGGATGCTTCTCACATGGAGGAAGTCGATTAAGCGCGCACTCTCCCCAAGCATACAACTACATCCTAAACACTCACTCAGATACATTATTTACTTGCGTTTCGACCATTTCAAACTTTAGTTGACGGCAGAGTTAAATTTTGTATTCTCATTAACATTTGGCCGCGTTATAAGCGGCACACATACGCTTACTCATAAAACAAAACGGAAACTTAAAGCAACTGGTTAGGTTCCCAAACAAAATACATTCAAATGCAGTTGTCGTTTAAGAATTTCTAATTTAGAATCCAAGTAACTTATGTAAAGATACACTAAAGACTACATACGCTCTAGTTGATAGCTATATAACGAATGTATAATTAAGGTTGGATGACTCGATCGATGAAAAACCAAAAACAAATAAACAAGCAAATGTGTTTAAAAATCAATTATTATTCTTTTATTATTCGGATTCTTTGCGTAAAAGCTGCTCTGCGGCTTCTGTTGTGATAGCTCCTTTCGTAATGAGTATTATCTTGTTGCGGGATCGGGAACCCTTATCCAAAGAGACATCACTTTTTCGCAGTCCCAGCACTTTGGACAGAAACTTGACCAACTCGGCATTGGCTTCGCCTTCGCTGGGCGGAGCGGCTATCTGGACGCCCACTCCCTCAGTGCTAATGCCGGTGATTCCATTTTGTTTGGCCCCGGGCTTGGCCAGAATCTGTATGCATATATTTCCACTCTTGTCCACGCTGATGGGACTGACTTCCTTGGGCGCCGGCGTGAATTTTGTACTGGAACTTTCGGCGGCTGCTTTCGCCTTTCCTTTGTTTTTGGACATTATTCGGGCGTTGACCGAAGTAAACACTCGCCGCATTAACTTGTATGTATGTGTATTATTTACAATTTTAAATTTGTTTCATTTTAATCGAATTTATTAAAGAGACTTTGCGTTGGCCGCGTCATCAGCTGTTTACCAGGGCTGCCAAAAACTAGTGGTGGGAGTTTATGCCCTCGTGAGCCGTATTTATATACTCTTCCAAAAACCATTTAAATTTTGTCACAAACTTTACTGTTTTTTGTTTACAATTAAAAATGTTTCATTTAATGAAACTCCTAAAAAGCTCCCCCATCCCACCTTATTTAAAAACAATATATTGTTTTAGGTAAAAAAATTATCATATATTATATTCATCATTGTTATGTACTCATAGTTTCTTCTCTACTCGTCTTTGCATTAGAAAACAACGCTTAAACACTTTGCACTATTATTAAACTGCATCGAAAAGCATATTAATAATGCCTATTATCGCCTGTAAATCGTCGACCCTGCCACATCCAGCCGGATCGTTCAGACATTTCTTGAGTATAGGACAATAATAGAGGAATGCACATAACGATTAGTTTTTAGTATCAGCTGGCTGCACAGCACTTAAAATTAATGCAAAATGCGTAAAATGGACTTAAATTTTGTATGTTTGTGTGTGTTTAGAAATACATATTGCAAAATGAATTGGAAAGCCAAGTTGTTTGAAGTCATCCTCAGCGGACGTTGCACATGTTGCCGGGTCTTTAGGATCTATAGAGTTCAATTCAGCTACGACAGGTGTGTTGTTGGGAAGGCTACAAAAGTTGCTCATGGAAAGGTGTCGTCTCCACTTGATGTTATTGTTGTTGGTTGGTTGCTTGTGCGAAGTTCTTACGCTGCGCGTATCGACTGAATGATCTGGAAGATGGCAGAACCGCAGACCACGAAGATGAATAGCGCCAAAAGCCAGGGTCCAACAGGATACTGTCCCTCTTTCGTTTTCTGCAAAGCAAAATAAAAGATTATATTAGGTTTCTTTTTATAAATAATACTATAAATTAGGTGTCTTAGAGTCTCAATTGTTTTTTGTTTATTACTTAAATGAAGTCACTAATGACTCCACGTAAATATAGATATCTGTAATCCTTAGATCCCTAACATAATAACCCTAAGCTCCTCCAACGGAAGGCGTTGCCTTTGAGGCCTCTTTCTGTCTACGTTTTGTTTTCTCACATATGATGAGTATTGTCGCCTTAGCTTTCACTTTAGCTTGACTTCCGACTTTTGAAAATTGCATTGGAGATTAGTGAAATTGTCGATGGCAACACCTAATCACATTTCCAGAAGAGGCGATAACGTTCTCATACAGACAGCCTCACACTCACACACATGCATCAATAAAATCAATGACGGCGTGGCACTTTTTGCGGAGGACCCGTGCCGACCCGGTTTGTTGTTATTTTTGCGAATGCCTTTGGGACCTGCTGGGGGGCTGTACGGGGGGACAACGATTTACTTACCGAGGATTTGGGGACATTGCCACGCATTGTCACATATTTGCTGGCCTTCTCGTTGGCGACGCGCATTCTCTGTGGTGGAGCCATCTTTTCAGGTTTTGTGAAGTTAAAGTCGCACTGAAAAGGGATCGGAAATTGTTAATTTGATTTCCAATTATCTGGTACCCCGTCGGCATATTTTAATTTCAGAAAAACAATATTTACGGACGCCGTACCTTTTAGACACTTCGAAATTCGAAAACCAAATAACAAATACTCCGAATCTCGAAAGGAAAGAAGGCGACACGTATACAGTAGAGGGTAGAGGTGGAGAAATATCGGTAATCGATGGATACATCGATATTAAACAGTTTTCTGCATCCCTTGCTGTGGGGAAATATGATTTAAATTTAAAATACCGCGCTCTTGCTTTCCGTAACAAAATACCATCAAAAACTGTTCAATGGAAGTAAATTTTGTTTATAATTAATAAATAATTCATTTCCATTTAGAAAGTACGTTACTTATTCATTGGTTTTCTTTATTTCAAACTTAAAATATCGATAACAGAAAGAAAACGAATACTGGTGGGAAATAGAGATGGGCCCTTTTTGGCAATTTTCGGAACATACAGTGTTGAATAGTGCCGCAAGCTAGTAGTATTTTCTAGTATTTTCTTAGGCCTCTAGTATTTTCTCTGCTGATGTCGGTCATCTGCTCTGTTGACTGCTCTGCCGACGCCGACGTCGTTCCGTATCCTGGGTGCGAATCACAAAGATCTCATCAACCAGAGAGCAGGAAAGGACTTGAAGACGAGCAACTGGGAGCCATGACGATGGACTCCACCGCGCTGCCGTCAGAGCTGCTCGTGACCCCGCAGCCGCTGGTGGGCTTCTGTGGGCTGGACACGGTGCGGCAGGGCGTGCACAAGGCGGTGTGGGAGGCGTTCAGTGGGAGTCTCCAGCGCAAGGCCACCGAGCGGGCGGCAGTGCAATACAAGCTGCTGCCGCCCAACTACGAGTTTCCCGTGGCCAAGCCCAAGCGAGCTTCCTACGAGTGGTACCACCCCAAAGGCATACTCAAGCGGAACTGGATGCTCAAGCACCTGCATGTTCTTCCCTCGGTCGTAGTGCTATTCCAAGACATGGAATGGAATGATGCTCAGTGGACGGAAAAGCAGGTTCAGTGCGCCGGGATCGTTCAGGCCTTGAAAAACGCGCTACAGGAGCGAAACACCCGGTTATGCCTGGTGCTACTCCAGAAGGCGGCCCCTCTGCCACCTGGGGAAGATCTTCTGGCCGCAGAGCGAGCAGCTAGTCTCACCACGGCGTGTGGCATTACCAGCAAGATGCTATTCATCCTGCCCCACACGGAGCATCTGACGGGCTATGCTTTACGTCTGGAGTCTGCCTTCCTGGACATGTCGCAGTCCTATTATGCATTGATGTCGAAGAGGATACGTAACCATAGGGATCAGCTGACTGCAGCGCATACTACCCTGAAGATTCGCCATCAGTTCAAGCTGGGATTCGTTGCAGAGATGCGACAGGACTTTAGCACGGCTCAAAAGTAGGTTTTCCCCTGTGCTGTGCTCAATATATTTTCTTATGGTTATTGATTTTTCCTAGGCACTACTCCCAGGCTTACGCCAATCTGGACGAGATTCGCCTTAACGATTCCAACTGTTTGGAGATTAAAACGGTCGCTGGCTTTCTGAACTACAAAATCTGTCGGCTGATGTTCAAGTTGAAGACCCCGCGGGATGCCATTAACCAGTTCATTAACCACGTAGAGAAATACAAGTCTCGAGTGGGATTCAAGGATCTGGCCTTTGAACATCATGCTTGGATGAGCACCCAGTAAGTGATAGCTTCATATTCCTGTTCCTCATAGTAATCCTCTAACCATACAGGCATTCGGTGTTTGCTGAACTATTTTGCGAGGCCATCAAGAACGGTCTGCCGGCCTTGCAAACCCAACACCCTGGAATCTACTACCACAAGGCTGCCGAGTATGTGATGAAGCGACGGGATGCAGCTCAGCAGGCATATGAAAGTCTACTAAATTCTGCTGATGGGGCTGCCCCTGCGAATCCTACTCCACTGTCTCTATACACGGAGTTCTTTGGCATTCGGGCGGTGAAAACCGGTGATCCGGTGGCGGAGCAGCAGGCCAATGTACAGCTTTGCGAACAGGAGCGCGACTTCAACCACTCGGCGGGCATCATAGCGCTTCTAAGCCAGGCCATGGCGCAGTTTAAAATTTACAAGTGCCTCAGGCTTCGCAAGAAGCTAGCTGTGGACATGGCCGAGGAGTACCTAAAAAGCGGGGATCATGCCAAGGCATTAACGTGAGTTGGATGATGCTTTAAATATTATAATTTTTATAATAATTATACTAATTTTTATTCCAGTTTGTACTCGCTAATGCTGCCCGATTACCGCCAAGAGAAATGGTCAACGATATTCACGGATGTGCTGCTGAAGACGCTGCGGTGTGCCCTGCTTTCCGGATCTGTGGCTGACTACATTGCGTGCAGTGTGGAGGCATTGTCGCTGCGACACCACGGCGAGCAGGCCGAACGGATTCTGTTATTGGAGAACTTGTGGCAGGTCTTCCAGGGCCTACCGCCCATGGTAAAAACTCAGTTGACGCCCGAGGCCCAAGCGCTATGGACCAATGCGCTGGCCAGCGTAAAATCACCCATTCAAATCGATTTAGATAAGGTCAGCGATGTGGTGGAGATGTGCGCCACCTTCGATCGAGTGCAGCTCAATAACGATGACGTGTTGCAGCTGCAGATAATAGTTCGGTAAGTAATATATACTTTCCGTAAAGTTATCAAAAGTCTGATGCACTTTTCCGTTCCCTTACAGAGTCCTAACGGATGTGCCGTTGAGAGTGCGTAGCTTTCATGTCATTCTGGCCGATGCCGCCAACCCGCAAAACAGCTACAAACTGGAAGCCCTCAAGTTCTTTTGCTTTCCCAGCCTCACCCAGCTGCGTGGCCAGCGGCAGGAGCGGGAACAGGTGCCGGAGGAGCCCAAGGCCATTGAGAAGAACATGAGATTGGAGCCTGGCTCGTACTACCAGCTGTTTTGCAGCACGGAGGCGCAGCAGTTCCACGAGAACACCCAGCTGCGCATCGTCCGATTGGAGGCTCACATGGGCACCGAGCATGTGGCGGCGCTACTCACCTCCAGCTCGAACTACACACGCCACCCGTTTCGGCACCACACGCGCAGTCGTGATCTGGACGACAACGTGACGATCAACCCTCTTTGCTACATTGCGCCCACGTAGGTCACAGCGATTTGTAGCGGAAGTCAGGAATGATTTCCGGACAATTGCATGCAACTGCTCCATTTGCCGCCCCACTGAACACCGAACTCTGCTTCCCGTTTCCAGGTTCCATTTGGTCACGCAAACTAACCTCGGCCATGGCAATGGCAATGGCTCGTTGGAGGGAGAACTGCCAGTCGCATCGACCAGGATGCTGGTCAATGAGTATTATCCTGTTGTGACCACAGTGAACAATCCGTACAACGTTTATCTGCAAAATGTGGGAGTCCACATCAGTGTTCCCGTCGCCCTGCGGAGTAGTGGTGAGTGGAGTAGCAAGTCCATTATAGGGCTATCTGTATTTGTGATTCATAACTTGTCTACATATTCAACGCCTTATCGATGAAGCTCCTAACAGTCTTGACATTCGTATAGACACCGGGTGAGTTTTTCCGGGCACAGCCCACGCCCCATGACACGATACCGCAGAGCTGGTTTTGGTAGACCGCCGGTCCGCCAGAGTCGCCCTCGCAGGAGTCCTTTACTCCTGGCACCGAGGCGCAGAACATGGTGCTGGTGATGGTGCCTCGCATCTTGTACTGGTTCTGGCATGACTTTCTTGGGATGAGGGCCACCTCCACGCTGCGCACTTGCAGGGAGACGGCCTTGTTGCGTTCGGTGATTTGTCCCCAGCCGGAAACCTTGATCAGGTCGCCGGCCTTGAAGGTGGTGTTGCACAGCTCAATGGTGGATATCTTCGGACCACTGATGGGCGTTTTGAGCTTCAGAACGGCCACGTCTGTGTTCAGGGTCCGGGTATTGTAGGCTTTCGGGGTGTACACCTTTTCCACGCCCACTCTCACCCCGGGCTCTGTGAGTCGCGTAGCTCCGGCCACGACCAGGACCCGGGAAGCTCCCACTCCCTTGACACAATGCGCTGCCGTAACCACGTGCCGGGGCGTAACCAATGACCCGCCACATATAAAGTTTCCCGAAATCCGTAGGTTAACCAGATATGGAACACTACCTATATCGACGGGAACGCCGCCCACGATCCGGCTGTTGGCTTCGTTCTCAGCCGATACCGATACCGATACCGGCCAGCAGACGAGGTGGAGCAGGGTGAGCCAGAACAGTAGCGCCATTAGCTCACTCCATGATTCGGTTTCGGACTACTCTACTCTATCCGGTAGTTGAAACAGTTTCGCGCGACTTTCGGACCCGATTTATATGCCAAATCGGCGGGGCCTTTCGATGGGAAATAATCATTACACACAGAGCATTCGTATTATTTTATTGCGCGAATGATAATTATTTTAATAAACCATTTTGTCCGGCTTATCGGCGGATCTGGAACGAGAAATTGAAAATGAAACCCCTCGGCTCAGAGTCGCTGGGTAATGGGGCTTCGTATCACCGATGCTCTCGACACTTTGGATGGCCTTGTTTGGGGCGCATTACTGTGTAATGGGAGTTATCAAAGTCACTTAATTGGATTTCAATCTGGATCAGAAATCATATTTATTATCACCTTAATGGAAATAGAACTGCATCCCTTAGATAAGCTATTTTCCAATCCTGTCCAGGCTTTCGGTAATAAAATCCTGAACCCTTTCGCTGGCCACATTGGTGTAGACGCCCGGAAAGGTCAGGCGCGCACATCCGAATCCCCAGGAGACAATGCCACACACCTGGCCCCGATACACCAAAGGACCTCCAGAGTCCCCGGAGCAGGAGTCCCTTAACCCGCGAACGGCAGCACAGATCATCGAGTCACTTAAACGGGCCACTCCGGCGTAGGCCAGTTGGCATTCCACATTGGGAAGCACCCGCACCAAGGCCGTACGCACCTGATCCGCCGGGTCTCGGTTACTTTCGCGGGTCACTCCCCAACCACTTATCCTGGCGTAGGCATTGTTCTCGGGGGGATTGCGACAGGGAGCTATGGTTGACACCTTGCCGGGGATCAAGGGAACCTCTTCCTGCAGTTGCAGCAACGCCACGTCCATGTCGAAGTTGGTGGGCGAGTAGTCGGGGGAGAGATGAAAACGAGACACCTTTCGCACCACCGGAGCATCTTCATCCAGGCGACTGGCTCCAGCTTGGACAGTGAATTCCTCCGGCCGAGAACCGTAGACACAATGGGCCGCACTGAGGACAACGCTGGTGGAAATCAAGGATCCGCCGCAGATAAAGAAGCCATTTTGCCAGAGGTTAACCAGATAGGGAACTTGTGATATTGTAGTCTCCGTGCCACCCACTATACGGGGCTTGCTGGCGGAAATGGAAGTCACGGAAGCAACCACCCAGTACAACCACAGCCGGATCATGGCGTGTCCAGACTGCCGGAATGCTGACAGAGGCCAGAGCTCATAGAGTCACTTCCAAAGTGCTAATGGGACTAATGCACCTATTTGCCCCGGAAGAGATTTACGCTTGAATAGGGCTTTGTTGTATACTTGATTGCCCCGCCTGGTCACCCCCAACAGTGGCCCGCCACAAAGTACTTTAGCCAAAAGGAAATCCGAGGGCTGCTGAGCCGGGTATAGATCCCGGGATGGCCTCTTCCACAGCCGTAACCCCAGGAGACAAGGCCCGCGATGCGGCCATCGCTGACAGCCGGTCCTCCGGAGTCACCCTGGCAAGCATCCGTCGCATTTTCGCCAAGGGCACAGAACATGTTTTCGGTGACGGGATACTGGGGAGTGGCTATCCGATGGATGCATTCCCTTTGCGGCAGCTTCTGGATCTCTGCCACCTGAAGGCACTGATTCCAGTTCTGGAAGTGCTCCTGGGTCATGCCCCAGCCCATGATTGTGAGATTCACGTGCCGGGGCAGGTCGTTGTAGTCGATCTTCAAGAAACTAGCCCGTCCGGCTATGTCGAATGGACGGGATAATCGGATCACAGCCACGTCGGCGTCCAGGCCACGACTTGGCATGTAGTCGGGGCTTACTCTGGCATACCAAGCCTGACGAACGTGCTCCGGTGCGGGTTCATCACTGAGGCACTGCTGTAGGGCGTGGACGCTCAAGTCCCTGAGGCTGTCGGGTCTTCCCTCCAGGCAATGGGCCGCCGTGAGGACGCAGCTGGGCGAGATTAGAGCCCCGCCGCAGCGGAAGGCGCCACCACGTCGAATATTAACCAGATACGGGTAGTTCTCCACGGACTTTGTTTCGCCACCAAAGATTTTGGACTCTCGAGCGAGGGTCTCCGGTTGGAAAAGTATCAACGCCACCAGGAGTACTCGAATCATGGCCTTCGGGAACTACAATGTTCAAGTCGGAATATATATACTCCCCCGATATCTGGAGCGCATTCTCCGGGTAATTGGACTAAGATAACATTTTATTATTTCCCTAAGAGACTATGACATAAGACTACGGCACGGAATGTTCCTTCACCTGGCGATAGATCCAGCTGGTGATCTCGGGCACACTCGTGTAAACGCCGGGCAGGGCCGAGGCGCACCCGTAGCCAAAGGACACGATGCCCGCCAACTCACCACGGTAGACCAGAGGTCCTCCAGAGTCCCCGTCGCAGGAGTCCTTTTTGTACAACTTGGCGGCACACATCATGGAGCGGGTGATGCGGTGGATGCCCCGAAAGGCTGCCACACAGGCGGCCCGGGACCACATCGGGACGATGACACTGTGCACCCGCAGGGCAGTGGTTGTGGCATCCGCCTCCGTGAATCCCCAGCCAGAAACCTTGACCGGAGCCCGAGCGGGTACTGTCTGGGTTGCCAATGGTATGGTTTCGATATTGGTTCCACTCATATCGGCGCTCAAACGGAGCAAAGCCACGTCCATGTTGAGGGTCTTGGGATTGAAGTCCGGACGAACGAGTATCATATCCACGTACCGTATGGTGGCATAGGGTCCGGCCTGATTCGAGGCGCCGCCCAAAATCTTGAACTCCTCCTTTCGCTTGTTGTGGACGCAGTGGGCCGCCGTGATGACCCAACGGGGCAGCACCAGCGAACCGCCACACATCTCCGTGGATGTGGTCACCTGCATCAGGTACTTCTCATCCTTGATTTTGGACACCTGGCCACCAATGATGCGGGGCTGTGCCTCCACGCTGACATCATCATACGACCCATCCGCTGAGAGCAGGATCGTTGGGAGAAGGATCAGCAGCAAAGGCAGGCACCTGGCAATCATGGTGGTTAAGACTAAGTCAGGTCTGGGTTTAAAAAAAGATTTTATAGAAATATAAAGTAAATCAGAGCGGAACTAGGGGGGGGGGGAAACATTTAAACAATTGTTCAATCAAGTGGGTTTGTAGGGAAGTAGATATCGGAATTAGGAAAAGATATAAAAGAGCGGAAATTAGTCTTAGATTTTATTAAAATTGTATAACTTTTAATAGAAATCGTATGTAAGGTTCTTGTAACTTAAATGTTGATCTTAAATGTTGTTTGTGGTTTGTTTTCTTTAAGAATATTTACTTATAGTGTTGGCTTTGAACAAGCTCTTTAGAAAAATCAATACAAACTATAGTACTTTATATTTATTTATTGAGGGGGGACTACCTAGAAAAGAGACTACCCTAGTCATTATATCACTATTTTTCTAAGTAAAGTCTTTAAAATGTGTTTAAAATTTATAGAACTTCTTGAAAAACATTCTTAGGTATTATTTATTTTAGGTATTTACCTATCATATTTATTAACAATTTCTTAAGATTTAGATCCCAAATATCTGAAAGTAAATATTTATTTTTTTAAGACAAATCCAACCTCCTACTTGGATGTCATGTGCTCTGATAGATTGGATGATGCTTCTATTTTTAATCCCCCGACAATGTTAAAATAACAATATTTTTTAAAACAATATTTATTTAATCGCAAAACAACAACTATACATGACCTTAAACGCTATACAAGTAGCTCAGACTTATTATGAACCCTAATTGTTGGCCATAACATTGTTGGCCCACTTGCGGATCATAGACACGGAAGTGTAGACGCCGGGATAACCGGAGCGAGCGCAGCCGTAACCAAAGGACACAATGCCCACCAGGGAATTGTTGTGGACCACTGAACCACCAGAGTCGCCGCTGCACGAGTCCTTGTTCCGGGCGCGGGCGCAGAACATGTACTTGGTGATGGTGGCCTTGCTGCGGTAATCAAGGACGCACTTTCGCCTCCGAACCACATTGACCTGGATGGCCTGCAGGGTCTTGGAGGCGGTGGTGCCTCCCTCCTTGGTCACTCCCCAACCAGCGACTTGCACCTTCGCCCCGGCCTTGGGCACATAGTTGGCCATCGAGATGGTGCCGATATTCGTGCCCGTCAGGGAACTATTCAGCTTCAGCAGGGCCGCGTCCATGTTCATCTTCTTGGTGGTGAACTTGGGAGCCACATGAACCGATGTGACAGAGCGGGTCTCTCCATCGCTGCCATCCAGAGTCGAGGTTCCTGCCCGGACCGTGAACTCGGAGGCACCGTAGCTCTTCACGCAGTGGGCGGCGGTGAGGACCCAGCGATCTTTGACGAGGGTTCCACCGCAGAGATTATCACCACGGCGCACTTGCACCAGATAGGGCCTCGTCGATATGGAGGTAGTGGTGCCGCCCACAATCCTGGACTGAACCTTGGGAGCATTGGTGGTCGTCCTCGTCCTCTGTTTGTTGACTTTCCTAGCGGCGTTGATTTTCTTTCCTGTCGTGCGGAGTCGATTCCTTCTGTTGGCCACCATTTGTCGGCCGTTGGCGCTGAGGCGTCTTTGGTTTCTTCGTCTTCCATTGGCCACCGCCTCGCCAAAGTGGCTAAGCTCCGCCAGGAGCATCATGCTCACGATAAGATAATCCCAGCGCCAAAGCATCTCACTGTTAACTGATCACGGGGTGACCTTGTTCCGGCTTTTATGGCCGGATATTCGGCGAAAATAAGAACCAGCTGAGCAAACAGCACGGGTCACAAAGCGAGGCACTGCCTCTTCAATGGCATTCCAGGCAACGACGTCAACGATCAGGGTTAACCATCCAAAATACTGATTTCTGATTATCAGCTCCACGTGGGAGCTAGCAATACCGTTGCATGTTCTCCGCTATCCAGTCGGACAGCTGGCTAACGTCGGAGTACACACCGGGGCTGTCCTCCGCGGCGCAGCGGTGAGCCCGGCCCCAGGAAACCACACCCACCAGGAAACCATGAGAGTTCACCACTGGACCACCGGAATCAGCGGTGCAGGCGTCCTTGAAGCCCGGCACCGAAGCACAAAACATCCTGGCCGTTATATTCCGGTAGCCGCGGTACAGATCCTGACACTCCCGCTGGGACATGACGCGCACATGGACACTGTGCAGCTGATTGGGCACAGACGTGTAGCTGTTGTCCGTTAAACCCCAGCCGGAGACTCGGACAAAGGAACCCGGACGAGGAGCACGCACGGCCAAGGATATCGGAGTGGCGATGGCTGGGAGGAGCGGCTGTTGGAGTTGCAGGATGGCCACATCGTAGTCCAAGGTGCTGCGACTGTAGGCGGATGGGAGGAGTATCTTCCGGACATACCTGGCGTTGCGCATATCGCTCAAGAAGGTGACTCCACCGCGAACCACAAAATCCGAGGCCTGGCCATCGTTGAGGCAGTGGGCGGCGGTCAGGACGCAGTATGGACTGACCAGGGAGCCGCCGCACTCAAAGTTTCCACGCCGTCGTATGTTGACCATATGCGGTTGATTCCTCACATCACTCTTGTGTCCACCCACCACGCGGGGATTGCGTCGTAACTCCACACCCACCTCCTCCCTCTCTTCAGCTGTAGCTCTAACCAGCAGTGGCCACATCATCATCACCATCGCCATCAGAAGGAGAAGAGGCAACAGCACAACTTGCATCTCGATGTTAGAAAGCAGGACTGGAGCTCGCCAAGCCAAGAGGCAATCATTTATAGACCGAAGCCCTCACTGACACTGACCTCCCTCAACAAATTACAAAAGAACACCTGCGTCACGGTCTCCACTGTTTACATACGACATTGAACTTCACCAGATGGGTTGCCACTCCGGAAGTTGAACGATCGACTCAGTTCTTGGGTTGGTGGTTTGGGAAAATGATAACTAGAGTGGGAACAGTTTGGAGTAGAGCTGTCTTGGGTGATATAGTGGGACTAGACTATCAGATTAAGAATCCTAACTATCCCTAATCCTTATCCTTCTAGTCTTCCTCACCACGGACATTTCCCCGGGCCGGCAAAAGCTCCACTCCCAGATCCAAATCGATGTGGGGGAGCTTCCCGCCCACGGCAGCAACACGGCCACCTTCTACATCTTCAGCTTGGCGGAGGCGGAGATCAAGCTTCAGCAGAGGCTCAGCTATACCTTGGACGTGGACCGAGGTGGATCCGGCAGTGGTGCCACTGGCCCTGGTAGTGGAGGAGCAGGTGCCCGCATCAATACAGCTCCGAACAGCTCGGAATCTACGCCGGATCATGAGGTGAAAAGTGTGCCCCAGAGCCTGGCGACCATTTCACCGGTGCAGATCGAGTACCTGGACGAGACGAGGCTGCGCAAGTCGCGGGAGGACACGCTGACAGTGCGCTGCCATGGGGACTTCAAGTTCAGTGCCCGGTTCTACACGCTGGACCGGAAGCCACTGGCCCAAGTCTATCGGGGCGAGAACTTCCTGCTGAGAGCCAACACCGAAGTGCTGGCCATGGACGATGTGGAGATACTGGACAGCTTCTTTATATGTGTAAGTGGGACTATAGTTTCTACAAGAATCCTCCTAATAGTTACTATCCACTCCCCAGGATCACAACCTAGTGCAATCGAACTACAGTTTTAAGCAGAAAAAGTACAGCAACAGGTACGGCGCCGGAGACCAGCTGGAGAGTGTGATAGTCCTGCGGACGAACTCCGCTTTGAGGGACTGGACAACGGCCCGGGATCTGGACCATCGCGGCAAGCTGGAGGGCAAAGCGGCGGCCAGCAAGTTCATCCGATCATCGCCTGCCAAACTCTCTAGCGAGGAATCCTCTGCCCCAACGCCACCTGCCGGGATGAGTGCCTACATGAGCAAGAACGTGGCGGCCAAGATTCCTACCACCATGACCATCATCAATAGCAACTCGGCTGTGTCCAATGCCCTTCAGGCGGCGAATGCCGGCCTGCCGGCGGAGGAGGCCAACCTCGGGGATGAAGCCACTGCAGCCGCCAGCAACCAGGAAGGCCCCAAAACCACTCGACTCGTGTACAACAAAGCCCTGGAGGCAGTGCAGGGAACGGGTCATTGTCGGGGCTTCATTAAGGGCATATACACGCTGGAGGAGAGCCCATCCAGCCTGCCCATCTTCGGAGTGTTTTGCATCCGGTGGCGGCGGGCGAATGGCAAGGAGGAGAACGAGTCCAAGTTTGTCATCAGTGGACTGGACATTGCGGAGCCACCGCTGAATATATACTGTACCATTGAGGAGAAGATGTTCGTAAAGATGCCCATGGCTTTCAAAGTGGTGCTCAAAAATCCCACTACCCATGTGCTCCACTTGATAGCCAACCTGAGCATCAGCAAGACGGATAACTTTATATGTTCCGGTCACAAGCAGGTGAGGATTGGTTTGGATTCTTCCTGGAAAGCAGCTTCTAACTATTGTCTTCCAGCTGGATATCTCCATAATGGCCTATGAGGAGAAGGAACTAGTCTACAATCTGTATCCCCTGCAGGTGGGCTGGCAGGAGCTGCCGGTGCTGAGCTTGGAGTACAACACCAAGGCGGATCCGCAGAAGAACGACAGCCAGAATGCCTTGCTCGATGAGCTGGTCCAGCGAGCTCTGCCCAAACGAGTCTTTGTGCTGGTGAGTCTCCTCAAGATCTCCATGAATCTCTATCCTTAGTAACCTTTCTCTACCTCTTCCTGCAGCCACCTTTGAAGCAACAGAACAAGTAGAACCGGATGATGCAATGCTGGTGATTAGATTAAGTGTTTTAAAGTTTGCAAATACCAATAATGGTGTGTATAGATCGAACTACGCCTACTCTCCCTCTTTATTGATTAATAATCCACAAAGGAAAACAAACAACCGGAAACGGAAACATACATTTACATACATAAATAGCTATAGCTATATATTTAGAGCGTTACATAGCATAATACTTCTCGAGTGTGATTGTGTGTGGGTCTGTATCTGTGTGTGATCCGAAATTGTAAAGTATTTAATGTAATTGTTAAACGGGCAAAGACGCACTACTACTCGACATTCTTGTTAGTACGATTAAAGATAGTACGATATCTATTAGATAGACAGCAGTGCTAAGTCCTGGTCAGTACCGCAAGTTGCACATATTTTCGTACATCCTTTGAACGTACACTAATAAATAGAAAGCCTATACAAATATCCTTGAAAATCCAATCCACCAATGGGCATCATCCAATGGGGGTTTCAATCCACCAAGCTAAGCATCACTTTCCGCTCGAGGAGAACTTGAAGACACCGCTCTTCTTTTGGCTTTTGTTTTCGTTCTGGAGGAAGGTAGAGATTAAATATATTAAAATTCTTATGCTTATTAAAATTAGTTCATAAGCTCACCAGCAATCGATTACCAAACAGCATTATGGCCTTGTCCTCCTCCTGAGGGGTGGCCCGCTCTCCGGCGGACAGGATCGGCGTTCGCTGGTGGATATGTAGCTTCTGCTTGATGGCCTGCGAGAATATCACCCTCCGGCTGACCGATTTCATCGCCAGAAGCAGATCCAGCCACGTCCAGGTGACATTGTGGTACTCCAGTGTGGGAATAACCAGCGAGTAGTCGGTGATGTCCTCCAGATTCTTCTCCTTGTTGCCCTTGTAGCTGACACGCACAGGAACCTCGGGAATCTTGATGTAGATGAAGAGCTTGTTCTTCTCCGCTCGCTCCTTCATCTTCTCCACATCGTCCTTCTCGATTTTCACATAGAACTCCGAGTCCTTGGGGCCCTTCTTGTTCTTGCCCGACCGTTTGGTCGACGAGGAAGTGGAGGACTTGGCCTGTAAATTCGTTGTGGACGCTGAACTGGTGGAGGCATTGTCGTCCAGCTCGTCGCTGGCCTCCGTCTCGGAGGCATCTCGATCCGGGAAACAGAACTTCAGCATGGTGCTGTAAAACTTCTTGGTGATGGCTATCGTAATGGGCGCCACATTGATCTCAAAGTGTTCCTTCACCGAAATACCACCGACTGGCGCCTTTTCCCGGCAGAAGATTCGGAGGACTCTCTTGTGCGTGTCCACTGGCATGTCCTTTTGAATTTCCGTCGCCAATAGCACATCCCTGTAGATTTCCCTGGGCAAAAGATTCTCCATGCGTATGTTGCCCAGCTCCAGCAAGTGCTCCACCGAATCGTCGCTCTTGGACTTTTTCGTGTAAAGGAAAGCGCTGAGGACGAGATCAGCTATGCCGATCTGGCCATCCGTCTCCGTGAGCCGCCACTGAGCCCGCTTGAAGCAGATCTCGTTGGCCCGCACCATGGTAACCGATTTATCGGACCTCACGTTCGAGACTTTGCTCAGCTGGGACAGCTGCGTCTCCTTGTAGCAGAGCAGCATCATGTCCAAATCCTCGCTGTAGGTGTTCAGCTCCTCCTTGCTCTCGCGGATCTGTTGCTGCACTTTATCGAATTCGATGCGCAGCTCCATGGTGTCGCCATCCTCGAACCTCTCCTTGCTGATCATGTGTATGTCCTTCTCCAAGGAACGAATCTTCATCAGCAGGCTGCGAATCAGCGTTTGCTTCTGCTGGATGGGCCGCTTTTGATCCTCGGTGGAGTGCAACTGGAGCTGGAAACGCATCCGGGTGAGCTTCTCTGCCGCCTGCTTCCTTTGAGGCTCCACATACAGCAGCAGGTTGTTGACTATGTCCAGGATCATGGCGTACTGCAGCGAGTTGGTGCACACATCCAGATCGTGATGCATCAGCGTGAAGGCGTCCACGGGATCATCCTGTTTCTCCCACGGAGAAAGCAACTCCTCGGTGTGGGCTTGCGGAACTTCGGTTATGCTATTCGGGTCGACAGCATCGCCGTAGCTCACATAGAAGAACTCGCATTTACACTTGGAGACGATGCGCTGCAGCTGTACCGGCTGAGCCCCTCCAGAATTATCGCTCAGAATCGCTCCGACTGTTTCGGAGACGACGCCACCCACGCTCCGTCCACTGCCCACCAAATGGGATATGTCCTCGGGCATGTTATTGATCACCGTTTCGTCCTTGTCCTGGATGTTGTCCACAGTCAGCCACATAATCTCCTTTTCGAGCAGAGAATTATTGTCGCCGGCGCTCACGGTGGCATAGTACTGCATGCATTCGAGCAATCCCTTCCAGGTGGTCTTGGTAATCAGCGATCGTTCCCGCCAAACCGGTCGGTGTTCCCTCTGCAGGATCTCTGCCTTGGCCGCGCTAATGATCACATAGCCGGACGTCTCACAGCCCTTGAGTAACACCTGGCTGTTGACCAGACTAATGGACCAGTTCTCGTGGATTACATCCTGGGCTGCGCAAGCCTGCAGGCCCTGCAGCTGGAGCTCCCTGGACTGGGTGCTGTGATCATCACTGTAGACATTAAACTTGTGGTCCGCCTCCGCAATGAGCTGCTGCAACATAGCCGTGGCATGGACCTGTCCAGGTGCCTTCTTAAGCGACGCATTCGGATTGGAAACTGAAAGAGGTAATTTTTAGTCAAGTTTTTGGAAGAAAAAGCAAAACCACTCACTCGGCAAGACTTCGCTACTGGTGCTGGAGAGGGTAATGGTGCTATCGCTTCGCTGGTGCTTAAGGACAGCCGAGTTCCCGCCCTCCTTCCGATAGCTCTTCACAGCTTCCGTGGAGAGATTGTTCTTCAGCTTCTGGGACTTCATAAAGGAGTCGAACAGGGCGAAAGCCACGTCACGATTACTCTTGGTCCAGGCTCCTTTCAGGTCATAAACCACTAGTTTATGGGTCGGTGTGGTGGACTTGGCCTTGGCATCCTCCTCGGTGTTATTGGCCGCTGTGGGAATTAGTGCTTCTCTTCCATAGGATACCTTAGCTACGCTTAGGAAGTAGAACCTCACAATCTTGAAATCCGCTGCACTGGCAGCCAAGTTCTCGGAGCTGCTGTCCAGCTTCTCCGTCACAATGCTCTTCAGCCAGATCTCCGCATCGTTCAGTTCGCAGTTCATGTACACCGTCGACCAATCCGCTCGAGGTCGGTGGATCAGGCCATCATCAATGGGATTCAGGGTAAGTGAGTATTCGGAACTGAAGGACACCCGCCGGCCGTTCAGCTGAAAGCCCTTCTGCAAGGCGTGCGACATCCAGTAGAGCACCTGAAACTTGTGTAGGCACATCTGCAGGTTGGCTTTCTTGTAGTGCCGGCTGAGGGGCTTCTTCCTCGGCCTGACATTGTTGAAAACAGGACCCCGCCTCGTCGGTCTGGTTACTCCAGAGAGAATCAACTGGAGGCTTTCGAACCAACGCAATGTACTGCCGTACAGCACCAGACTGGGTATATCGATTTCCACATCGTCTCCCGCCTTGGGTTTCGTTTCAAAGGATATCCAAATGTTGAGGTTCAGCGATCGGAAAGCCCTGAAGGAGTCGTGGACCTGGTTGCTGGAATACTCCGGCAGCTTGTCCGGGGCACAGGGCATCACAGCGTGGTGATCGTTCGGATTAGCCAGGCATACCCAATTCAGCTTGACCGTAAGTTTAAGATTGGGGAAGTGCAGCAGGCGGCAATCGTCGTAACGTGAGGCAGTTCGTACCGTGACCTGGAAGAACCCCAAATGAATCAATATGTTCCAGATGAGTCTGAATTGATGCTCACATTAAGCTCCCCTTTAAACATAATCTTGGCATTCGTCAGCACAATACCACAGTTGTTCCAGGTCAGCTCCATTTCCTCCGTGGTGTTGTACGGGTCCAGGGAGGCATGGAGCAGTATGGTGAACTGCTTGGCTATCAGAGTGAGCCGACCATGCAGCAACAGCCTAAGTTTATCCCAGAAGGGGAGCGGGGGCGATGGATCCTTCGAGGGAGCCGAGATCTTCTCGAAACTCAGATTACACTGAGCCATCACCGGCTCCCAGCAGGCTCCAAACGCATAGCTACAGCTCTCCAGTTCGCAATCAAAGTCATGGTAGAACTTCAACGAGGGCATACTGCGCTGGACCACATCAGTCCCAAAGGGATCACCAACATCGATGAAGACATCGCGACGGGCACGCTTGGAACCCATCTGCTCCGCTCCGCATAGATTTCCGTAGAGACGCATGCTCTTTACATAGAACATGGGTTGCGGGAAGTCCCTGGAAATAAAGGAGTTCATTAATTACTAGCCAAGATTAAGATTCCTAACCCACCTCAGCATGAACTTCCACTCGGAGCAGCTAATGTTGACACCTCGACACCACAGGGTGGTGAACTCCAGTCCCTCCTCCGGCCAGGGACTTTCGTGATCGATTTCCCGCATGGTTCGCGTCACATTCTCGTAGCCATGAATCGAGGTGTCCGCCATGGCCATGATCTCCACATCCGTCATGATCCAGGCCAGCAAACGGGTTCTCACTGGACCACTCTCCCGGATCTTCTTCGAGCGCTGTATATAGATTTCGGAGCTCTTCTTGACCAGGTTGGCATAGAGATTCTCGATGTGGCCAGCTGCAAAGAGTAAGCGTTCCGACAACCGCTCGGCAATCTTCTTGTCGAACAAGGCCTTCCTCTTCAAGCTTTCAAGATATTCATCCACCAACAGGACATAGTTGTCCCGCAGCTTAACCTCAAACGGATCATCGCTGATTTCGAGAAGGAACTCCTTTATCTTAATTACCAAGTCGCTGGGCAGTGGAGAGTCCACCGTAAACGGCTTCTTCTTGTAGTTGTGCACCAGCTTTAGCCACTTGAAGTGGGAGACCAGTTCTCCGTTGATGGCATTGTAGAAATCATGATCGTATGGGAATATGGCCTTGAAGGAACCGATCGTGGTGACCCACACCTTGTTGGAGGGCAGCTGGAAGCCCGGAAAGTTTTGCCGTTCGTGGGCAAGTACTTCCAAGCGCGGCACCGACTGCATGTCCAGCTCCTTCACCGTAAAGATGTGCTGTTCGTCGATGTTGACAAACACGTTCACCGCATAGATCATGTTGCGCTCCTTGTTGCTGAAGAAGAGACCCTCGGCTAGGATTTGAACCGAGTGCTGGTGCGATAGCTTTATCTCGAAGTTGGTGCTCCGCTCGGCAGAGAATTCCACCACTAGGCCACCTCTGGGCAGGGATTTCTTTTCGGGTGAGGCCGGCAATGCCAGCTCTGTTTTCAAGTCCAGCATATCTCTGACTAGAGTGAGCAGATGCATGTGCAGATTGGAGTTCCAAGTGGCATCCGTATTGCCGGGAATGTAAACGGAAAGCTTGCCCAACGTGCCCTCCAGCTGCTCATGCTCCAGCCGGATCATCTTGCAGTTGGCAAACACATCGGAGAAGTCGGTTAGGCAGAGGGACGATGCCGTCATCGAACGCATAATAGCCATTTGGAACTCCTCCAGCTTCAGGGTGGCGATGTGCTGAGCTCGGCTCAAGCTAAGCTCCGAGAAACTCAACAGCATGTAGACATTGTGGTGGTTCACAAAATAGGCGGTAATGTCTTTGATTTTAACCGACAATCGTAATGAGGTAGACGGAGGTGATGGCTGTTTGCTTGCCAGCTGTGTTGGACTAGATTTTGCTCTCTTTGTGTCTAGACCCCGGTATTGATTGAGGCATTGCATCGACTTGACCACAAATTCGGCCAGTTGCATGCTGTATTCCGTGCGGAAAGTGTGCACCGAGATGTCCAACTTGGTGGTGTTGGCATACGAACAGAGTTTGACTAGGCTAACGCCCAGGAAAAATGGGGAACCGGGCGAATGGGTCTTCTTCAGGTTGTTGGTATCATTTATGGAATTACCCAAATTGGACCACAGGGTCTCCACCATAAGCTCCATGCTCCATTGTCGCTGGCCCAACAGCAGATTCAAGAACTTATTCTCATACACAGAGCTCCTCTTCTCCTCGATTTGCTTTAATAGGAACCGCGTGTGACTCACGCTCATGGCAATGTGCTCATCCTCCAATTTCATTAGCAGTGAGACATTAAACAGCTCCGCAATGCCTGTGACCACAATCCGTTGCATAATCCACTCGAGAACTCCGCCCTCCCGGCGCTGCTTGGCCCGCAGACATTTGTCAGCAGCCGTGTCCAAGTACAGATGATCTGGCAGAGATTTCTGTTTGTGAATCAAGTTCAGGGGTTGTGAGCTCCCTGATCGTTGACGGGCCAAAAAGTTATTGTTGACAAAGTCATAGATCTCGCTGTGATTGTAGATGATTTGGAATGTCTTGAGCTTAACGTACAGATTGAAGATGTCATTCTCCAGCTAAAATATAAAGTTTTTAATGATCCGGAAAGGTTAAAGGTGGTCAGTGAACCTACCACAGAGTCTATAGTGAATTGTTCTACAAACAAAAGCTTCTCGTATTTGGTGTCAATATCCAAATGTTGAAACACCAATTTGCCCAGCATGGAGGGCAACAGGTTTGTCTCATCCGTGGATTTGGAGTTGAATTCCCCAGTAATCTATGGTTACAGATTATAAGATTAGTTACCTATTACCCTTATTAAAATAAACCCACCTGAAGCAACTGCAACTTGGCACTGAAATCATTCTGCGAGTTCTCCTTCACTGCCGAAAACGTAGCCGCCTTGATGCTAAAGTTAAAGGTCTTTGGTATAATAGGAGCTAGTTTCTCGTAATTGTCGTTATCATAGGAGCCCTTGGACGGTGCAAAGGCAAGCTGTAGCCTTCGCGATTGCTGATCACTCGTCGTCCTTTGCTTGGCCTCGCTTATGAACTCGTAGAGTCCACCATGTATCACGGATTTGGCATTGTTTATCACCAGACTGAGGGTCTGCAAGAAAAGAGGTTTAGAAAACCCGTAAACAGATATTATGTTCTACTTACATCCATGGAAAGAGGTCCATGGGCAAATAGTGAGGCATCTAGGGTCACATCAAAGCTGACCTCGCCCAGGCAGGGCCGAATATTGTTCAGATTCTCCAGCGACTGGCGACGGGAGCTGCAATGCCTTAGCATTTTGGCCTGGGCCTCGCTTAGGGCCGCATTCACCAACAGAACCCGAGCATTTTGCACAATACTCCCGTCCAGATGAAGCTCCTTTGCAGTAGCATGGATGAACCAACCCGGATCGAAGTCATTGTTCATCAGCACCACCGATATGTTGTTCACATGCACGGCCATAAACTGGGCGAAGGTGATAATGCTAGCTGGAACTTTGGTTTGCCGGAAATCGGGCACACCCGCTGCCTCTGCCTTTTGAGCCGCTTCGGCCCCGGAACGTGGGAGCTCGTAGAAATCCTGGGGGTCATCCTGCCACCGGTGTATATCCTTGTTGATGCGTATGTCACGGATGTAGATGGACAAGAGCTTTGTCACCTCGGTGGTGAAGAAGCTGCTGCGTAAGCACACCTCCTCGATTTGCTGTCGGGAAATGAGGTTGGTTATCAATTTTTAATTTTTTTATTGGTTGGGTTGGGGGCTAAAGGTTGGGGTCTGTTCGCTTACCACCGAGAATCCACTTTTGCTGATATGGACATTCTTGAGAGACAAATATGGCAACGAAATCCGGCCAATCCGAACTCTGACCCGAAACCGCCGGACCAAGTACCAACTAATACAAGTGGGCAGGATCCTACAGGGGAAATATGATTCAATCAATATCAATTATGATGACGCGATGCCAACAAGAAGGCAGCATTCCAATGGACGACTCACCAGTAAACAATTATGAATATTAGCAGGCAGAAGATAAGAAGATGAAGCATCATATTCACGCCACAAAGAGCATAGTGTTCCGGGAGTTACATATGTAGTGTTTACTGTTATTGAATGTTGATTACACTGAGGAATTTGCTAGTTAAACATGATGCGGGCAATATATTATGATCAGCTGTTAACCAGGGATGGACTATTGTATTGTAAACAATAGATGACACCTTTGATAAGAGTTCTTTTATATTAAGTTTATAGCTTAAATTAACAAAGGTAACTTAATTATTAATCTAATTAGTATATTGAATCATTATGAATTAAAGTTTTTAAATTTAATGCAGTAGCAGCGACAACCCAGATGCGTATGAACTTTTTCAAGGCATCTGGTCACATTAAACAAGCTATATCTTAAAAACAAATCAGAAACATTATCTTATCGACACTGCGCCCGCCTGAAAGTGCTTTTTGAGCATGCGATCGTGAAAATACGGCCATTAAAAACCCACTATGCTGCTGCTGGAGCTGAACATTCTGACGCTGAACATTTGGTAAGGTCTCCTTTAGTGGATGCTGCTCTCCCCCCGATCTCGTGACCAAAATGGCATTGTTTATTTATCCATTTCTAATCTCAGGGGCATCCCATATGTGTCCAGCAATCGGGGACCTCGTATCGAAGCGATCTGTAAGGAACTTGCCAGCGGGAAATATGACATCGTTTCCTTACAGGAGGTGTGGACCCAGCAGGATAGCGAGCTACTCCAGAAGGCCACCCAGGCAGTTCTACCCTATGCTCACTACTTTCATAGCGGAGTAATGGGAGCTGGACTGCTGGTGCTATCAAAGTACCCCATTCTGGGCACCCTGTTTCATGCGTGGTCTGTCAACGGCTATTTCCATCGCATCCAGCACGCAGATTGGTTTGGCGGCAAGGGAGTGGGTCTCTGCAGGATTCTGGTTGAGGGCCAAATGGTCCACCTGTACAATGCTCACTTGCATGCCGAGTACGACAACGCCAATGACGAGTACAAAACACATCGAGTCATCCAGGCGTTCGATACGGCCCAATTCATCGAAGCCACGAGGGGTAATTCGGTGGTGCAGATCCTAGCTGGAGATCTGAACGCCCAGCCGCAGGACATCTCTTACAAGGTGCTGTTGTTCACCTCCAAAATGCTGGATAGCTGTGCCTCGGACACTTTCAGGACCAACGAGTGCGAGCACAACTCTTATACTTCTGCTCGGGCGCTAGCCAAGAACCCGCAGGGCATAAGGATCGATCATATCTTTGTGCGCGGGGGCGATGAGGTCAATGCTGAGATAGTGGAATACACGCTTCCGTTTCCGCATCGGGTGCCTGGCGAAAAGTTTAGCTTTTCGGACCATGAGGCGGTGCTGGCCAAGCTGAAACTAACCAGGATCACAGCTGCTACCCAACCTGAGGTGGCTACGATTGAGGTAAACTGTCAGGTGGTGGGCGAGGAAACCTGTTCAGTGCAAGAAAACCACTCTGGAGAGCCGCAGGATATGCCATGCCCCAATGGCTCTACTCCTATAGAATCTCAGCCAGCTGCCCGAACTGCCGCCCTACACGAAGCCCTGGAACTGTGTGATGCTTCCCTGCTCCAGCTGAATACGGATAGAATACTCTACTACAGTGCCGCCACCTTCCTGTTCGTCCTCCTTGTACTTTTGGTTGAATTTACGGCTCCCGTTGGCATGCGCACCATATTCTTGCTGCTTAAGTTCATCGTGTTCGGGGTCATACTTTTCTGCATTTTTATGGCCTCCATTTGGAACTACATGGAGCGAAACGGTGTGCTCCAGGGCAAGAAGTCAATGGAGGTGATGCTTCATCATGCCCAGAAGTACGAGTATTTCTATTGAACTCCGTTTGGTATTCCGTCACAATTACTTTCCCCTCAGCTCAAGGCGCATTTAAAATCTAAATTCTAGTTTAGTTCGACAATCTATATATATTTTTTAAGTAAAATTGTGACAAATTGTAGTTATTCAATGCAATATTATGGTCTCTTTCTTTTGTAATGTCATCCATATCCCAGGAACTAGTTTTATAAAAAAAAAACCGACCAACGTTCTGCAAAAAAAATGCTCAATTGACTAAAAATCCATGTCTCTTTGAGTTTAAAAATTAAAAATTTGAAAAGCAATAAAAATAATTATGAATCACTACCCCTTGAAGTATCTATTCCGAAATAAAAACATATAGATTTTAAAATTAGTGTGTTTTTAACATTTTTTCTTTATTCTCGAGTAGAAAACAGCTCCGCTTAATCCCAGATGGTGGTACATTTTATTCGGGCTTCTTACCCTTGGCCTGCTCGGCCTTCTTTCCCTTGACGGGGGCGGGCTTCTGGGAGCGCAGAACAGCGGAGGCGCGGCGAAGAGCAGCCTGAAAATTAATAAAAACTACTCGTTAATATTTGTGGTACATGTTATAAAAAATAATAACTATTTTTAAGAGCTTCAGAAAGAGTTTTCAACATGATCATTCTGCGATCTTGGTTGGTATAGCAAATAAAAAAAGGAAATCATCATTTACTTGAACTAATCGAATTACTATCTAAATTATAGATATATATATTACCTGTGTCAGGTCCTTGCGGTATTTGGAGCCGATCAGCAGGTTCTTCAGCTTTTTCAGGGAGCGACGGGGACCGGCCTTGAACTCAACGCGCACGGTGTTCTTGGCAGGACGCTGGGCATACTTGCCCTTCTTCAGCACAGCGGTGAAGCCCTTCTTGTCGGCAGTGGGGACGACGCCAAGGGTCTTCTTGTGCACGATGCCGCTGTAGCGGTACGAGCTCACGCTGGCCAAGTTGTTTGGCTCCTGGAATGGTAATAAAAATTAGTTCTTCGAATATCGCTTGATGGAAAGCAATTGATGAAGCCAACTTTAGTCAGATTAGAGTTACTATCATGTTGTATTCAAATATCATTGTGAAAGTTTGTAAGTTGGAAACATCATAGAATTGATTGGCTTTCGTTTTGGCGAGTGGAGACTTACTGTGCTGAAGGGTTTCTTCACATCGCGCTTCTTCAACAAGAAGGCGTTGTTGTTGCGAATGATCAACCAATTGAGGTGCGAAGAGGTTGCCATCTCACGTCTGTAACAGAAACAAAAAAGGTGATTAGTTGGATTGCAAAGGATTTAAAATCCTTAATAGTTGACTGGTTGTGTCAGTCTTGGGTGATGAATATAGTCTTCAAGAACTCTTCTGCTCATTCATTCATCATATAGGGAATACTATAAAAAGTATTTATTTCCACATGCTTACCTTTAAGAAATATTCCAAAGTGATCAGGAAATAAGAAGAAACATGAAATGAAAAAAATAATATATTGGTTAGTTTTGTATATAAAGGGTAAAAAAAAAAGATAGGGTTCTTGATTGTATTTTCAGTCTTGGGTGATGAATATAGTCTTCAAGAACTCTTCTGCTCATTCATTCATCATGGTAATGGGAATAAATCAGCCTGTTTCGACCACACGTGTTCTTACCTAAAAAATCAACAAATCCGCGTGTAAATGGCAGCCGCACATGAAAAGGAAAAGAAAAAAACATTGTTTAGATAGACTGAAATAAAAGTTTCTTTCATAGTTAGTTATTAGTGTCCAGGAATGCGCCCTGACCAGGGCTTCGCCGCAACTTGCTCGAAAATCACACATTTTCGTCAAAATCTAATTGCCCGCTATGCTGCACGTGTGGGTAAAATTAAATTTACCTCCGCTCTGTGGATTGCCGGCACTAGAAATGACTGAAACACGTGGCCCGGACATGTCGGCTGCACAAAGGAGCTCCTCGGCACGCCGTGGATAGCTATAACTTAACCAAATCGAAACGAAATGCGAAATGCCCACCTTTTCTCGTTGAAAGACAAGCAGGAAAGAAATATGGCAGCCGCGGTAGAGAGTTAAGTTGGCTGCGATTGGCGAGCAGGGATGTATTTACTATCAGCACCGATAGCCAGATAAGTTGGCATCTCCCACCTCTTTTATCGGCTCTATAGAATTTGTGTGGTCACACTGTCTAGTTGTCAGAAACACATTTCCGAAAACTCACTCGTAAAACGTTAAATTAAAAGTTCAGATATCAACAAATCATTTCAAAAAAGTTTTTGTTTTAGGCTGTGGTTTGTTTTTATTGTCGTATGTCCATCCAGAATTTAAACACTCGTGGTAAGTGGAAGGTGAAAAGCATGCTACCCAGCCCAACGCAGCGCTTTCTTCGGACACAGTTACACACATGTACACCAAAATGGCTGACTCACACGCAAACGGATACACGAACGCACTTACACACGCACCTGAAGAAATTCTGAACTACATTTTTTAAGCACGCTGCCAGGGTGTGATTACACTTTACATCGCCATTCATTCAATTACTATATGTGTACATTGCCATCTGTTTCGATCTTCCTCCCCAGACCCCTTTGCTGATGCAATCAAGGGCAATGATGATGACATTCAAGACGGGCTTGTGCACATAAGAATCCAGCAGAGGAACGGCCGAAAGACACTAACTACTGTGCAGGGCCTCTCGGCGGAGTATGACTTGAAGAAGATAGTCCGCTCCTGCAAGAAGGTGGGTTTAACTGCAACCTGCATTAACGTAGAAGGTTGTCATTGTTTAGGGGTTTCCTAACAAAGCGGGGAAAGCGATTACCTGCATTGGCAGACCTCCTAATATATGCATACTCTTAGAAAAGACAATAATCCAAATACTCAATTTACAGGAATTCGCCTGCAATGGTACAGTAATTGAGCATCCGGAATATGGTGAGGTTCTTCAGCTACAAGGCGACCAGCGTGAGAACATCTGTCAATGGTTGACGAAGGTGGGACTAGCTAAGCCGGATCAGCTCAAGGTTCACGGTTTCTAAGCTTGCTCCTGGCAGACGAGAACCGAACAAAACAACAACAAAAGGTGTGAATTTCCATGCCGCCATTTCATTCTTAAGCTCTTAATAACACCAATAACAACAATTAACCAACCAGCAAATACCCCGAAACTTGCAAAAGTTCTTTGTTCAAATTAATTAAAACAAAACGAAAAAACAACTCAATTGATAGAACATTTGAATGCGAAGTCAGAAGCAATAGACCTATACTGAGAACAATGTTATAAATAAAATTAAATGTTCAATTTAAATAAAATATTGTCGGAAGGTGCTACTGATATAGCATAATGGGACGAAATTGACAGTTTTTAAATTAATTTTCATTTTTTTTGCGGGTATATGGTATACACTATCGGCGCGTTAAATGGATTGCCTATATTTTAATTAGTTCATGGTCATGGATGGGGGAATTAATATTAGTTCCAAAAATTGCAAGATTTAAAAATTTACGTATTTTTTACCCTAAAAAAAGCCAAATGCCAATTTTCTGGTATTTTTCAAATGCGGGCACATTAAATAATGGCATTTTTTTAAAACGCTAAGACTGGCAACACTGGTGAATGGTTCTCTGCAATTGTGAGCGCGAATTTTTTGCGTGTGTTTTTGCTCGATTACAAAAAATAAGAGTTCGGTGTGACAATCAAAATAACATTAGTTTGCTTGCCGTTGCGCCGGTCGTCCTGTGAAATTTAATCAAATTAAACAATTTCACTGGCAAAACGTGGAGCGTACGTGGACGCGCGGAACGCTTGGTGTTTCTCTTTTTCGTTCGGGCCAAATTTAACAAGTGGTTTTTGCTTTTAGCGACGTTGCATCTGCCCAAAATTAGTTACTGGTCGTGGCCTCAGTTGCGATTTCTTTCATTCTGAAGGGTAAGTGCGATCTAGTATCATGATTGTGCGTGTTTTGCTGGGCAAGCGGGGCGGGAAGAGGGGTGCCAGCAATTTGCTTAGCAATATTATGTTCTCACATTCCATTCTCAGCGTTCCCTTAAACCAAAAAAATGGTTCAATCGAATTAGTGAAAAATAGCTCATTTTATCTGTCAATGTCAAAGAAATGTTGAATTTTTGTTGTTGATTTCATTCCAATTTCGTGTTTAAATGTATATAGGCAAATATTTTTTTTTTGAAATTTTGCTCCGCTGGAATCGCTTGCAACCGTGTTTTGTGAAGGCGATCTATCGGAACGGTGACTGACGGAACGGCGAAAGTTTTCTATGACGATGAGAAGTCGAATTTTTGGATTTTTCGCGTGACAAGTTCGTTGTGAAAAAACCGAGGCAGAAACCTAACAATATTGTTTAGAGCCTTTGCAAGCAATTGACAACGAGTGCGCTACTCTGGCGGGTGCGGGCGGTGCAAGTTGGGTGTGAAATCGCAAAAAATCAATTGCCTTGCCTCAATTTTATCTCCTCGTCGATTCTTTTTGCGTGTGTGAAAAAGAAAAAAGAAGAAAAGAAAACGACAAAAAAAAAAATATAGAAAAGAAAATCAAAAGCAAAGGCAGCTGAAAAAAAAGCCCCACACACACACACACTCAACGAAAAAAAAGTACGAAAAAGTCAGCAGGCCACACACGGAAAAAGCGAAAAAGTGAAAAAAAAAGCTAAGAAAACGAGCAGCAGCAGCAGCAGCACAGCGACGACGACGTCGACGAGAAGTTGAGAAGAAAATGTGCAGGAGCAGGGGCGGAGGAGCAGGAGCCGTATCCGTATCCAAATCCGTATCCGAATCTGAAGTAGCAGCAGCAGCAGCACCAGTAGCAGCCGTATAAATAAATAATAGCACAGAAGCTAAAGCTAAAGCTAAAGTCAAAGCTATAGAAGCTAAAGGGGTGTTGCAGTCACATTTTCGGTACGAATAGGAGGATTATATCGCAAATATCGCAATATCGCAGTGAAAATCAAATTTTCCAAATCGAAAGAAGAGCCTCCTCTCTCCGCTCTTTGGCTCTCTCTCTGTCTCTCTCTCTCTCTCCGCCAACTGGGTGTGTATGTGTGTGTCCGTGTGAGTGTGCCGCGTGCGAGTGTGTGTGTGGGTGACTCGAAAGAGCAACAAAAAAAAAAAAAGTATATTTAAAAAAAAAAAAAAAAGAGGAAAAATAACCAAAACCGACTGTGTCTTTGTGTGGATTTTCTTGATAATTGCAACATACGTTACCATGGAATACTACCTAGGTTAGTAGTAGACTTTTCTAACTACATATGCCACCCCCCAATCGACACCTACCACCCACCCGCCCACCAGCCACCATCCTCTCGGCTCAACGCTGCACTTGTATAAGAAAATCAACAACAAAACAAGACTCCCACCCACTTTGACTTTATTATAAATTAATTTAGACATTTTCAGCCTCAATGAAGTACTAATTTTAAATATTAAGTTTATATAATTTTATTAAAAATCCTCATCATATTGGCTTTGGGAATTCCTTTCACACTTCAAAGCCAATAGCCAGGAACTCCCCCTATTTTTGTCGAGTTTAGCTATTTAATACTTTAATAATACTTTTCTGTTTATCCACTTTCCGCAACGACGTCTTTCCGGCTAATATATGTATGTTGTGTCCCATTATGTTGGCATCAAGTTTGTTTATTTGATTTTTCTTAAATCGGCGACGATATGGGAGTATTTGGGAGCTAGCTGGCTTCTGCCAGCTGCCTCCTATTACAACAGTTTCCCATTACGTCTACAATAGACCTTGTTTACTTGGCAAAACCGCACCTTTTTTTAAATAAATAAATATTTAATTATATATATAGATATATACTGATTGATAAATATTTTACAGGAGGATATGTGTACATGAACGGAGATGCAGTCAAGATCCAGCAGCCCGTCTACACCAATGTTCCTGTCGAGACGGCGATGCTAGCCACTAATCTGTTCGGTGCCACCACACAGATCGCAGCCCCAGCCGCCGCCGCAGCCCACATACCGTTGATAACCGCCGCCAGCGCCGCAGCAGCTGCAGCGCCAACAGCCGTAGCACCCGCTCAGCATCCACAGCAGCAGCATCCACAACAGCAACAACAGAATCAGACGCCGCAGATTCCTCACCAACAGCAGCAGCAGCAACAGGCACAGCAGGTGCAGGTGCAGGTGCAACAGCCCCACCCACACCAAGCTCAGCTTATCGCTCACACACACGCCGCCCACCAACAACAACAACTCCCGACTCAGATTCAGGCCCATCCCGCCCAGCACTTGCCGTACGGCCATCAGCCGGCGCCTCCTAACACTGCAGCAGGAGCTGGAGTTGCATCAGTGGCCGGTCCGAGCGGTGCCGTTGTTGGAGGAGTAGCGGCGGTAGCCGGAGTAGGTGGTGTTGCCACCGGTGAGACAAGCATCGACAACGCCGAATTCGCCGCCATCATGAATGGAGCGCTTGCTCAGACCCAAGATGGCACGGTCGTCTGCTATACCGATGCAATGGTACCTGGTGTCCAAAACACGAATTTAGTCGCCCTCGAGCCGCAACCCCAACATATTGTATTGCCAGTGCAGGTCCCGGTGCAAGTCCCAGTGCCTGTTCAGCTGCCCGTTCAGACGGTACCGGCCAACGGATCAGCAGCGGAACAGCATCAACAAATGCAGCAGCAACTGCAGCAGGGACAGCAGGGTAGCCACAATGCCACCGCTGGAGAAGATCCCAACATACCAATGGACAAGCTCAAGCAGATGCTGGCTACTCAGCTCGAGTATTACTTTTCCAGGTGAGATAATCATCTAGTGGAATATGACATTGATTTTAATCCAATTTGTTTGTAATCCACAGAGAGAATCTGGCGAATGATTCATACCTTCTGTCGCAGATGGATCATGATCAGTATGTGCCCATCTGGACGGTGGCCAAGTTTAATTTGGTGAAGAAGCTAACCAAGGACCTCAATCTGATTACCGAGGTGCTAAGGGAATCCCCCAATGTACAGGTTGATGAAAAGGGCTTGCGCGTGCGCCCCAATCGCAAACGTTGCATCATCATTCTTCGCGAAATATCTCCCAACACACCCCCAGATGACGTCAAGGTGAGGATTCCTGGTCTTCCCATTCCTGGTTTTCGTTCTAAACATAATATATTCCTCATTTTTCGGACAGGCCCTGTTCAGCAACGAAAGCTGCCCTACACCGCTCTCGTGTGAGTTTGCGGGGAACAACTCGTGGTACGTGACCTTTGAGTCGGACGAGCATGCGCAAAAAGCATTCCAGTACCTGCGCGAGGAAGTCAAGGAGTTCCAGGGCAAGCCGATTATGGCGCGCATCAAGCCAAAGTCGTTCATCAATCGCATCCAAACTGTACCAAATGTTAAGAACGGCTACCGTCTCACGTCGCCGCCGACTGCCACCGTCTATGATCCATCCGGAGCCGGTGCTGCACCCGTTAGCTATGCTCCTCAGCAGCGTTACATATACACCGCCAACGGAGCTGCCATCGCTCCATCAGTTCCATATAGCAATCAAGTGTTGATTGTAAGTATATCAAGTCATCCTTTATAAAGATTATTGTTTAATTTGATGATCTTTTTATAGCCGATTCAGCAAAATCAGTTCTATCCCAGCATTGTAGCCGGGCCATGGCCACCGGGAACAGTCGCAACCACTGCCCCACATGGTCAGAACTTTTACGATATCGGGGGAAACCTTTTCGCAGCACCGCAGGCCGTGGCAACTAGCTTCACGCCCGCTCCTCCACCCGCCACACAGCAGATGGTTACATCCAAGCCACCAGGCGGCGGCGGTGGTCGTTACAATAACAACAACCATCGCGGTAATCCCAACAATGTTGGCGGGGCGAATCCCGGACCACGAGGAGAATCGCGAGGCAAGCCCCCACGCAATGCCCAGAATCCACCGCACCTTCAGGCGGGCAGCATCGTGCCAATCCAGATAACTAGTGCCATTCCTGGTGGAATGGTAAGCGTGCTACCGGCCAATATAGTGCAGGGCGATCCTCTCCAGCAGGCTGCATTGCAGGCGCCGCAGCAGCCCCAGCCGGTGCAACATCAGATCCAACAGCAGTCGGCTGGCTCCACTCAGCAACAGCAGCAGCAGCAGCAGACGGTACAGGTTAATACCACCATTCGCCACTATTCTGTCAAGAGCACCTGGAAGGGTAAGTACATCACAAGCATCATCATATTGTGGAACTTGAAACATACTCTTCACTTTACAGGCGGCATGCAGAAGAACTTGGATAAAAACTACAGCGGTGGCGTAGCCAGTCATCATCACTACGGCAGCCAGGTGCAGGTCCACCATCTGCAACCACAACAGCAGCAGCAACAGGGACAATATCAATTGGCTTCCTCTGGTGCCGGTAGTGCACCGCAAGTATCCTATGCCAGTGCTCAGGCTCCTCAGCACCACATAGTGGTGCAACAGCCACCACAGCCCCAGCCACAACAGCAACAGCAGGTGGTGCAGCAGCAAGCGGTTCAGGAGCTGCAGGAGGCTGGGGACAGCGTGGAGCATGGCTCGCACGGCATGCAGCAGCAGAATCGCAGTAGCAACATGTCGGCCAGCTCGTCGTCATCGTTGGCCACCTCGATTAGCAAGGAGCCGCTGCACTGGCAATCGCGGCCGCGTCGCCGTCGTCGGGATGAAGAGGGCGGAAACGGCATCAACTACTCTCCAGGCGGCCGAGTTGGGGTAAGTTATCAGAAGACAGGTGATTCAGACAGTGGCCTATAATAAGAGTTATTTGATCTTCCAGCTCTATGGCAGCTCTCCATCTAATCCGCATCAACAGCAGCAGCAACACCTGCTGTCGTCCTCCTCATCGTCCACCACCAATGTCCAGTCTGGCGGTGGAGGTGGCCATGGAAGCGGCGGCTCCCATCGTGGTGGCGGGGAGCGCGGAGAGAACAACTATAACACCACACCCATCCACGACGTCCCACCGCCCCAGCACCGGGGCAACTACAAGGGTAACAACTACAACCCGCACTACCATGCCCAGCACTCGTCAATGGCGAGCGGCTCCCACCACCACCATCATCAGCACCACCAACAGCAACAGCAGCAGCACCACCACCACAGCGGCCTATCCTCGCAGCAGCAGCTGCACCACTACCACCCGCATCACCACCACCACCATAACTCGATCGGCAGCAATGTGGGCAACAGCGGTGGCTTAGGCGTCAGCAGCGGCGGATCTTCGGGTGGTGGTGGGGGATCCGGAAATAATAGCCTGTCGGGCGGCAATTCGTTGGGCTATCAGGGCCACCAGCATCAACACCAGCAGCAGCAGCAACAACAGCAGCAGCAACAGCAGCAACCCCCGGCTCCAGTCCAGCCGCCGCAGTTCGATCTAGAGGCTGCCGCTTTCCCACCGCTGCCAGCCACCACTCAGGCTAGCAGTAATGCCTCTCTCCAAAACAACAGCTCCTCCAGCGCTAGTTCGGCTCCAAAGCATGCCTTGCAGCAACAGCATCATTACCAGCAGCAGCAGCAGCAACAGCCGCCGCACCAGATGAGCAGCAGCGTGGAGAGTGAGGAACAGCAGTCGGTGGAGGGCAATACTGTACAGCAGCAGGGCAATAGTTCCTCCAACTGGGCCGAGAACCGTTTATCTGATGTGGTCCGCACTGGCGGTGGTGGTAAAGGCAAAGCCCGCAAGGAGAATCGCCACCACCAGGGCCAGAACACCAGCCACAACTATCAGCAGCGAAATCATCCAGTTAGCCCCACGCCCGTTGTGAGCGCCGAGCTCCAGGAGGGCACCCATACCAAGAACGTTACTAAGCAGAGCTCCAGTAACAACAGTTCGATCCATGTGATAAAGTGTCAAACACCAAATATCAATGCCAGCAACAAAGAGGATGCAGTCGCCGGAGGAGCTGGCAGCCAGCTGGAAAAATCAAATAAGACTGAGGATGAAGTGCATCCAAAACAGCAGCAGCGACTGATTACTGAGGGTTACAACGAGTACTCCGCGGGCGCTGGCGCTGGCGCCTGCCCCGTAGTGGATGCTTCGGGTTTGACTGCCGCTATGGCCGATTGCAGCCTCGGCCAGCACAAGAAGCCGCCTGCAGTGGCTGCCCTGCACGCTAAGAAGGAGTTAAATCTACTCGAAAAGCAGGCTTCCGGCAAACACAAGAGCGTGGCCACCTCTACCTCGACGGAGAACTTGTCGGCCGCCGCCACAGCTAGCAAGCTCAGCTACGCCCAGGTGGCCCAGCACCACAAAGCTCCCTCAGAGAGCAAGGAGATGAGCTCGGGTGGCTCGACAGGCACCCTCTCGCCCACCGGCAGCCATAAAATGGATCTAGTATTCGGCGATCCCGTCGCTGTAGCAGCGGCCGTGGAGAAGAGCGGACTGAGCGGTGTCGTGGCCGAGAAGCGTGTTGCCGGTGGAGCTTCGCCAGCTGTCGCGACCCTTCCTGGAAAAGCAGTTGTCGGCGTTGTTGCCCCTGCTGCCAACAATGCCACCCAACCCAACATAGCTGTCGTCGTGTCTGCCAAGGAAAAAGGTAGGAGCCATCGGGCCATGAACAGTAGCTGTCAGTGGTAGAATCCCGGCGAACTTAGGAAATATTTTTTAAATTTTCTATTTTTTTTTTTCTTTTTTGGATATGAAAGGATAATAAAATAATATAAATATTTTGGCGCATTAGAACCATGTCCTATATTGAGTTCTGAATAAATATTTGGCTCTTTTGCAGATGCTCGTCCAAATACTGCGGCAACCGCCTCGCCCTTGGCCGGTGGCGGAGCCGTGCGCCATCAGAGCAAGGAGAAACACCAGCAGCAGCAGCAGCAGCAACATTACAGCTCTGCCATAGAGCATCCGAATGCCAATGCCAATGTGGGCTCCGGAACCGGCGGTAACCGCAAGTCCAGAGCCAACAACTCTTAGGGAGTGGAGGAGTGATAAGGATGATAAGGAAAAAGAAACAGTGAAGAGGAGTAGAGAGAAGAACCGCGTTGCCAAAAGTGAGAGGCAACTGTGAGATACCTTTTGCAGGATGCCTCTAAGAATGCATCATCTGCCTGTACATATATGAAATTCCATGTGTAAATATGAGAAACCATTTTTGTTATATCTGTAAGTGCTATAGATATTTACAAGCTAACTAGGAGGCAAACGAAAGGTAATAATCAGTTATAAAATATTTATCCCTTATTAAATATCTATTTTCTTAGTAGTCACCGCTGCTGGTCTTTGAAAGACTTGAAACGAAAGGACACGAAGCCGTAGAGGATGCAAGGGCAAGCAGCTGGAGACGATCGGACCAGTTATCATATTAGTAGGCAAGGACGTAGAATGAATGGTGCATACCCTTTCTTCAGCTATATATAACATACTTATATATATACATATATATATATAGACATATATATAATATTCAGTTATCAGTTAATGTTAATCTACCTAGGCTTAAGCCATGTTACCTATGCTCGAGGGTAAACAGATACATATATAGTTTTGCGCTGCTCGGTAGCGGAGTAGCGGAGAAAAGTAGACACAGAAACAGAAAAGAGATGAATACGCCTAAGCTATCTTTACGATTACCATTAACGAGATGTCGAGTGAATCAATCTAAGGTTTGAACTTATGTGTTGTACGAGAACTTGCATCAAACGACAAAACCACAAAACTAAAGCAAGCTTAAGCCAAGCAAAACCTAATCATAAGCATTCAGATAGTGAGAGCGATTAAGGGGAAAGAAGTAACGAAATACTAGGTTCTATTTATCAAATATTACCAGTAAACTCATGAATCACGAGTTGATTTAACGTTAATATTATATACGTTTAACATTTCATTATTTTCGTTTATGCCTACACATCAAACTTAATGTTTATAGCCAAAACAGAAGTACACAGATACGAGTATGTAGCGTATATGTTAACTATATACATAGCTATGTCTCCGCTAGTCCCACAAGTTAGGGTTACTTCAATTATTTAGATATATATACATCCATATACAATCTAACAATTATTTTGAATTGTTAACCACGGTGGTGTTGCACAAATATTCTGCTAGAAACGAGGAAGGCTTCTGCAGCATCACCGCCTAAAACGTATTATCAGATAATATTGTTTTGATGAAGGATATATTATTTTTTTTTTTTTTAATATCGGGGGTGTGATTATTTGAAAGCTTTTCATTCATTTCAAATAAGGGATATGTGCGCCACCCCCTTGAGTAATTATTTAATTATGGGGATTCTCGTACTTAGTTCACGACTTTAGGGATCCTGCAAACCACCCACACATACAGACACTGACACACGCATAGACCGACCCTAAACCTATATACCCTCAGACATCGACTCTCGTGTTAATCCCTCATTTTTGGATACTTATATCTTGTATAGTGGAGAAGAACTTACATTTTAAAATTGCATTTGTTTTTACATGAAGGCAATTTCTCAGTTTAATGGTTTCACACATCTATTTCAGTAAACAAACAACAAAAAAACGAAATGAATTACGAGGTTAGCGCATTGCTAAAAATACTAAACTTTATCTTTACGAAGCGTAGGTGGACACCGCTAAGCTCAGCTCAGCTCATAAGACAAATACACTAACTAATGTTATATTTACGGCTCTATGCGCGGAACAATAAGTAATTTTGTATATAATATATATACGAAAAGGTGCCATAAACTAAAAAAAAAAAACAACAAAAACAAACGACACTCACAGACACACACACACACAGCATACACACAAAATTCTTTCGAGGTTTAGGACGACAACACAAATAGGCATTTAAAACAGATTCTTAACTAAGTTTTACTGTCTCTCAATTATAAAAAACAATGAAAAAGATGCTGCTTTTCCCTCGCCCCACCCCCAGCTAATTATCGATGCTCATCACCATAGATTTATATATCATACATATAGTTTTTTGATTAGGAATACGTTTTAATTATTGTTTTTCATTTTATTGTTTTATTTTTTCCGCACAAACTTTTAATCCGGCATGTAAACTAATCCCTGATCGGCAAAAGGGAGACAAGAGAGAGAGAAAAAAATAATCACTAACTTTAAGAGAACACACACCAACACACACATGATATCTACAAACTATTTTAGGCTTAAGAACTAAGTTTAGGTATGCATACCATATATGGATATTCACACTTAAAACGATGATTTGTTCATGTTACCATTAACGATTTAACCAAAATTTGAGAACAAGCTTCTTTCCAACCACTTCCAGACCAAATCAAAACGAACCATATTATTATTTTTTCACATTTTTATAAGAAGACATGTTCCATAAACCTTTCCAGAAAGAGTCGTATTATTTTTTTTATTTTTTCGAAAAATTTTGCTTATGAACCCCCCTGTGAATAAAACCGAACAATGTTTTTTTTTCTCATTTTTCCCCCTCCCACAAAGGAAAAACTATTATTGAAATTTTATCCAAAATCAAAACTAAACAAAAAAAAAAAAAAGAAAAAGAGGAGAATAAGATTTCTATACTATATAAAACGCAAGACTTCCAACCAAAATGAAAATGATTAATGTAAAAGGAAAAAGGAATCGCCAGAAAACGGATAATTAAACTGAAAATCAACATATATATATATACACAAATATTTTGTTTCTATGAAAACAATCGAATATGCTAAGTGCCTATACTAACTATTATATAAAACGGTGTAAAATACGAGCCGCGTACAGTCAGACCACTGAGCCAAGAACCAAAAGTGTCTTCATCCTCCTCCACCTCCACATCCTGCCGCTCGTCGTCCAACCATTGATTAGTCGTCGTCGTCCCGCCCCCAACTGCCTTTAGACATTACATATATATACCTAGTTTACTCATTTATGTCTCTGCATGTCCAGGTTAAATAAATAGACAGGATGAAGGTCACACCCTGATAGTATACCTTGCTCAGTGGTTCGACTAGTACCCGCCACAACAAAAATGTATCTTTAACTAATTGTTAGTTTATAGTTTGTATCTTCCCTTTTTTCCGAAAACCGACAAAGAAGAAGATGATGAAGAAGAAGGAGGTGAAAGAGCCCAGTAACCAAAATCCAGCTAACACTTAAATTTCTTTAAAAAAAAGCGTTCTCAAATTAATTTTGTTGTGCTCATCATTAACTCAAAAGAAACAAAAACAAAAAAATAAAAATTACTAAAAAAAAAAAATAAATCAAACCGAACCATTAACACACACACACACGCATAGCACACACTGTACAGTTTAACCTCAATAGGGCGGACTCCGACTTGGACTGCGGACTGCTTTAGGTGAATCAATAATCGGGGCTTGTGGAGAAGGCTCGATGGAAGGCAACGCCGAGTTCCGACAATGAGATGTGATATTATGCAATTGACAAATCATCAATTGTGCGTGACAAAAACAAAAAGAAAACAAAAAACAAAACAAAACGGAGAAAGGGTTAGCCAATCGGGATCGCATCCTCCCCCCACCCCCCAACCACAATCCCCCACGAGACAGTTGACATTTAAACCCATACACACACACACACATCCCCCACCACCACCCCCAAGAAGCTGAGAGATCGGGAACCGAATGAGATATAAACAAGAGAGAAGGAGAATTGTGGAGATAAAAACAAAACAAAAAACAAGGAGAGTAGGGTATAGAGAAAGTAAAAAACAACATTGTTGATGTTAAATAATTTTAAGGAATACAATAAATTAAATTAAATTAAATTGTTAAATTGTAAAACCTCAGTTCTTAAGTTATTTATTTTTGTATGATTAAGCAGCGCATATGACACACCTTGTTAAATTTACAAAATAATACTATTGCAAGATCCGAGGACATGCCACGCCTACGTTCTCCATCAACTACAGTCCTCCCCCAGATCCCAGACCACAGACTATATCCCGCTTAGCATTATCGTTAATTTTGATTTCCATCCCAAAATCCATATTATTCATTCATTTTATGGAAGACCCTCGCCCACAGACCACTGTACATACATTTAGCTATATATATATATATATATCATGAGGGTGTTCCAATCTAGTTTTTTTTTTCACAAAAACCAAAACAAACAAACTAAAAGAAAACAATCTTTGGCACTGCCGGCTAAGATTATTTTTCATTTCAATTATTTACTTTCTATAACCTGATCGCCATTAACCTTTCACTGGCGGCGGGTCAGAGATCTTGAGTTGTTTCTTGTTCATATATTATTTTTCGGTTATTATTTACGATCATAAAAACGACAAACAACGCTAAACAAAAATGCTTACGCACATTGTTATCACTAGAAAAAGAAACAAAAACAAAATAAAACAAACAAAACACAACAACAAACACAAGATCAACCTGTCTGTTAAACAAGAGAAAGAAAGAAAAAAATATGTAATATGAATAATGAGGAGTACATGCATACTTATATAAATATATATATATAATCAATTGTAATTGTACCGAAAATTGATAACTGTAAAGTAAAAAAAGCAACAAAACAAAAAAAAAGGTTTATAAAATTGCATATGATTTAAACTATAAACTAACTATAAAGAAATACAATATCCCTCTATGAAGCAAGCGAAAGCAAACCGACAGCAGTTATACATAATTGAATGTGTAATATGATGGCATAAATATAAATAAAATATAATAAAAAAAAAGAACAAAAAAATACAAACACTGAGAAACAACCAAAACTAGAAGAGCGTTTTATTCATTTTCTATGAGAACTATGGGTGGTGAAACTCACTGGAATATTTCCTTGTTTTTATTACATGTACTATATATAATTGAAAACCAAATAAAAAGAATTCAAGGGGAGAACAACAAGAGGCCGTAATGTAGATTAAATGTAGATAGTCATACGAATAAAAAAAAAACAATAACAGAAACTCAACAATAAATGCGATAACCACCAAGAAAGGCTGTACACAGCAGCCTTCTCTTAACCAGCATTGGGGGTCGAGTAATAATTATATTAAATATCTCAATTTATTTTTAATTGAATGCATGACGTTCCGAATATATTTCTATATCAGAAATACGATAATGGACTGGTAGGACAGGCCCCAAATAAAATGAGTAATATAATTTATAGGTTTCAGATTTCTTATCGTTCTGATAACTTTCGTAAAAGGTAAGCCTTTTTCAGTCAGATAACACACATTATTTCTTGGGCACTACAAAACATTTTCTTTATTATTTTCTTTTACTTTTCAAAAAACTCAGCTTGAGCTTAAAACTTTCCATTTCTTATAGATCAAATCCCAAAATCTTTGACAAGTATAGTTAGGTACATAAATACTAAACGAGTAATACAAATTTTTTCTCCATTTTGCTTGGGCATCACAAAACCTAGTAAATCATAGAGTGTACAGTTGGACAAGGCATATATATATACACGCATCTTGATGGATACATAATATAATTTAAAACAAGTAATTTTAATCGGAGGAGCAAACATTTCAATAGGGACTGTGTGTGTGTGTTTGAGTTTGTGGGGGGCTTTCTTTTTTCTTTGTGTGTGTTTATAAAAACTTAACCAAGAACACTTGCGATTGTTAAGTATAAAGTATTGTGGAGGTAACCCTAATTAATCATAAGGCGCACTAGTTAGTATATATAGTTCAGCTGCATTTCGGCCGCTGCCAGCAGCGCATCCTGTGCCTCTTTCTCCCTTTCCAGCTGCTGCTTATCCTCCTCCTTATTCTGGCGGGGATTCGATTGTGTTTCTGTTTCGGTATCGGTTTCCGCATCAGCTTCTGCTTCGGATTCGTTTTCCTTAGCTTTGGAGGCATCTTGCTGTTCTTGGGACTCCTTGTTGCTATTCCGGCAGCGGGCTATCAGATCCCTGTACGGACGACCGTGCAGCAGGCATACCAAGACAACGGTCATATTGTCGCCACCGAGGCCGCCCATTTGGCAGTCGGGCGCCAGACAGTGGTTCATCAGCTCTTCGCAAATCTCCTCCGGATACATGCCCATTCCGATGCGTGTGCGACAGAACTCGAGCACTTCCGTATTGCTCATCACATCCCAAATGCCATCGCAGGCCAGCACGATGAATTCCCAATCCTCCATGATTTTCCGTGTCTCCACATCCGGGTAGGCTGATTTTAAACAAAATTTTTAAAAGGTGATAATGGATAATTGCGAACAATGACCGCGTGGATCTCTGGCTGCTTACCTGTGACGATCTGATCTTCCGGCTTTTTGTTTGCCCGCTTGAAGACAAAGTCGCCTAGTGCCCGGGAAAGTGCCAGATTGCCGTTCACGCGATTGAACTCCACCCATCCTCCGCCCTCAATGATTCGCTTTGATTCCGCCTCATTGTTGGGCTTGTGGTCCAGGGAGAGGATCTCCAGCTTTCCGTTAACGCAGGCAATAGCTCGAGAATCGCCGGCATTCGCACAGTACAGCTTATTGTCCTTGACCAGAACGACGACGGCCGTAGAACCGGCCATCTGGTCGCCCCATGACTCATTATGTAACATTTCGTAGTCAATGTCCAAAAAGCCCTGCAATTGCATCATAATATTGTGAGTAATTGTCTCGGTCATATCGCAAAGGTAAATACATCTTCCATGAGCTGTTCTAAATAGTGGGATGGGCATCATCTTGATGAACTACAATATTTGACAAGCGGTGACTTTTAAAGTTAATAAAGTTGGAGTATTATTATAGTATTTGGAGCTTAGTCACCGTTAGTAGTGGGATTAGGATGTTTGCTTTAAAAACTAATCCATCAATCAATAACACAACTAGGTAAGAGGATAGAATTTGAAAGAATCTTAAGTAACTATGTACTTTGGACTTTGATCTTGAAACCAATAGAACGCATCTAGGTAAGATAAAAAGGAAACTGCGGATAATTATGATTCGTCATTCGGCTGGATGATCTTGAATGGAAACCGAGATCTCCGAGCTTAGAATATTTCGAGTGGTGACTCACCTGCTGCAGTGCCCGTTCGATATCGTTGTCGTTGTACTCCGGCCTCTTGAGAACGAACTTGTGCAAATGCTTTCCGGCATATTGAGCCACTGTGGCGCCTCCATGGCCGTCATACACCGCAAAGAAGGCTGCCCCCGGATCGTCCGGCAGCGATAGAATGTGTGTGTGCGAGTCCTCCATGTTGATGCGCCATCCCTGCATACAGCTGGATCCCACGCGGAATGCCGAATTCTGACAGTAGGATGACTCCTTGGCGGTCACCGGCTCGGATAGTGTCTGACCCATGCTGATTCTCCGATTTTAAATATATCGATTCTCCACCTTCCGTTGCTCTTTCCGTTGGTTTTCTGGCGACGGCACACGGACAGGGTTAAGTTAATTACGAAACTGACAGCCACAACTCCAGATACGCGTGGGCATTGAGATTAGCATATCAAAGTGGCGATACCACCCGTACCATATAATCTCAACGTAAACAGACGTGGGGATTTCAGATTTCAGGCCCCATTTGTGGCGAATGCGCCCCCAACTGATCCGGAATCGGAGCTTTATACTTTATTGCTATTACTGTTATTACTAGCCGTCCAAAAGGGCCAGTGATAAACGTTCCGTCCGGATCGCTAGGGTTTTATTTTTTAGCGCTCCGTAATTAGTTGACACAGTTTTTGCAACAAATTGCGCAAAAAAAAAAAACGGGGGGACGGCAAGTCGGAGAGCGAAAGCTCGAAATGGGGAGTGGAAGACGCAGAAGTGTTCTATTTATGTGTATATTATTTATTAACTCACCTGGCGTTCACCACTTTTGTTCGCAAAAACAAAAACCGATTCCGCATCAATAAAAAAAAAACGTTGCCAATAGAAAAAATGCAAAGTGGAGCGCGTGCTGCGGTTTGCGTTCGGGTGGCCTTCGAGTGCAAGTTCAATACAGCTGGGATTTACTCTGGCTTACGCTCTGTTTACAGTCCGATTTCAGTTATGGTCCATGAATTTGCCATTTCCCCAGTCGAAGTTTTTTTAATAAAAAATATAAATACGCGTGCTCCAGTGTTGTCGTATGCGCCAGTGTTGTCATGTATCGGGAACTCGTCTCCACAAACTTTGGCGCCGTTGGTATTTTTGGTGATGGTATTTAAAGCGTCAACGGTCTGCCTAATTGTTGGTATTTTTAAGGGAATAAGACGGTGGGATATACAGTCGAGTCCCCATAATTTGAAATGGCAAGCTCTTTGATAATACTGAGCTTTTATATTTATCTTTATGTTTCTAATTATTTTATGCCGTTTTATCTCATTATGTTATGCTTTTTTATTAGAATATAGAAACTAAAATAGTCATGATTTTATACTTCTGTGATTCCTGCCTTCTTTTTGCAAATTCAAAAGCTATTATATGGCATTATACATATTTCTGATATTTCCGTTTCCAGTTGATCGTTTTGTATTTATTTGTATTACTTTATAATTTTGTCATCTTATCTGTTGTTATGCCTCTGTTGTTTGGTTTGTTTTTTTTTCCGAGTCGCTAGAGTGCATTGAATTTTGCGAATTTAGCTTTTGGGGTTTGCGGCAAATACACGATTTCAAGGACAAATGACGTCAGCTAAACATTTTTTGTGTCCGCTGTTTGGATTTGTTGCTGCTGTGTCGTGTTTTTTTTTTTGGGGGAGAATTAAAGCTTGACTGCCAACGCCTCTGCTTTCTATTTATTGTCTTCTTTTTGTCTCCTCTTTTATTTTCATTTATTTAATTTTTTTGGCGTCTTTTGTTTTGAGCTTTTGCTCAGCGAAAAAGAAAAACAAAGTATTAAATATTTGCACAGCAGCAGCAGCAGCAAAAGCCAGAGATATTTTTGATAAAGAACTGTACCCTGTGTTTGTTTTTGTGTATTTGTGTGTACTTTTTTTTAACGCTCTCTGGTGGTATCAGTGCCCCACTCTTTCCTACCCTCCACCCAGTTTTAGCCTTATCTTTCGAATTCTCTCAAATTGTTTTAGCAAACAAAATTCAAGTTAGAAGATTGTTGGCTTTAAAACTATACTGTGACTATTATACCACATATTTTCACAGTTTTTGTGCCCCCCTAGACACTTATAACACCCTTTACTGTCATAGATTAAAGCCTCTATTTTAATTTTCATTTAAAAAACTATAACGATAGCCATTTAATCAGAATGGCTATAAACCCTTTCTGTGAAATTTATAAAATCTTTTTACGGTGCATTTCTTATCGTTGTGTTTGGTCATTGAAAGGGCAAGGCGTTGACGTCGCTGCACGCATTTTATTTCCCAACCTCTAGAACGCACATTTATTATGCATTTAACGTTCCCCGCTGGCGACTCGAAACTATCGCCCCTTCTACCCGCTACCCTCGACCCTGCCACACCCCCCCCCCGTGTCCATCAGTTGTGGCATTTAAGATTCGCTTTCGCTTCCCCCTTTTATTTTAGCGCACTCTGTAAAATTTCCATATTGTTTGTCAACCGGCGACGATTGCATCCCAGGCCCGGCTTCTCGCTTTCTGAATCGGTCTCTAAATCGGAATCGGAGAGTCGCTCTGTATGCAGTCTGCATGCAAATGTTGCAGCCATCTTCGGGGTACACAGAAAAAAAAACAAATAGTTGACTTTATTTATTAAATTAAAATACAAATAGTATTCCAAGTATTTCAAGTATTTTAAAGAATCTTAGTAAATATCTCAGAAAAAACTATACAAAGATACTTTTTGAATTTCTTTCAGTGTTTGGCTCGTAAAGTAGTAGGGAAAAGGGAAGGGATACGGCTAAGGAACAGAGCCAGGGGCCGGACAGAGCAGGGCCCACAGATATCGCCAGGCAGTTCAATCACATTGCACAAAAGTTCGAGGTCAGTTATAAAAATAAAATTATATTCCCTCGCTAGCAACGTAGAGCTCTGCCCCCTCCACACTTATTTTATTTATTTCATTCTTTCTTTCATTTTTTTTTGTAATCGTTTTCTCTCAGTGGCCTCTTGGATGGGATTGGAATCGAAAGTGGATTGGATTGGATTGGATTGGGTTTTTGTTTTACATTAATTTCTGTTTGAATGCGACAAAATGGGTTTCTTTGTCTTTAGCTTGACTGACTGGGCAGGATCGTAGTATAGTGGTATCGTGGTATCATGGGGTTGCTTTGGTCCTGCTCCTGTTTCTGCCCTGGATCTGGATCGCCATGGGATAGGCACAAAGGCCATTGTTCGGGGACATTGCGGATCATTCGAGTGGAAGTAGGCCACTGGAGTTCTGTGTAACTTGAGCACATCGTCCGATCGGCCGAATGCAATTGTGTAATGCGAGCCCGTTGCAGGGCAATGACTCCTTGTCCAAGGATAATGGGGGAACTTTATCGCGAAACAGGAGCTGTGCGTAACAACACCCTACTAAGCCGATTACTAACTTTTCTGCTGGTCTTTAAGTACATTTTATGATTGATATACTTATGATTACTCCATGTTTGTAAGGATTTTTTAATATATTACTTCCTTTATGTTATTATGCGTTGCCATGGAGCATAAAATCAGTGGGGATTCTTTACTTCTCTAAGCCTGGCCAAAAAGATGTTAGTGATTCTTTCTTTTTTTTTTTGCCAAAAACCCAAAAAACATCGACCAGACCAGACAGTCGCTGACCGATGGAATGCTGTTGAACTTAATTTTGCTTGGCTGGCCCGCAATGAAATGAAATTTCGATCATTTCCAGAGAATTCATGCCACAGATTTTGGCTCGACGCGGCGCGACGGTCGCGGCCATGGCCGATCCTCGTCGAAAACCGAAAACAGACCAGACTCTGAATCCCACTGCCTGAGCCAAACTAGTTGGACGAGCTCCCCTCGCTTCCAAGGACCGCTGGGCAGGTTCATTAACTTGTTTGCCCCGCTACTGCCGCCTTTGCCGCCACTGTCCACCTCGCAGCGGGGTTTGTTGTTGCTGGTTTATTTTTTGGGGCCGCCGTCGCTTGCCAGCATCCGCGACGAGACAATAATGATCTTCACTGGAAACGCGAGCCCCTCCATAACTTCACTCCTTCACACCCCTTCTAAAACACCGCCCCTCCTCGTCCTTGGCGGTGGTGGTGGTGACTTAATTGCCGCACCCAAATGGCATTGTTGGACTACGGATTAGCACCGAAGGCAGTCGCTACCAAAGCGGTTAAGGTAAGAATATTTCATACTTAACATCTCTTAAAGGATATGTTAAAATCGAGTGGTTTTCAAAACTTTCTTTACCTAAACTAGTTTATCTCGAGCCACGACGAGCCACGAACCCTCTGATCCTTGTGACATTTGCTCATTTTTCAATGTCAGTTCTCGGTTTCCGATAAAGTGGAGCATGTCGTAGTAGTTGCTGATTAATATGAGTTGTGTGGACTGATATCTGCAACCTTGTCCGGAGTCGTTTACTTAGTGAATCACATGGCCTCAGTGGCTTTAAAATGACTAAGCGGCGCCCTTGCATGACTAAACAACTCTGTTGGCGGGGGATCCTACAGAGGAATATATACAAGAGACAGATAAAATATCAGAATTATCTTAGATATCCAGGGAATTGATCTACAAATCGTTTAAGGTATTCCCTTCAAGGATCGGGTAAGAATTGGCAAAGATATGGAGATTGTTTGGGCCATTTATGGAAATCATGGATTTCACAAGGATGGTCCACCACAAAAACACATAAATTCGAAAAATATGGATCGAAAATTTTGTTCAGAGGTTTTGATGCAGAATGGTGGAGAATCCTTCTAGGAATCTTTTAAGGTATTCCTTGCAAGGATCGGGTGAGAATTGGCAAAGATATGGAGATTGATTGGACCATTTATGGAAATCCTGGATTTCACAAGGATGGTCCACCACAAAAACACATAAATTCGAAAAATATGGATCGAAAATTTTGTTCAGAGGTTTTGATGCAGAATGGTGGAGAATCCTTCTAGGAATCTTTTAAGGTATTCCCTTCAAGGATCGGGTAAGAATTGGCAAAGATATGGAGATTGTTTGGGCCATTTATGGAAATCCTGGATTTCACAAGGGGGTCCACCACATAAATTCTAAAAATATGGATCGAAAATTTTGTTCAGAGGTTTTGATGCAGAATGGTGGAGAATCCTTCTAGGAATCTTTTAAGGTATTCCCTTCAAGGATCGGGTAAGAATTGGCAAAGATATGGAGATTGTTTGGGCCATTTATGGAAATCCTGGATTTCACAAGGATTCGACAACACAAAAACACAAAAATTCGAAAAATGTGGATCGAAAATTTTGTTCAGAGGTTTTGATGCAGAATGGTGGAGAATCCTTCTAGGAATCTTTTAAGGTATTCCCTTCAAGGATCGGGTAAGAATTGGCAAAGATATGGAGATTGCTTGGACCACCACATAAATTCGAAAAATATAGATCGAAAATTTTTATATTAGGTTTTGATGCAGAATGGTGGAGAATCCTTCTAGGAATCTTTTAAGGTATTCCTTCCAAGGATCGGGTAAGAATTGGCAAAGATATGGAGATTGCTTGGATCATTTATGGAAATCCTGGATTTCACAAGGGGGTCCACCACAAAAATTCGAAAAATATGGATCCAAAATTTTGATCACAGGTTTTGATGCAGATTGATGGAGAATCCTTCTAGGAATCTTTTAAGGTATTCCCTTTAAGGATCGGGTAAGAATTGGCAAAGATATGGAGATTGCTTGGACCATTTATGGAAATCCTGGATTTCACAAGGATCCACCACAAAAATTCGAAAAATATGGATCCAAAATTTTGATCACAGGTTTTGATGCAGAATGGTGGAGAATCCTTCTAGGAATCGTATAAGGTATTCCTTGCAAGGATCGGGTAAGAATTGGCAAAGAAATGGAGAGATCACAGACCCGCAAAGACCCACAAAAATTAAAAAATGTTAATCCATATTTTAAGTTTTTCAAATTTAATAAACCAATTTTAACTTATGTTAATGAAGACTAAAAATCTGATGGTGTTTGAAAATGCAACAGCCATGATTTAATACAAATATCCTTGGCCTTAAATAGGACGACGTCCTTTAATCAGTTTGCAATGGTTGGTGGTAAGACACTCAAAACGAGTGCAAAGCCCAAGCACTGATCTCACATCCTGTGTGAATCGAAGACAATCCAAAAAGGGCAGGATATTTATCAGTTCCTGATCCCGCTTTCCAATCACATACGATGAGATCTTTATGGCGTTGCCTGCGTTGAAACGGCACTCAACATTGGAATCGTCCAACAGGAAAACATTGGCCAAGTCCGGGGAAGCCAGTGACACATACTTGGCCTTCAACCCAAGGACATCGATACAGTCTTCACGGAACAAGCGCTTCCTCAGGATGCCCTTGCCTCTCTCCAGGTAGTCCAAAATCGGTCCAGCGTAATTACTAGTGCTGGCTGTAAAAATAACCAAATCGTACCACTTGGATACACAGTCCAAGAAGTAGTCCACATGCGGTCGTTTGTAAACGTAGACTGCACTTGCATCATGTCTCTGTAATATAAGTTTGTGGTCATAAGGAAATTCGGGTAGCTTTTGTCGCTGGCACCTCTGGATCACCGCAGTCATTAGGGTTTCATCCATATCGAGGACCAGGGTTTTCTTGCCCACGACTTCCAGTCGACGTTTGGACACCTCAGACAGTTTCTCATCATCCATGTAGGTGATCACACAATAGCCGTGGTATATTTTCTTGAAGTGCGCTACCCAGATGCGGATTATTTTCTTGAAGTGAGCTACCCAGATACGGATTCTGGGTATGAGGCGGTAAGCCAAGTAGAGCACCCCCACTATAGAGGCCACTACAAAAAAGCTATAGACAGTCAAACCATAAGAACTGAGTATTTTTTATCTTTAAACTTACATTGTTATCTTATTCATTTTCCATATACAATTAAATACAGATATGCATAAGAAACTTATAAGAATAAATATTATATATAATATAAAATATGTATGCCCAAAATTAATGCATTAGCTTCATTGTTTTGACAATTTTTGAGTTATTGAGGCATTGACTACTAGATTGATAAACTCTGAAATAAAAATGGATTTTAATGTAAAACTGAAAGATATTTTTTTCCAGTGCCATCGTTCGAAGAACTTGTCTGGATTGCCATTCCACTTACAGTGGGTGTTAAACGATCGGGAGTTCGTGTTTATGGAAGGAGTTAAACTGGGGAAACACAAATAAAGCAATGAGTTGCAGTTGCCGACAATGACGCACAATAAAACAGAAAAAAAGGAAACTTAATACACAGGGAAATAATAAATAAAAACATGTATAAAACAAGAAAGAAAAGCTAACTTCGGGCGGAGCCGAAGTTTATATACCCTTGCAGTTAAAACCGGATATATATCGCAAACATCGGATATAGTTGGCCGATCCTTATGGGAATAGGAATATATAATCCAATTTATTACAATACAAAATCTAAACAAGAAAGGAAAGCTAACTTCGGGCTGAGCCGAAGTTTATATACCCTTGCAGTTAAAACCGGATATATATCGCAAACATCGGATATAGTTGGCCGATCCTTATGGGAATAGGAATATATACTCCAATTTATTACAATACAAAATCTAAAAAAAGTCCCAAGCTTCTATCTTCAAAAATACGAAAGTTGATATTTCTACCAAATACCATTTCCGATCGTTCAGTTATATGGCAGCTATAGGATATAGTCGGCCGATCCTAATGAAATTTGGTAGGTTGGATCAACTGACCAAAAATAGAGTCTGTACTAAATTCCAGCTTTCTATCTTCAAAAACACGAAAGTTGGGTCATTTCCGATCGTTCAGTTATATGACAGCTATAGGATATAGTCGGCCGATCCTTATGAAATTTGGCATGTCGTAATATTTTGCCAAAAATAGCTCTCATGTGAAATTTGAACTCTCTAACTCTAAAAATACCAAAGTTATACCATTTCCGATCAATCAGTTATATGGCAGCTATAGGATATAGTCGGCCGATCCGGGCCGTTCCGACTTATATACTGCGTGCAAAGGAAAGAAGGGTGTGTGCAAAGTTTCAAGACGATAGCTTTAAAACTGAGAGACTAGTTTGCGTAGAAACAGACAGACGGACAGACGGACAGACGGACAGACGGACAGACGGACAGACGGACATGCTCATATCAACTCAGGAGGTGATCCTGATCAAGAATATATATACTTTATAGGGTCGGAGATGTCTCCTTCACTGCGTTGCACACTTTTGGACAAAATTATAATACCCTCTGCAAGGGTATAAAAATGTCTAAATAAATATAATATATAGTTTACAGTTTATAGGATTATTTGACATATTTTGTATAGCCTCTTGTCATTCCTATAATTTTTAACACCTTTGTTTGTAATTTTCTTTGGTGTAGGAGAGGAGCAACAAGGCAACTCTGACGGAAGTTCGCCGGCGATGTCACTCGTGTAAAATATTGCACTGGCCTTGGGAGCAGCACGCACAATGTGACTGCGCTGTCAAGACGATTAACAACAGCCACAAAAGTCGCAAGTCGCCACAACAACATCACCACCAGCAATATTAACAAAAAAAAAATATATTAAAAAAAAACTGCAGCCACTGCAACTGTGGCCATGACGCTGGAAGGAGCACCATATTGTGCGCATCTGGAGGTTGGCTGCACGCGATTCAGATGGACTTTTTTTTTGGATATAAAAAATGTACACATAAAAATAACTTTTTTTTTAGGTTTTACATTAATAAAACTTATATTATTCACCTAGTACAATATAGTAGTAAGCTCCTTATCTCTCCTAAAAGACAATGAGCTAAATATTATTATCTTATTCAATACAGGTTTATTTTTTAATGGTTTTTACCCCTTTATAGTCAATTTGAATCATATCGTTTATTAACTTTTTTTTTTGTCTTTAAAAGGACCCTAGCTTGCATTCTTTGCGGTTGACTGTGGCGTCTGCTAAGTGTCAACTTTTAACCGCATGTTGCTGGTGCTGCTGCTGCAGTTGTTGCAGTTCCAACTGCAATTTCCCAATTCGCACAAAAAAGGGCCCCAGTCACACACAAGGGTAAAATTAACTTCTGAGTCAGTTGGTTAAAAAAAAAAAAATATATATATGGGGAGTGAAAAACGAGGGCGTTGGCAGAGAAGAAGGGACACCCGCATCTAGGCACATGTTTTCTGTGAAGATTTAAGTCACGATATTCGTACAGTTTCAAGTTTATGAATTTAAAAAACCATCAGAAATTAAAATTTTTCAATGATTTTATTTAAGGGATTAATATTATTATATTTTGAAATATGAAAACTGTGTTTTTTGTCAAATTAAATATTATTTTCAGACGAAAGTTTAAAACAATATGGGGTCTGAAATATTATTCGTTTGTCCAAAAACTAATTTTAGAAGTCTGACTACTGATATTCTGAAAATTAAATAATAATTTATACTGGTTGAGTGATAAACATTGGTGCAAATATTTTGATATTTTCTAATCTTTTGTGATAGAAATTATCTCAATACTTCTCGCTGTGCACGCTTATCGTTTTGCTTATCTCAGAACGCGATTGCTGAACCTGTAAACGCAATTTTAGCAACATTTTTGGATACCGCATTTGAAGTGTGTTAAATTAGCATTAAACAATAATTCTGTAGCTTTTTTTTTTTTTGGCTTAGCTGGTGTGCTGCCAAGTGCTGTTGTTGTGGTGAATGCAAAATAAATTGCGCATAAAGTTTAATCACTTTGACTTTGTACAACACAGACACAAACACACAGATACACTAATACGGCAGAAAGCAACCGAAAAATAAAAACGCATAACAAAAGATTCTTCACATACATATAAAAATATACAGATATAGCTACAACCATACAATATCGGCAGCAGAAGCTCCAACAACATCAGTGGACAGTGCAAAATAAGTATAAAAATAATAAATATATATGTTTGTATATATATACAAGGCAAAGGCGGCGTTGGAGCAGCGGCGGAGCAAGAAAGTCAACAACCTCCAGTGCATTACTCACTTTTAAAGACCGTGTGTGTCCTTCAACAAAAACTTTATCTCCGTCTCTCGCACACTCACTCAGGGGCTGGCTCTCTGGATCTCTGGAAGTTGCTTCGTTTTTTACATTTTATAATTAAACAATTTTGCAGTCGCCCTCACAGACCACCTCCCAGACCCCTCCGCTCATTTTTTGTTTTTCGACAAACAACCCGAAAAAGTAAAGCTTGCTGCACGGAAAAAAATCCAATAGAATAATTCTTTATAAGTACCACATAGAACATTAAAAAGACCATGAAGGACATTAAAAAAAAAGTAAAGCCTACTTTTGAGATCAAAAATCCTTTTCTTGCGTATATAGGCCGCATTAAATTGTGGATTTTTTTAAAAGCTTTAGAAGTAGAATTTGGTTATTTGTACTATTTAAAGGGGTTTTAGGGCATTAAGGTTTTTATTCTGAGTCTTTTTTATTAAAGTTTAAATAATTTCCAGTGTGAATGTTTTCATTCTTCCTTGAGCTCCCCAAGCTTGGCACAAGTGACTCTCTTTCTATCTCCACTTTATCGATTGGGGCTTCGGAAACTGTCGATTCTGCTGCTGCGCATTTCGGTGAGATGCGAGATGAATAAACTTTTGTGCGCTTGCGTGACCTGTTCGCAATCGCTCCTTCTCTTTTCACTCCTTTCCCGACGGCCCCCCACGCAAGAAAGAGAGCGCACGAGTGGGAGAGTCTGCCACATCCGCTCTGCATGTGTGTGCGTTTGTGCGGTTAATGTCATTGACTGCAATTTGTTAGCAAAATATTCCAACTGATAAATAAAATCTACACAATGCCAATGAACTGCCTGTACACACATCCTACGCCCCACAAAAAAAATACCCGAAAAATTGCAATTCGCGCCCCAATTGACAAGCAACTAAGAAAGTGTGTGCAACTGAGATAGCAATCGAGCTTCGTATCGCACTCACACACACACACACAGATGGGGCACAGGTTGGCAGTGCCATAAACAAAGAATTCCTTTTGTTTGTTGATTCGATTTTTGTTCTGCGATTCTTTCTCTTTTTTTTCAGCGTTTTTTTAAATTGTATTTTTATTTTTAAATAAACAAGCGCAAAGTCGTCGCTGTGGTGGAGTTCATTGCATTCCCCAGAATAAGAAAATATAACAAATAAGACAACAAAAAAATCCATAAAAAAAAGAAACACAACGTCGACTGATATACATGGCGTATAATTAACGTCTGCGCGTGTATGGGGAGTTCAAGTTAATTTATCAATTCTTAATTTTTTTCGGGGACTTACAATACTTCCATTTTAAGAGGGGAGTACAGATCAGTCATAATTCCATGGGGGTTGCTAAATACGAAAATTAATCAATTGATTAATAGTACTTCTAAAATGTTAAAAAATTAAATATTTTTGATTGGAAAGTACAGTTGAACTTTAATATTATTATCAACCAATAAATATAATATTAATATAGTATCTTATAGATATTAAACTGTAATTTTGGCTAAAATCTATCCCCCAAAGTGCGAACAGTTATGTTATTTCGCTCAGCTGGCGCGTTTCTGAGATGGTGCCCGATTTCCAGGGAGGGCATTGAATGTCATGGCTACTCAGATTACACTAAAGTCGGTCAATAACTTTTTGGTCCCTTAAACAGCATTTAAGTAACCAACCGCAAGTGATCAAGATGTTCCTGTTGTTGTTTACTCCTTTATGAACTGATCTTAAGTTAATGCCTCGCCAGCTCGGATGGCACGTTATTTTAGTTGACCAGTTTAATGACTTGAACTTAATTTGCGCCCTCGGAGAGAAGAGAGTAGCTCCAAAAAACAAAAAAAAAACAGGCAAAAATATTTAAACAACAAGGCAGACAACACCCAAC